TTACCTTCCCCGTGCGCCACCCACACCCCCAGCCGCGCTCCCGCCATCCCAGTACAAACCAGTATAAACCAGTATAACCAGTATAACCAGTTACCTTCCCCGTGCGCCACCCACACCCCCAGCCGCGCTCCCGCCATCCCAGTACAAACCAGTATAACCAGTATAACCAGTTACCTTCCCCGTGCGCCACCCACACCCCCAGCCGCGCTCCCGCCATCCCAGTACAAACCAGTATAAACCAGTCTAACCAGTATAACCAGTTACCTTCCCCGTGCGCCACCCACACCCCCAGCCGCGCTCCCGCCCTGCCCAGTACAAACCAGTACAAACCAGTATAACCAGTATAACCAGTTACCTTCCCCGTGCGCCACCCACACCCCCAGCCGCGCTCCCGCCCTGCCCAGTACAAACCAGTATAAACCAGTCTAACCAGTATAACCAGTTACCTTCCCCGTGCACCACCCACACCCCCAGCCGCGCTCCCGCCATCCCCAGTACAAACCAGTACAAACCAGTATAAACCAGTTACCTTCCCCGTGCGCCACCCACACCCCCAGCCGCGCTCCCGCCATCCCCAGTATAAACCAGTATAACCAGTATAACCAGTTACCTTCCCCGTGCGCCACCCACACCCCCAGCCGCGCTCCCGCCATCCCCAGTACAAACCAGTATAAACCAGTATAACCAGTTACCTTCCCCGTGCGCCACCCACACCCCCAGCCGCGCTCCCGCCATCCCCAGTACAAACCAGTATAAACCAGTATAACCAGTATAACCAGTTACCTTCCCCGTGCGCCACCCACACCCCCAGCCGCGCTCCCGCCATCCCCAGTACAAACCAGTATAAACCAGTATAACCAGTATAACCAGTTACCTTCCCCGTGCGCCACCCACACCCCCAGCCGCGCTCCCGCCATCCCCAGTACAAACCAGTATAAACCAGTATAACCAGTTACCTTCCCCGTCCGCCACCACACCCCCAGCCGCGCTCCCGCCATCCCCAGTACAAACCAGTATAACCAGTATAACCAGTTACCTTCCCCGTGCGCCACCCACACCCCCAGCCGCGCTCCCGCCATCCCCAGTACAAACCAGTATAAACCAGTATAACCAGTATAACCAGTTACCTTCCCCGTGCGCCACCCACACCCCCAGCCGCGCTCCCGCCATCCCCAGTACAAACCAGTATAAACCAGTATAACCAGTTACCTTCCCCGTGCGCCACCCACACCCCCAGCCGCGCTCCCGCCATCCCCAGTACAAACCAGTATAACCAGTATAACCAGTTACCTTCCCCGTGCGCCACCCACACCCCCAGCCGCGCTCCCGCCATCCCCAGTACAAACCAGTATAAACCAGTATAACCAGTATAACCAGTTACCTTCCCCGTGCGCCACCCACACCCCCAGCCGCGCTCCCGCCATCCCCAGTACAAACCAGTACAAACCAGTATAACCAGTTACCTTCCCCGTGCGCCACCCACACCCCCAGCCGCGCTCCCGCCATCCCCAGTACAAACCAGTATAAACCAGTATAACCAGTTACCTTCCCCGTGCGCCACCCACACCCCCAGCCGCGCTCCCGCCATCCCCAGTACAAACCAGTATAAACCAGTCTAACCAGTATAACCAGTTACCTTCCCCGTGCGCCACCCACACCCCCAGCCGCGCTCCCGCCATCCCCAGTACAAACCAGTATAAACCAGTATAACCAGTTACCTTCCCCGTGCGCCACCCACACCCCCAGCCGCGCTCCCGCCATCCCCAGTACAAACCAGTATAAACCAGTCTAACCAGTATAACCAGTTACCTTCCCCGTGCGCCACCCACACCCCCAGCCGCGCTCCCGCCATCCCCAGTACAAACCAGTATAACCAGTATAACCAGTTACCTTCCCCGTGCGCCACCCACACCCCCAGCCGCGCTCCCGCCCTGCCCAGTACAAACCAGTATAAACCAGTATAACCAGTTACCTTCCCCGTGCGCCACCCACACCCCCAGCCGCGCTCCCGCCATCCCCAGTACAAACCAGTATAAACCAGTATAACCAGTTACCTTCCCCGTGCGCCACCCACACCCCCAGCCGCGCTCCCGCCATCCCCAGTACAAACCAGTCTAACCAGTCTAACCAGTATAACCAGTTACCTTCCCCGTGCGCCACCCACACCCCCAGCCGCGCTCCCGCCCTGCCCAGTACAAACCAGTCTAACCAGTATAACCAGTATAACCAGTTACCTTCCCCGTGCGCCACCCACACCCCCAGCCGCGCTCCCGCCCTGCCCAGTACAAACCAGTCTGACCAGTATAACCAGTTACCTTCCCCGTGCGCCACCCACACCCCCAGCCGCGCTCCCGCCATCCCCAGTACAAACCAGTATAAACCAGTATAACCAGTTACCTTCCCCGTGCGCCACCCACACCCCCAGCCGCGCTCCCGCCATCCCCAGTACAAACCAGTACAAACCAGTCTAACCAGTATAACCAGTTACCTTCCCCGTGCGCCACCCACACCCCCAGCCGCGCTCCCGCCATCCCCAGTACAAACCAGTATAAACCAGTATAACCAGTATAACCAGTTACCTTCCCCGTGCGCCACCACACCCCCAGCCGCGCTCCCGCCATCCCCAGTACAAACCAGTATAAACCAGTATAACCAGTTACCTTCCCCGTGCGCCACCCACACCCCCAGCCGCGCTCCCGCCCTGCCCAGTACAAACCAGTATAAACCAGTATAACCAGTTACCTTCCCCGTGCGCCACCCACACCCCCAGCCGCGCTCCCGCCATCCCAGTACAAACCAGTATAAACCAGTATAAACCAGTATAACCAGTTACCTTCCCCGTGCGCCACCCACACCCCCAGCCGCGCTCCCGCCATCCCCAGTACAAACCAGTATAAACCAGTATAACCAGTTACCTTCCCCGTGCGCCACCCACACCCCCAGCCGCGCTCCCGCCCTGCCCAGTACAAACCAGTATAAACCAGTATAACCAGTTACCTTCCCCGTGCGCCACCCACACCCCCAGCCGCGCTCCCGCCATCCCCAGTACAAACCAGTATAAACCAGTATAACCAGTATAACCAGTTACCTTCCCCGTGCGCCACCCACACCCCCAGCCGCGCTCCCGCCATCCCCAGTACAAACCAGTATAAACCAGTATAACCAGTATAACCAGTTACCTTCCCCGTGCGCCACCCACACCCCCAGCCGCGCTCCCGCCATCCCCAGTACAAACCAGTATAAACCAGTATAACCAGTATAACCAGTTACCTTCCCCGTGCGCCACCCACACCCCCAGCCGCGCTCCCGCCATCCCAGTACAAACCAGTATAACCAGTATAACCAGTTACCTTCCCCGTGCGCCACCCACACCCCCAGCCGCGCTCCCGCCATCCCCAGTACAAACCAGTATAAACCAGTATAACCAGTTACCTTCCCCGTGCGCCACCCACACCCCCAGCCGCGCTCCCGCCATCCCCAGTACAAACCAGTATAACCAGTATAACCAGTTACCTTCCCCGTGCGCCACCCACACCCCCAGCCGCGCTCCCGCCCTGCCCAGTACAAACCAGTATAAACCAGTCTAACCAGTATAACCAGTTACCTTCCCCGTGCGCCACCCACACCCCCAGCCGCGCTCCCGCCATCCCCAGTACAAACCAGTATAAACCAGTCTAACCAGTATAACCAGTTACCTTCCCCGTGCGCCACCCACACCCCCAGCCGCGCTCCCGCCCTGCCCAGTACAAACCAGTCTAACCAGTATAACCAGTTACCTTCCCCGTGCGCCACCCACACCCCCAGCCGCGCTCCCGCCCTGCCCAGTACAAACCAGTATAAACCAGTATAACCAGTTACCTTCCCCGTGCGCCACCCACACCCCCAGCCGCGCTCCCGCCATCCCAGTACAAACCAGTATAAACCAGTATAACCAGTTACCTTCCCCGTGCGCCACCCACACCCCCAGCCGCGCTCCCGCCATCCCCAGTATAAACCAGTCTAACCAGTATAACCAGTTACCTTCCCCGTGCGCCACCCACACCCCCAGCCGCGCTCCCGCCATCCCCAGTACAAACCAGTATAAACCAGTATAACCAGTATAACCAGTTACCTTCCCCGTGCGCCACCCACACCCCCAGCCGCGCTCCCGCCATCCCCAGTACAAACCAGTACAAACCAGTATAACCAGTATAACCAGTTACCTTCCCCGTGCGCCACCCACACCCCCAGCCGCGCTCCCGCCATCCCAGTACAAACCAGTATAACCAGTATAACCAGTTACCTTCCCCGTGCGCCACCCACACCCCCAGCCGCGCTCCCGCCCTCCCCAGTACAAACCAGTATAAACCAGTCTAACCAGTATAACCAGTTACCTTCCCCGTGCGCCACCCACACCCCCAGCCGCGCTCCCGCCCTGCCCAGTACAAACCAGTATAACCAGTCTAACCAGTATAACCAGTTACCTTCCCCGTGCGCCACCCACACCCCCAGCCGCGCTCCCGCCATCCCCAGTACAAACCAGTATAACCAGTATAACCAGTTACCTTCCCCGTGCGCCACCCACACCCCCAGCCGCGCTCCCGCCATCCCCAGTACAAACCAGTATAAACCAGTCTAACCAGTATAACCAGTTACCTTCCCCGTGCGCCACCCACACCCCCAGCCGCGCTCCCGCCATCCCCCAGTACAAACCAGTATAAACCAGTCTAACCAGTATAACCAGTTACCTTCCCCGTGCGCCACCCACACCCCCAGCCGCGCTCCCGCCATCCCCAGTACAAACCAGTATAAACCAGTATAACCAGTATAACCAGTTACCTTCCCCGTGCGCCACCCACACCCCCAGCCGCGCTCCCGCCATCCCCAGTACAAACCAGTATAAACCAGTCTAACCAGTATAACCAGTTACCTTCCCCGTGCGCCACCCACACCCCCAGCCGCGCTCCCGCCATCCCCAGTACAAACCAGTATAAACCAGTATAACCAGTATAACCAGTTACCTTCCCCGTGCGCCACCCACACCCCCAGCCGCGCTCCCGCCATCCCCCGCAGCAGCAGCGCCGGTCCTGGTTCCACGCGGACGGTGACAAATCGCGACTCGAAGCGCCCCGAGAGGTTCCGCTCCAGCGCCACCTGAGGGGACGGGTCCGTGAGGCTGTCACCTGCCAGGGAAATGTCACCAAAGTGTCACCGAGGGTCACCTCAGGGCCACCAGGGCTTGGGGACATCAAGGGGACATGGAGGGGACAGCACAAAAAAAGAAACCCCAAAGGGACAAAGTTGGGGACACTTTTGGTGACACTTCTGGGGATGTTCTGGAGATGCCACCACTCCCACTGACTGAGACCATGGGGCTGTCACCTGTCATGGGAATGTCACCAAGGGTCACCGGGGGTCACCTGAGTGTCACCAAGGCTTGGGGACATTGAGAGGACATCAAGGGGACATTGAGGGGACATCACAAAAACAGAAACCTCAAAGGGACAAAGTTTGGGGACACTTTTGGGGACACTTCTGGGGACACTGCCACCGCCAGCAGGACCATGAGGTTGTCACCTGACAGGGAATGTCACCAAAGTGTCACCAAGGGTCACCAGGGGTTGGGGACATCAAGGGGACACCTTGGGGACAGTCCCGGGACACAAACCCCAAAGGGACAAAGTTGGGGACACTTCTGGGGACATTCTGGAGATGCCACCACACCCACCGAGACCATGGGGCTGTCACCTGTCACAGGAATGTCACCAGAGTGTCACCAAGGGTCACCTCAGTGTCACCAGGGGGTGGCATCGAAGGGACATCAAGAGGACACCTTGGGGACAGCCCCGGGACACAAACCCCAAAGGGACAAAGTTTGGGGACACTTCTGGGGACACTTCTGGGGACACTGCCACCCCCAGCAGGACCATGGGGCTGTCACCTGCCAGGGAATGTCACCAAAGTGTCACCAAGGGTCACCTCAGTGTCACCAGGGCTTGGGGACATCAATGGGACAGCACAAAAACAGAAACCCCAAAGGGAAACCCCAAAGGGACAAAGTTGGGGACACCTCCAAGAGATGCCACCACCCTCACCAGGACCATGGGGCTGTCACCTGTCACAGGAATGTCACCAGAGTGTCACCAAGGGTCACTTCAGGGCCACCAGGGGTTGGGGACATGGAGGGGACATCGAGGGGACAGCCCAAAAGCAGAAACCCCAAAGGGACAAAGTTGGGGACACTTCTGGGGACACTTCTGGGGACATTCTGGAGATGCCACCACCCTCACCAGGACCATGGGGCTGTCACCTGCTGGGGGAATGTCACCAGAGTGTCACCAAGGGTCACCAGGGCTTGGGGACATCGAGTGGACATTAAAGGGACATTGAGGGGACAACCCAAAAACAGAAACCCCAAAGGGACAAAGTTGGGGACACTTTTGGGGACACTTCTGGGGATGTTCTGGAGATGCCACCACCCCCACCAGGACCGTGCGGCTGTCACCTGTCAGGGAAATGTCACCAAGGGTCACCAGAGCTTGGGGACATGGAGGTGACATTGAGGGGACACCTTGGGGACACTCCCGGGACAGAAACCCCAAAGGGACAAAGTTGGGGACACTTCTGGGGATGTTCTGGAGATGCCACCACTCCCACCAGGACCGTGGGGCTGTCACCTGTCAGGGGAATGTCACCAGAGTGTCACCAAGGGTCACCTCAGGGCCACCAGGGGTTGGGGACATGGAGGGGACATGGAGGTGACATTGAGGGGACACCTTGGGGACAGTCCTGGGACAGAAACCCCAAAGGGACAAAGTTGGGGACACTTTTGGGGATGTTCTGGAGATGCCACCACCCTCACCAGGACCGTGGGGCTGTCACTTGTCACAGGAATGTCACCAGAGTGTCACCAAGGGTCACCAGGGCTTGGGGACATGGAGGGGACATGGAGGGGACAGCCCCAGGACACAAACCCCAAAGGGACAAAGTTGGGGACACTTTTGGGGACACTTCTGGGGATGTTCTGGAGATGCCACCACCCTCACCAAGACCGTGGGGCTGTCACCTGTCATGGGGATGGCACCAAAGTGTCACCGAGAGTCACCTCAGGGTCACCTCAGGGTCACCAGGGGTTGGGGACATGGAGGGGACAGCACAAAAACAGAAACCCCAAAGGGAAACCCCAAAGGGACAAAGTTGGGGACACCTCCAAGAGATGCCACCACCCCCAGCAGGCCCATGGGGCTGTCACCTGTCACAGGAATGTCACCAGAGTGTCACCAAGGGTCACCTCAGGGCCACCTCAGGGTCACCTCAGGGCCACCAGGGGTTGGGGACATGGAGGGGACATCGAGGGGACAGCCCCGGGACACAAACCCCAAAGGGACAACGTTGGGGACACTTCTGGGGACACTGCCACCCCCAGCAGGACCATGGGGGTGTCACCTGTCACAGGAATGTCACCAAAGTGTCACCAAGGGTCACCTCAGGGTCACTTTAGTATCACCAGGGGTTGGGGACATCGGGGGGACATGGAGGGGACAGAGCAGGGACAAGAAACCCCAAAGGGACAAAGTTTGGGGACACCTTTGGGGACATTCTGGAGATGCCAACACCCCCACCAGGACCATGGGGCTGTCACCTGACAGGGGGATGTCACCAGAGTGTCACCAAGGGTCACCTCAGTGTCACCTCAGGGTCACCAGGGGTTGGGGACATCGAGGGGACAGCACAAAAAGAGGAACCCCAAAGGGACAAAGTTTGGGACACTTTTGGTGACACTTCTGGGGATGTTCTGGAGATGCCACCACACCCACCAGGACCGTGGGGCTGTCACCTGTCAGGGGAATGTCACCAGAGTGTCACCAAGGGTCACCTCAGGGCCACCAGGGGTTGGGGACATCAAGAGGACATCGAGAGGACATTGAGAGGACAGCACAAAAAAAGAAACCCCAAAGGGAGAAAGTTTGGGGACACCTTTGGGGACATTCTGGAGATGCCACCACCCCCACCAGGACCATGGGGCTGTCACTTGTCACAGGAATGTCACCAGAGTGTCACCAAGGGTCACCTCAGTGCCACCAGGGGTTGGGGACATGGAGGGGACAGCACAAAAACAAGAGCCCCAAAGGGAAACCCCAAAGGGAGAAAGTTGGGGACACTTTTGGGGACACTTCTGGGGACACTTCTGGAGATGCCACCACCCACACCAGGACCATGGGGCTGTCACCTGTCACAGGAATGTCACCAGAGTGTCACCAAGGGTCACCTCAGGGTCACTTTAGTGTCACAAGGGGGGTGGCACAGAAGGTGACACAGTGACACAGTGACACAGTGACACACAGGTGACACAGGTGACAATGAGGTGACACAGGTGACACAGGTGACACAGGTGACACACAGGAGGTGACACTGACCTGGCGGTGACACCCAGCCCAGCAGCGCCATCAGCTGACACCCGTTGCACACCCCCAGGCTGAAGGTGCGGGTGTGACACAGGTGACACAGGTGACACAGTGACACACAGGTGACAATGAGGTGACACAGGTGACAATGAGGTGACACAGGAGGTGACACTGACCTGGCGGTGACACCCAGCCCAGCAGCGCCATCAGCTGACACCCGTTGCACACCCCCAGGCTGAAGGTGCGGGTGTGACACAGTGACACAGTGACACAGTGACACACAGGTGACAATGAGGTGACACAGGTGACAATGAGGTGACACAGGTGACACAGGTGACAATGAGGTGACACAGGTGACAATGAGGTGACACAGTGACACAGGTGACAATGAGGTGACACAGGTGACAATGAGGTGACACAGTGACACAGGTGACAATGAGGTGACACAGGTGACAATGAGGTGACACAGGTGACACGGTGACACTGACCTGGCGGTGACACCCAGCCCAGCAGCGCCATCAGCTGACACCCGTTGCACACCCCAAGGCTGAAGGTGCGGGTGTGACACAGTGACACAGTGACACAGTGACACACAGTGACACACAGGTGACAATGAGGTGACACAGGTGACAATGAGGTGACACAGGTGACACACAGGTGACACACAGGTGACACTGACCTGGCGGTGACACCCAGCCCAGCAGCGCCATCAGCTGACACCCGTTGCACACCCCCAGGCTGAAGGTGCGGGTGTGACACAGTGACACAGTGACACAGGTGACACAGGTGACACAGGTGACACAGGTGACACAGGTGACACACAGGTGACACTGACCTGGCGGTGACACCCAGCCCAGCAGCGCCATCAGCTGACACCCGTTGCACACCCCCAGGCTGAAGGTGCGGGTGTGACACAGTGACACAGTGACACAGGTGACACAGGTGACACAGTGACACAGTGACACAGTGACACACAGGTGACACAGGTGACAATGAGGTGACACAGGTGACACAGGTGACACGGTGACACTGACCTGGCGGTGACACCCAGCCCAGCAGCGCCATCAGCTGACACCCGTTGCACACCCCGAGGCTGAAGGTGCGGGTGTGACACAGGTGACACAGTGACACAGTGACACAGGTGACAATGAGGTGACACAGGTGACAATGAGGTGACACAGGTGACACAGGTGACACACAGGTGACACTGACCTGGCGGTGACACCCAGCCCAGCAGCGCCATCAGCTGACACCCGTTGCACACCCCAAGGCTGAAGGTGCGGGTGTGACACAGTGACACAGTGACACAGGTGACACAGGTGACACAGGTGACACAGTGACACACAGGTGACACAGGTGACACAGGTGACACACAGGTGACACAGGTGACACAGGTGACACACAGGTGACACAGGTGACACAGGTGACACAGGTGACACAGGTGACACACAGGTGACACAGGTGACACAGGTGACACAGGTGACACACAGGTGACACAGGTGACACAGGTGACAATGAGGTGACACAGGTGACAATGAGGTGACACAGGTGACACTCAGGTGACACTGACCTGGCGGTGACACCCAGCCCAGCAGCGCCATCAGCTGACACCCGTTGCACACCCCAAGGCTGAAGGTGCGGGTGTGACACAGGTGACACAGTGACACAGGTGACACACAGGTGACAATGAGGTGACACACAGGTGACAATGAGGTGACACAGGTGACACAGGTGACACTGACCTGGCGGTGACACCCAGCCCAGCAGCGCCATCAGCTGACACCCGTTGCACACCCCCAGGCTGAAGGTCTCCGGGCGGTTCCGGAATCGCTGCAGCCGCTGCCGCGGCCCCGCCTGGAACAGCAGCGACGCCGCCCAGCCTGCAACGGGAATTAAATACAAATATTAATAATTAAATTAAATTGAATTAATTAAATGAAATTAAATGAAATAAAATGAAATAAAAATAAAATAAAATAAAATAAAATGAAGTAAAATGAAATTAAATGAAATAAAATAAAATAAAATAAAATAAAATTAAAATAAAATAAAATAAAGTACAATGAAATTAAAGATATTAATAAAATGAAATGAAATAAGGTAAAATAAAATAAAATTATAAAATAAAATAAATGAAATAAAAGAACATAAAATAAAATAAAATAAAATGAAGTAAAATGAAACAAAATAAAATAATAAAACGAAATGAAATAAAGTAAAATAAAATAAAATTATAAAATAAATGAAATGAAATGAAATAAAATAAAGTAAAATAAAATAAAAATAAAAGAAAATAAAATAAAGTAGAATGAAATGAAATGAAATAATGAAATGAAATGAAATAAAGTAAAATAAAGTAAAATAAAATAAAATAAAATAATGAAATGAAATGAAATAAAATAAAAATAAAATGAAGTAAAATGAAATGAAATTAAATAATAAAATGAAATGAAATGAAATGAAATGAAATAAAATAAAGTAAAATAAAATAAAGATAAAATAAAATAATAAAATAAATGAAAAAAATGAAATGAAATGAAATGAAAATAAAATAAAGTGAAATAAAATGAAAGGAAATAAAATAAAATAGAGTAAAATAAAATAAAATAAAATGAAGTAAAATGAAATGAAATAAAATAAAGTAAAATAAAATTAAAAAAAAGTAAAATGAAGTAAAATGAAATTAAATATATAAATAAAATGAAATGAAATGAAATGAAATGAAATAAAATAAAATAAAATAATAAAATAAATGTAATGAAATGAAATGAAATAAAATAATGAAATAAAATAAAATAATAAAATAAATTAAATTAAATGGAATAAGATAAAATAAAACAAAATAAAATAAAATAAAATAAATATAAAATAAAATAATTTAAAAAATGAAATAAAATAAAATACAATAAAATAAAATATAAATTTATAAATTTTGTTGAATTTTGGTGATTTGGGGGGGATTTTGGGGGGATTGTTGTGGCTTTTTTTTATTTTTGTGGATTTTTTTGGGATTTCTCCCCGTTTCTGTGGGATTTGGGGTTTTCGGATTTTGGGTTTTTTGGGGCCATTTTTGGGTTTTTTTGCAGACTTTTTTGGGATTTTTGTTGAGACTTTTGGGATATTTTTAGGATTTTTGGGGGTTTTTTGTTCAGTTTTTGGGGAATTTTGGGGGGATTTTAGGGGGATTTTTTGGGTTTTTTTTTGTTGAATTTTGGTAATTTTGTGGGGATTTTGGGGGGATTTTTGCGTATTTTTTAGGGATTTTTGTGGATTTTTTGGGGCTTTCTCCCCATTGTTATGGAATTTGGGATTTGGGTTTTTTTGGGGTGTTTTTGGGGTGTTTTTGGGGTGTTTTTGGGGCGCCTCTCTCACCTTTGGCTGAGCCCAGCACGTCGGCGTAGCTGAAGCCGCCCACGAAAACCAAACCCCGGAACCCGTCCAGGGAGGCGGCGTCGGAGCAGAGATCCTGCGTGGTCACGTCCCACACCTGCAACCCCAAAAATCCCAGATCAGACCCCAAAAAATACCCCAAAAATCCCACCCCAAACACCCCAAATGGGAGGGAGTCCAAAAAATCCCCAAAAAATCCCCAAAAAATCAAAAAAACTCCAAAAAACCCAGATCAGACCCCAAAACACCCCAAAAATCCCACCCCAAAAACCCCAAAATGGGAGTGATCCCAAAAAAATCCCCAAAAATCCCCAAAAACCCACAAAACACCCCAAAATCCCACCCCAAAAACCCCAAAATGGGAGGGAGTCCAAAGAACCCCAAAAATCCACAAGTTACCCCAAAAATCCCAACCCAAAACCCCCAAAAATCCCCTAACGATCCCAAAAACCTGACCCAAAAACCCCAAAATTGGAGTGAGCCCAAAAAAATCCCCAAAAATCCCCAAAAACCCCCAAAACACCCCAAAATCCCACCCCAAAAACCCCAAAATGGGAGTGATCCCAAAAAAATCCCCAAAAATCCCCCAAAATCCCCAAAAACCCAAGAAACCCCAAAAATCCCACCCCAAAAACCCCAAACTGGGAGTGATCCCCAAAAAAATCCCCAAAAATCCCCAAAATCCCCAAAACCCCAAAAAACCCAAAAAATCCCACCCCAAAAACCCCAAAATGGGAGTGAGCCAAAAAAAACCCACAAAAATCCCCAAAAACCCAAAAAACCAAAAAAATCCCATCCCCAAAACCCAAAATGGGAGTGAGCCCAAAAAAATCCCAAAAAATCCCCAAAAAACCCCAAAAAACCAAAAAAATCCCACCCCAAAAATCCCAAAATGGGAGTGAGCCAAAAAAATCCCCAAAAATCCCCAAAAACCCAAAAAACCCCAAAAAATCCCCCCCCCAAAACCCCAAAATGGGAGTGATCCCAAAAAAATCCCCAAAAATCCCCAAAAAAACCAAAAAAATCCCACCCCAAAAACCCCAAAATGGGAGTGATCCCAAAAAAATACCAAAAAATCCCCAAAAACCCCAAAAAACCCAAAAATCTCACCCCAAAAACCCCAAATGGGAGGGAGTCCAAAGAACCCCAAAAATCCACAAGTTACCCCAAAATCCCACCCCAAAAACCCCAAATGGGAGGGAGCCCAAAAAAATCCCCAAAAACCCAAAAAAACCCCAAAAATCCCACCCCAAAAACCCCAAAATGGGAGTGATCCCAAAGAAACCCCAAAAATCCCCAAAAACCCCCAAAACACCCCAAAATCCCACCCCAAAAACCCCAAATGGGAGGGAGCCCAAAGAACCCCAAAAATCCACAAGTTACCCCAAAAATCCCGACCCAAAACCCCCAAAAATCCTCTAAATATCCCAAAAACCTGAGCCAAAAACCCCAAAATGGGAGTGATCCCCCCAAAAAAAACCACCAAGAAATCCCCAAAAATCCAAAAAGTCCCACCCCAAAGCCCCAAAATTGGAGTGAGCCAAAAAAACCCCAAAAAATCCCACCCCAAAAATCCCAAAATGGGAGTGATCCCAAAAAATCCCAAAATATCCCCAAAAAACCAAAAAAATCTCATCCCCAAAACCCCAAAATGGGAGTGATCCCAAAAAAAATCCCAAAAAATCCCCAAAAACCCCAAAAAATCCCCAAAAATCCAAAAAGTCCCACCCCAAAAACCCCAAAATTGGAGTGAGCCCAAAAAAACCCCAAAAATCCCATCCCAAAAATCCCAAAATGGGAGTGATCCCAAAAAAAATCCCCAAAAATCCCCAAAAACGCCCAAAACACCCCAAAATCCCACCCCAAAAACCCCAAAATGGGAGGGAGTCCAAAAAAATCCCCAAAAATCCCCCAAAATCCCCCCAAACCCCAAAAAACCCTAAAAATCCCATCCCAAAAACCCCAAAATGGGAGTGATCCCAAAAAAATCCCCAAATCCAAAAGTTACCCCCAAAAATCCCCGGCTCAGACCCCAAAAAAACCCAAAAGCCGCCCCAAAAACATTGAAATGGGAGTGAACTTAAAGAAACCCAAAAAAATACCCAAAAAGTCCCAAAAAAACCCCCAAAATCCCACCCCAAAAACCCCAAACTGGGAGTGATCCCCAAAAAAAGAAAAAATGCCACAAGTTACCCCAAAAAACCCAAAAATCCCAAAAAAAAGCTCATCCCCAAAACCCCAAAATAGGTGTGAGCCCAAAAACCCCAAAAATCCAAAAAACCCCAAAAAAATCCCCAAAAAATCCCAAAACTTCCACCCAAAAAACCCCCAGGCTGTTTTGGGGTGGTTTTGGGTGTTCCCGGCAGTTTTGGGGCTGTTCTGGGGTGTTTTGTGGTATTTTTGGGGTGTTTGGGGTATTTTTGGGATGTTTTGGGCTGGTTTTGGGGTTTTTTGGGCTGTTTTTGGGTTGTTTTGGGCTGTTTTTGGGCTGTTTTGGGGTGTTTTTGGGGTATTTTTGGGTGTTCTGTGGTGTTTGGGGTGTTTTGGGGCCCTGGGGCTGTTCTGGGGTGTTTTGTGGTATTTTTGGGGTGTTTGGGGTATTTTTGACTGGTTTTGGGGTGTTTTTGGGCTGTTTTTGGGCTGTTTTTGGGGTGTTTTGGGCTGTTTCGGGCTGGTTTTGGGGTGTTTTGGGGGTGTTTTGGGCTGTTTTTGGGGTGTTTTTGGGGTGTTTTTGGGGTGTTTCGGGCTGTTTTTGGGGTGTTTCGGGCTGTTTTAGGCTCTTTTCGGGGTGTCACCTGGAAGCCGGCCATGGCCAAGGCCGCCGCCATCTCCCGGTCGCCGTTGCTGCCCTCCTCCCTCAGCACGGCCACGCGCGGCCCCGGCAGCTCTGGGGGACCCCAAAAATCGGCACCAGCACCCCCAAAAACCCCCAAAACCGCCCCAAATCCCGCAGACCCCAAAAAACCCAAACCCCAAAAATAATGGAAAAAAAAACCCCCAAAATCGCATAAAAATCCCAGAAAATCCCATAAAAATCCCAGAAAATCCCATAAAAATCCCAAAAAAAGCCATTAAATCCCCCAATGTTCCCAATCCCCTCAATGTCCCCACTGTCCCCAATGTCCCCAAATCCTCAATGTCCCCAATGTCCCCAAAATGTCCCCAAATCCCCCAATCCCCGACGTCCCCAATGTCCCCAACCCCTCCACTATTCCCCAATGTCCCCAAAATCCTCAAAATGTCCCCAATGTCCCCAAATGTCCCCAACATAGCCAATGTCCCCAATGTCCCCAAATTCCCCCCAGTGTCCCCAATGTCCCCAAATGTCCCCAACATAGCCAATGTCCCCAATGTCCCCAAATTCCCCCCAGTGTCCCCAATGTCCCCAAATGTCCCCAATGTCCCCAATGTCCCCAAATCGTCTCCAACGTGGCCAAATGTCCCCAACAGCCGCAATGTCCCCAAAACCCCCAATCCCCACAATGTCCCCAATGTCCCCAAAATGTCCCAAATGTCCCCAGTGTCCCCAAAAATCCCCAAAGTGTTCTCAATGTCCCAATGTCCCCAACTCCCTCAATGTCCCCAAAACCCCCAATCCCCCAACACCCCCAATCCTCCAAATGTCCCCAACACCCCCAAAGTCCCCAAAGTCCCCAATGTCCCCAATGTCCCCAATGTCTCCAATGTCCCCCAATGTCCCCAATGTCCCCAAATGTCCCCAATGTCCCCAATGTCCCCCAATGTCCCCAATGTCTCCAATGTCCCCAAATGTCCCCAATGTCCCCAATGTCCCCCAATGTCCCCAAAGTCCCCAATGTCCCCAAATGTCCCCAATGTCCCCAATGTCCCCAAAATCCCCAATCCCCCCAATGTCCCCAATGTCACCAATGTCCCCAAAACCCCCAATCCCCACAATGTCCCCGATGTCTCCAACATCCCCAATCACCCCAAAATGTCCCAAATGTCCCCCAATGTCCCCAATGTCCCCAATGTCCCCCAATGTCCCCCAATGTCCCCAAATCCCTCAATGTCTCCAGTGCGGCCAAATGTCCCCAACACCCGCAATGCCCCCAAAATCCCCCAATCCCCCCGACGTCCCCAACGTCCCCCCCATGTCCCCAACATCACCAATGTCCCCAATGTCCCCACTCCCCCCAATGTCCCCAATGTCCCCAATGTCACCAATGTCCCCAAAACCCCCAATCCCCACAATGTCCCCGATGTCTCCAACATCCCCAATCACCCCAAAATGTCCCCAATGTCCCCCAATGTCCCCAATGTCCCCAATGTCCCCCAATGTCCCCAATCCCCTCGATGTCCCCAATGTCCCCCCAATGTCCCCAAATGTCCCCAATGTCCCCAATGTCCCCAATGTCCCCAATGTCCCCAATGTCCCCAGTGTCCCCAATGTCCCCAATGTCCCCAATGTCCCCAATGTCCTCAATGTCCCCAATGTCCCCAACACCCCCAATGTCTCCCCAATGTCCCCAAATCCCCCAATGTCTCCTGTGTGGCCAAATGTCCCCAACGTCCCCAATGTCCCCAAAATCCCCAATCTCCCAATGTCCCCAATCCCCCCAATGTCCCCAATGTCCCCAAATGTCCCCAAACACCCCCAATGTCCCCAATGTCCCCAAAATCCCCCAATCCCCCTCGACGTCCCCAATGTCCCCACAACGTCCCCAATGTCCCCAACACCCCCAATGTCCCCACTGTCCCCAATGTCCCCAATCCCCCAATGTCTCCAATGTCCCCAAATGTCCCCAAAATCCCCAATCCCCCAACACCCCCAATCCTCCAAATGTCCCCAATGTCCCCAATGTCCCCAACACCCCCAATGTCCCCGTGTCCCCCGTCCCCCCAATGTCCCCGGTGTCCCCGTGTCCCCCCACTGTCCCCGTGTCCCCCATCCCCCCGATGTCCCCACTGTCCCCGTGTCCCCACTGTCCCCGTGTCCCCACCCATGCTCCGCGCCACCGGTGCCACGTAGTCGGGGTCGAAGGTGACATGGTACTCGGGTCCCCACCGCGTGGGCAGGTCCTGCTCCTCCTGCTCCACGCAGGCCGGCGCCGCCTGCAGCCGCTCCAGCTGGAAACTCGTCTGCTCCCACAGCGCCCGAAGGTCCCCCACCGGCTCGGCCAGCACCTCCTGGCCACCCACGGCCACCGTCACCTGCGGGACAGCGGGGACGCTTCAGACACTGGGGACGTGGAGAACTTCGGGGACGTTCGGGACATGGAGAACTTTAGGGATGTTGAGGACATGGAGAACTTTGGGGACGTTTGGGACATGGAGAACATTGGGGACATTGAGGACATGGAGAACATTGGGGACGTTCGGGACATGGAGAACTTTGAAGGACATGGAGAAAATTGAAGGACATGGAGAACTTCGGGGACGTTCAGGACATTGAAGGACATGGAGAACTTTGGGGACGTTGAGGACATTGAAGGACATGGAGAACTTTGAAGGACATGGAGAACTTTGGGGATGTTGAGGACATTAAAGGACATGGAGAACTTTGAAGGACATGGAGAACTTTGGGGACATTGAGGACATGGAGAACTTTGGGGACGTTGAGGACATTGAAGGACATGGAGAACTTTGGGGACGTTCGGGACATGGAGAACTTTGGGGACGTTCGGGACATGGAGAACTTTGGGGACGTTGAGGACATTGAAGGACATGGAGAACTTTGAAGGACATGGAGAACTTTGGGGACGTTCGGGACATGGAGAACTTTGGGGATGTTGAGGACATTGAAGGACATGGAGAACTTTGGGGACATTCAGGACATGGAGAACTTTGAAGGACGTGGAGAACTTTGGGGACGTTTGGGACATGGAGAACTTTGGGGACGTTGAGGACATTGAAGGACATGGAGAACTTTGGGGACGTTCAGAACATGGAGAACTTTGGGGACGTTCGGGACATGGAGAACTTTGGGGACGTTCGGGACATGGAGAACTTTGGGGAGGTTGAGGACATTAAAGGACATGGAGAACTTTGAAGAACATGGAGAACTTTGGGGACGTTCCAGACATGGAGAACTTTGAAGGACATGGAGAACTTTGGAGACATTGAGGACATTGAAGGACATGGAGAACTTTGGGGACATTGAGGACATTGAAGGACATGGAGAACTTTGGGGATGTTCGGGACATTGAAGGACATGGAGAACTTTGAAGGACATGGAGAACTTTGGGGACATTCAGGATATGGAGAACTTTGGGGACGTTGATGACATTGAAGGACAGGGAGAACTTTGAAGGACATGGAGAATTTGGGGACGTTGAGGACATGGAGAACTTTGAAGGACATGGAGAACTTTGGGGATGTTGAGGACATGGAGAACTTTGAATGTCCCCAGTGTCCCCAATGTCCCCAACCCCCCAGTGTCCCCACCCCCGCTGTCCCTCACCATGGCGCGGGGGCCGTAGGGGCCGCTGTGGCCGATGGGGACACAGGTGACACCGGCGTCCTGGTAGCGGCGGCACACGGGGACAGCGGCTGCCGGTGGCACCTCCAGCAGCAGACCCGGCTCCTCGGCAAAGAGCAGCGCCAGCGCTGGGGACATGGGACAGTGGGGACAGTGAGGGGACAGTGGGGACAGTGGGGACATTGGGGGGACAGTGGGGGGACATTGGGGACAGTGGGGGCATTGGGGACATTGGGGACAGTGAGGGGACACTGGGGACAGTGAGGGGACAGTGGGGACATTGGGGACATTGGGGACATTGAGGGGACAGTGGGGACAGTGGGGACAGTGAGGGGACAGTGGGGACAGTGAGGGGACATTGGGGACATTGGGGACATTGGGGGGATTGGGGACATTGAGGGGATTGGGGACATTGGGGACATTGGGGGGACATTGGGGGGGTTGGGGACATTGGGGACATTGGGGACAGTGGGGACAGTGGGGACTTTGGGGGGATTTGGGACAATGTGGGACATTGGGGACAGTGGGGACACTGAGGGGATATTGGGGACATTTGGGGACATTGGGGACATTGGGGGGACATTTGGGACATTGGGGGGATTGGGGACAGTGAGGGGACATTGGGGACAGTGGGGGGACATTGGGGACAGTGGGGACACTGAGGGGACATTGGGGGACATTTGGGGACATTGGGGACATTGGGGGGACATTGGGGACAGTGAGGGGACAGTGGGGACATTGGGGACATTGGGGACATTGGGGACATTGGGGGGGTTGGGGACATTGGGGACATTGGGGACATTGGGGACATTGGGGACATTGGGGACAGTGGGGGGTTAGGGACATTGGGGACATTGGGGAGACATTGATGGGACTGGGGCACCAGGTTTGGGGACATTGGGGCCATTGGGGCCATTGGGGCCATTGGGGCCATTGGGGACATTGGGGACACTGGGGACATTGGGGACACCGGGGCCGCGGTGGCACTGACGGGTGACGCCGGGCGGCGGCGCGGGGACGGTGACGGTGACGCCGCAGTTGCCGGCGAAGGCCATCTCCAGCAGGCAGCCCAACATGCCACCATCGCTCACGTCGTGTCCCGCCGTCAGCACCCGCTCTGGGGACACGCAGTGGCACCCAGGGTCACCAAGGGTCACCAGGGTCACCTCGGGTGACCCAGGGTCACCAAGGGTCACCCAGGGTCACCAAGGGTCACCCAGGGTCACCAAGGGTCACCAGGGTCACCTCGGGGCTACCCAGGGTCACCAAGGGTCACCAAGGGTCACCAAGGGTCACCCAGGGTCATCTCGGGGCCACCCAGGGTCACCAAGGGTCATCTAATGTCACCCAAGGCCCACCTAATGTCACCAAGAGTCACGTCGGGGTCACCAAATGTCACCCAGGGTCTCAGATGTCACCTCGAGGTCACCAAATGTCACCTCAAGGTCACCAAGTGTCACCCAGGGTCAGCTAATGTCACCAAGGGTCACCCAGGGGCTCCAAATGTCACCCTGGGGTCACTCAGAGTCACCAGATGTCACCTAGGGCCATCAAATGTCAACCTCAGGGTCACCAAATGTCACCTCAAGGTCACCAAGTGTCACCCAGGGCCACCCCAGGGCCACCTAATGTCACTCCAGGGTCACCTGATGTCACCAAGAGTCACCTAAAGTCACCCAGGGTCACCTGATGTCACCAAGGGTCACCCAGGGTCACCTCGGGGCCACCCAGGGTCACCTCGGGGCCACCCAGGGTCACCTCGGGTCACCCAGGGTCACCTCGGGGCCACCCAGGGTCACCCAGGGTCACCTCGGGGCCACCCAGGGTCACCTTGGGGCCACCCAGGGTCACCCAGTTTCACCTCAGGGCCACCCAGGGTCACCCAGGGTCACCTCGGGGCACCCAGGGTCACATCAGGGCCACCCAGGGTCACCAAGGGTCATCTGATGTCACCCAAGGCCCACCTAATGTCACCAAGAGTCACGTCGGGGTCACCAAGTGTCACCCCAGGGCCCCAGATGTCACCTCGAGGTCACCAAATGTCACCTCAAGGTCACCAAGTGTCACCCAGGATCAGCTAATGTCACCCAGGGTCACCCTGGGGCCACCGAGGGTCACCTAATGTCGCTGAGGGTCATGTCAGGGTCACCAAGTGTCACCAAGGGTCACCAAATGTCACCAAGGGTCACCCCAGGGCCACCTAATGTCACTCCAGGGTCACCTGATGTCACCAAGGGTCACCTAAAGTCACCCAGGGTCATGTCAAGGTCACCAAATGTCAACCTCAGGGTCACCAAATGTCACCCAGGGCCACCAAATGTCAACCTCAGGGTCACCAAATGTCACCTCAAGGTCACCAAGTGTCCCCCAGAGCCACCTCAGGGTCACCAAATGTCACCCAGGGGCTCCAAATGTCACCTCAGGGTCACTGTGGGGTTTTTCACCCCTAAATCTTCATTTTTTACCCCAAAATCCCCATTTTTCACCCAAAAAATTCTGATTTTTCAGCCCCAAACCCCCCAAATCCTCATTTTCCACCAAAACATTTTGATTCTTCACCCCAAAACCCACCAAAATCCTCAATTTTTTTGTCCTAAAATTCCAGTTTTTTCACCCGAAACCCCCCAAAATCCCCGTTTTTTTTTCCCAAAATCGCCGTTTTTTTTTCCCAAAATCCCCGTTTTTTTCCCAAAATCCCCGTTTTTTTTCCCAAAATCCCCGTTTTTCAGCCCAAACCTTCCAGCAGCTGCTGGGTGACGTTGAAGGCGCTCTCGAGGTTCCCGGGCTCGTCCAGGTCGGGGCAGACGTCGCCCAATTGGGAAAAAACCTGGGCCAGGGCGGAGCCGCCCAGGCGGTGCTGCCCGGGGCTGAGCTGCACCCACAGGAGACTCCCTAAAAACCCCAAAATCACCCCAAAAATCAGTCACTGAAATCCCCAAAATCAGCCCCTAAAAACCCCAAAATCACCCCAAAATCAGACACTGAAATCTCCAAAAAAGCCCCAAAAATCAGCCCCTGAAATCCCCAAAATCAGCCACTGAAATCCCCAAAATCACCCAAAAATCAGCCACTGAAATCCCCAAAATCACCCAAAAATCAGACACTGAAATCCCCAAAATCAGACACTGAAATCCCCAAAATCACATCAAAATCAGACCCTGAAATCCCCAAAAACGCCCCAAAAATCAGCCACTGAAATACCCCAAAACACCCCAAAATCAGCCCTGGGCTGCACCCACAGGAGACTCCCAAAAAACCCCCAAAAACACCCCAAAAATCAGCCCCTGAAATACCCAAAATCACCCCAAAAATTAGCCACTAAAATCCCTAAAAGCGCCCCAAAAATCAGCCACTGAAATCCCCCAAAATGCCCCAAAATCAGCCCCGGGCTGCACCCACAGGAGACTCCCTAAAAACCCCGAAATCACCCCAAAAATCAGCCACTGAAATCCCCAAAATCACCCCAAAATCAGAAACTGAAATCCCCAAAATAACCCCAAAAATCAGCCACTGAAATCTCCAAAAACACTTCAAAAATCAGCCCCTGAAATACCCAAAAATGCCCCAAAATCAGCCACTGAAATACCCAAAATCAGCCACTGAAATCCCCAAAATCACCCAAAAATCAGACACTGAAATCCCCAAAAACACCCCAAAAATCAGCCACTGAAATCCCCCCAAATGCCCCAAAAATCAGCCTCTGAAATACCCAAAATCACCCCAAAATCAGCCCCTGAAATCCCCAAAAGCGCCCCAAAAATCAGTCCCTGAAATACCCAAAAATCAGTCTCTGAAATACCCAAAATCACCCCAAAAATCAGCCCCTGAAATACCCAAAAACAGCCCAAAAATCAGTCCCTGAAATATCCAAAAACACCCCAAAAATCGGCCCCTGAAATCCCCAAAATACCCCAAAAATCAGCCACTGAAATCCCCAAAATCACACCAAAATCAGCCCCTGAAATCCCCAAAAATCAGCCCCTGAAATACCCAAAATCACCCCAAAATCAGAAACTGAAATCCCCAAATTCAGCCCAAAAATCAGCCCCTGAAATCCCCAAAATGCCCCAAAAATCAGCCCCTGGAATCCCCCAAAATGCCCCAAAATCAGCCCCGGGCTGCCCCCACAGGAGAATCCCTAAAAACCCCAAAATCAGCCCAAAATCAGCCCCGGGAACCCCAAAATCAGAGATCAGCACGGGGGAGGGTGGGGAGAGGTGCCGGGAAAGGGACCCGAAAATGGGGGAAATCCACCCAAAAATGGAGCTGAAAATTGGGGGATTCCACCCAAAAATGGAGACAAAAATGGGGGAAATTGACCTAAAAATGGACTCAAAAATGGGGAAAATCTACCCAAAAACTGGAGGGAATCCACCCAAAAACGGACCCAGAAATGGAGCCAAAATGGGGAGAGTTGATCCAAAAATGGTGGAAATAGACCCAAAAATGGACCCAAAAATGGGGGAAATTGACCTAAAAATGGGGGGAAATAACCCAAAAAATGGGGATAATCCACCTGAAATTGATTCAAAATAGGGAAAATCAACCCAAAAATGGACGAGAAAAAGGGGAAAATTGACCTAAAAATGGGGGAAATACACCCAAAAATGGAGGAGAAAATGGGGAAAATCCATCCAAAAATGGAGCTGAAAATGGGGGAAATTGACCTAAAAATGGGGGAAATCCACCCAAAAATTTGAGCTAAAAATGAGGAAAATGAACTCAAAAATGGACCCGAAAATGGGGAAAATGAACTCAAAAATGGAGCTGAAAATGGGGAAAATGAACTCAAAAATGGAGCCAAAAATGGGGGAAATCCACCTGAAAATGGACCTGAAAATGGGGGAAATCCACCCAAAAATGGACTCAAAAATGGGGAAAATCCACTCAAAAATTGAGCCAAAAATGGGGAAAATCCACTCAAAACTGGAGCCAAAAATGGGGAAAATCCACCCAAAAATGGAGCCAAAAATTGGGAAAATCCACCCAAAAACTGGGGGGAATCCACCCAAAAATGGACCCAAAAATAAGGGAAATTGACCGAAAAAATGACCCAAAAATGGGAGAAATTGACCCAAAAATGGCCCCAAAAATGGGGAAAATTTACTCAAGAATGGGGAAAATTGACTTAAAAAGGACCCAAAAATGGGGGAAAATGACCCAAAAATGGCCCCAAAAATGGGGGAAATGGACCTAAAAATGGGGAAAATTGACCCAAAAATGGGGAAAATCGACCCCAAAATGGCCCCAAAAATGGGGAAAATTGACCCAAAAATGGCCCCAAAAATGGGAGAAATTGACCCAAAAATGGCCACAAAAATGAGGAAAATTGACTTAAAAATGGCCCCAAAAATGGGGGAAATTGGCACCAAAAGGGACAAAAATGGCCCAAAATGGCCCCAAAAGTGTCCCCAGCTGTCCCCAAGGTGTCCCCAAGGTGTCCCCAAGGTGTCCCCGGTGTCCCCAAGGTGTCCCCGGTGTCCCCGGTGTCCCGGAGGTGTCCCCGGTGTCCCCAAGGTGTCCCCGATGTCCCCAAGGTGTCCCCAGTGTCCCCCAGCTGTCCCCGATGTCCCCAAGGTGTCCCGGAGGTGTCCCCGGTGTCCCCAAGGTGTCCCCGATGTCCCCAAGGTGTCCCCAATGTCCCCAAGGTGTCCCCGATGTCCCCAAGGTGTCCCCAGTGTCCCCCAGCTGTCCCCGGTGTCCCCTCACCGCGGCCGTGGGGACACTTGAGGTCGGGGGTGACGGTGGCGGTGACATCGGGGCACACGGCGTAGGCCGAGATCACCAGGGAGCCTGCGGGGACGGACACGCCGTGTCACCAGTGTCACCGGGGTCACCTCGGGGACACCTGGGTCACCTCAGGGTCACCACAGTGTCACCGGTGTCACCTGGGTAACCTCAGGGTCACCTCGGTCACCTCAGGGTCACCTGGGGCACCTCAGGGTCACCTCGGTGTCACCGGTGTCACCTCGGTGCCACCTCGGTCACCTTGGTGTCATCTGGGTCACCTCGGTGGCACCTGAGTGTGGCCAATGTCTCCTCTGTCCCCAATGTCCCCAAACCCCCCAACGTCCCCAATGTCCCCAATGTCCCCAATCCCTTCTATGTCCCCAATGTCCCCAACCCCCCAATGTCCCCCAATGTCCCCCAATGTCCGCAATGTCCCCAACCCCTCAATGTCCCCAATCCCCTCCACTTCTCCAAAGCCCCCCAATGTCCCCACTGTCCCCAACCCCCCAATGTCCCCAATGTCCCCAATGTCCCCAATGTCCCCAATGTCCCCAATGTCCCCTTGCTGTCCCCGTGTCCCCGCGCTCACCGGGCGCCATGACGGTGTCGCTGCCCACGCGGGCGGCCATGCTGAGCGAGTCCTTGCCGCCATCCACGGCCACGCCCAGGCGGCGCAGCAGTGCCACCAGCGCCTGGCACGCGGCCACCAGCGCCCCGCCCTCCGCGCCCACCTTGGAGCCCCACATCCAATTGCCCGAGCACTTCACGTCCTGGGGACATTGGGGACACGGGGACAGCAGGGGACAGCCGGGGGGTTGGGGGATTGGGGACAGTGGGGACATTGGGGACATTGGGGACATTGGGGACAGCCGGGGGATTGGGGACATTGGGGGATTGGGGACATTGGAGGGATTGGGGACATTGGGGACAGCCGGGGGATTGGGGACATTGGGGACACGGGGACAGCGGGGACAGCCAGGGGATTGGGGACATTGGGGACACCAGGGGACAGCCAGGGGATTGGGGACAGTGGGGACAGCACGGGGACACGGGGGACAGCAGGGGACAGCCCGGGGAATTGGGGACAGAGGGGACAGCAGGGGACAGCCAGGGGATTGGGGACATTGGGGACACCGGGGACACCGGGGACAGCCAGGGGATTGGGGGATTGGGGACATTTAAGGGATTGGGGACATTGAGGACATTGGGGGATTGGGGACATTGGGGACATTGGGGACAATGGGGACAATGGGGAAAGTGGGGACATTGAAAGGATTGGGGACATTGGGGACATTGTGGACATTGGGGATATTGGGGGGATTGGGGACATTGGGGACATTGGGGGATTGGGGACATTGACGACATTGAGGACATTGAGGACATTGGGGACATTGGGGACATTGGGGGGGTTGGGGACATTGGGGACATTGGGGACATTGGGGACATTGGGGGGATTGGGGACATTGGGGACATTTGGGACATTGAGGACATTGGGGATATAAAAGGGATTGGGGACATTGGGGACATTGAGGGGACATTGGGGGATTGGGGACATTGGGGACATTGGGGAAAGTGGGGACATCGGGGACATTGGGGGCATTGGGGACATTGGGGGGATTGGGGACATCGGGGGGACATTGGGGACATTGGGGGGATTGGGGACATTGGGGACAGTGAGGGGACATTGGGGAAAGTGGGGACATTGGGGACATTGGGGACATTGGGGACATTGGGGACATTGGGGACATTGGGGGGATTGGGGACATTGGGGACAGTGAGGGGACATTGGGGAAAGTGGGGACATTGGGGACATTGGGGACATTGGGGACATTGGGGACATTGGGGGGACATTGGGGACATTGGGGACATTGGGGGATTGGGGACATTGGGGACATTGGGGGGATTGGGGACACGGGGGACAGCAGGGGACAGCCAGGGGATTGGGGGATTGGGGACAGTGGGGACATTGGGGACATTGGGGACATTGGGGACATTGGGGACATTGGGGACAAATAGGACATTGGGGACATTGGGGACATTGGGGGATCGGGGACATTGGGGGGATTGGGGACATTGGGGACATTGAGGACATTGGGGACATTGGGGAAAGTGGGGACGTTGGGGACATTGGGGACATTGGGGACATCGGGGACATTGCAGGGATTGGGGACATTGGGGACATTGGGGATATAGAAGGGATTGGAGACATTGAGAACATTGGGGACAGTGGGGACATTGGGGACGTTGATGACATTGGGGACATTGGTGACATCAGGGACGTTGGTGACATCAGGGACGTTGGTGACATCGGGGACACGCAGAGGGACGCGCAGGTGCCACGGCCAAAGGGGACACAGAGAGAGAGAGAGAGAGAGACGGGGGAGGGGACAGGTCAGTGCCACCGCCTGTCACCTCCCCCCGCTGCCACCGCCACCCCACGGTGTCCCCAACCCCCCCAATGTCCCCAATGTCCCCAAGTGCCACCTTGAGGTGTGTCACCCTGACGAACACCAGGTTGGTGATGACCTCGGCCAGCGCCCCATGTCCCCAATGTCCCCAACGTCCCCAATCCCCCTGATGTCCCCGATGTCCTCAACGCCCCCAATGACCCCAATGACCCCAATGACCCCAATGACCCCGATGTCCCCGGTGTCCCCAATGACCCCAACGCCCCCGATGTCCCCAGTGACCCCGATGTCCCCACTGTCCCCAATGTCCCCAATGTCCCCAATGACCCCAATGCCCCCAATGTCCCCCAATGACCCCAAAGCCCCCTGTGTCCCCAGTGTCCCCGATGTCCCCAAGTGCCACCTTGAGGTGCGTCACCCTGGCGAACACCAGGTTGGTGAGGGCCTTGGCCAGCGCCCCATGTCCCCAATGTCCCCGACGTCCCCAACGCCCCCAATGACCCCAACGCCCCCAATGTCCCCAATGTCCCCGATGTCCCCGATGTCCCCAATGTCCCCGATGTCCCCAATGTCCCCGATGTCCCCAAGTGCCACCTTGAGGTGTGTCACCCTGGCGAACACCAGGTTGGTGAGGGCCTCGGCCAGCACCCCATGTCCCCAACGTCCCCAATGTCCCTGATGTCCCCGACGTCCCCAATGTCCCCACTGTCCCCAATGTCCCCAATCCCCCCAATGTCCCTGATGTCCCCAAGTGCCACCTTGAGGTGTGTGACCCTGGCGAACACCAGGTTGGTGATGACCTCGGCCAGCACCTGATGTCCCCAAATGTCCCCAATGTCCCCAATACCCCCAAAATCCCAAAAATCTCCCAAATCCCACCGATGTCCCCAATGTCCTGAACCTCCCCGATGTCCCCAAATGTCCCCAATGTCCCCAATACCCCCAAAATCCCAAAATCTCCCAAATCCCTCCAATGTCCTGAACCTCCCCAATGTCCCCAACGCCCCCAATGTCCCCAATGTCCCCAATGTCCCCAACACCCCCAATGTCCCCGATGTCCCCAATGTCCCCACTGTCCCCAACGCCCCCAACGCCCCCAATGTCCCCAATGTCCCCGATGTCCCCAAGTGCCACCTTGAGGTGTGTGACCCTGGCGAACACCAGGTTGGTGAGGGCCTCGGTCAGCGCCAGCCGCGCGCCGGCGCCGGGGTCCAGCAGCCCCTTGATCGGCTGCTCGCCGATGGCGGTGGCGGCGCCGGTGTCCCCGAAATGGGACAGGGCCACCACGGCCACGTCGGCCAGCGGCGTGTGCAGGGGACCCACACACTGCTGCTGGGCCACCAGCCCCGTCACCGAGCGGTCCACCTGCCACGGGGACAGTGGGGACATTGGGGACATTGGGGACATTGGGGACACTGGGGACATTGGGGGATTTGGGGACATTGGGGACATTGGGGACATTGGGGACACTGGGGACATTGGGGTCATTGGGGTCATTGGGGGCATTGGGGACATTGGGGGGATTGGGGACATTGGGGGGATTTGGGGACATTTGGGGACATTGGGGACATTGGGGACATTGGGGACATTTGGGGACATTGGGGACATTGGGGACATTGGGGACATTGGGGGGATTGGGGGGATTGGGGACAGTGGGGACATTGGGGACAGTGGGGGATTGGGGACAATGGGGACATTGGGGACATTGGGGGGGTTGGGGACATTGGGGACATTGGGGACGTTGGGGACGTTGGGGGTTTGGGGACATTGGGGGGATTTGGGGACATTGGGGACATTGGGGACATTGGGGGTTTGGGGACATTGGGGGGATTTGGGGACATTGGGGACATTGGGGACATTGGGGTCACTGGGGACATTGGGGTGATTGGGGTCACTGGGGACATTGGGGACATTGGGGACATTGGGGACATTGGGGGGGTTTGGGACATTGGGGACATTGGGGACATTATGGGGTTGGGGACATTGGGGACATTTGGGATATTTGGGACATTGGGGACATTTGGGACATTGGGGGGGTTGGGGGGGTTGGGGACATTGGGGACATTGGGGGGGTTGGGGGGATTGGGGACATTGGGGACATTGGGGACATTGGGGACATTGGGGATATTGGGGGGGTTGGGGACATTGGGGGGATTTGGGGACATTGAGGATATTGGGGGCGTTGGGGGCATTTGGGGACATTGGGGGGGTTGGGGACATTGGGGACATTGGGGACATTGGGGACATTTGCGGGTTTGGGGACATTGGGGACATTTGGGGACATTGGGGACATTGGGATGGGGTAAATTGGAGCCATTGGGGGTTGGGGACATTGGGGGGACATAAAAGGGGCCACGGGTGGGGGTGACACAGGTGACACAGGTGACACAGGTGACACAGGTGACACAGGTGACACAGGAGGTGACACAGAGGTGACACAGGTGACACAGGAGGTGACACAGGTGACACAGGTGACACAGGTGACACAGGTGACAGTGGCACCCACCTTGCTGGTCAGGTACCTCTTGCTGGCCATGGATGGGTTTGGGGTGACACAGGTGACAGGGGGAGGTGACACACAGGTGACACAGGTTTAACACAGGTGTGACACAGGTGACACAGGTGACACAGGTGACACAGAGGTGACACAGGTGACACAGAGGTGACACAGGTGACACAGATGACAGGGGGAGGTGACAGAGGTGACAGTGGCACCCACCTTGCTGGTCAGGTACCTCTTGCTGGCCATGGATGGGGTTTGGGGTGACACAGGTGACACAGGTGACAGGGGGAGGTGACAGAGGTTACAGAGGTGACACAGGTGACACACAGGTGACACAGGTGACACAGGTGACACAGGTGAGACAGGTGACACAGGTGACACAGGAGGTGACACAGGAGGTGACACAGGTGACAGTGCCACCCACCTTGCTGGTCAGGTACCTCTTGCTGGCCATGGCAGGGTTTGGGGTGACACAGGTGACACAGGTGACACAGGGATGTGACACACAGGTAACACAGGTAACACAGGTGACACAGGTGACACAGGTAACACAGGTGACACAAGTGATACAGGTGACAGAGGTGACACAGGTGACACAGGAGGTGACAAGTGCCACCCACCTTGCTGGTCAGGTACCTCTTGCTGGCCATGGTTGGGTTTGGGGTGACACAGGTGAGACAGGAGGTGACACAGGAGGTGACACAGGTGACACAGGTGACAGAGGTGACACAGGTGACACAGGAGGTGACACAGGTGACACAGGTGACACAGATGACAGGGGGAGGTGACACAGGTGACACAGGAGGTGACACGGGGAGGTGACACAGGAGGTGACAGGTGGCACCCACCTTGCTGGTCAGGTACCTCTTGCTGGCCATGGCCGGGTTTGGGGTGACACAGGTGACACACAGGTCACACAGGTAACACACAGGTGACAGGTGACACACAGGTGACACACAGGTGACACAGGTGACACAGGGAGGTGACACAGGTGACACAGGTGACACAGATGACAGGGGGAGGTGACACAGGTGACACAGGTGACACAGGTGACAAGTGCCACCCACCTTGCTGGTCAGGTACCTCTTGCTGGCCATGGTTGGGTTTGGAGTGACACAGGTGACACAGGAGGTGACACACAGGTAACACACAGGTGACACAGGTAACACAGGTGACACAGGTGACAGAGGTGACACAGGAGGTGACACAGGTGACACAGGTGACCCAGAGGTGACACAGGAGGTGACAGAGGTGACACAGATGACAGGGGGAGGTGACACAGGTGACAGGTGGCACCCACCTTGCTGGTCAGGTACCTGTTGCTGGCCATGGATGGGGTTGGGGTGACACAGGTGACAGGGGAGGTGACAGAGGTGACAGAGGAGGTGACACAGGTAACACAGGTGACACAGGTGACAGAGGTGACACAGGTAACACAGGAGGTGACACAGGAGATGACACAGGTAACACACAGGTGACAGAGGTGACACAGGTGACACAGGTGACAGAGGTGACACAGGTGACACAGGTGACAGAGGTGACACAGGTGCCACCCACCTTGCTGGTCAGGTACCTCTTGCTGGCCATGGTTGGGGTTTGGGGTGACACAGGTGACACAGGAGGTGACACACAGGTGACACAGGTGACACAGGTAACACAGGAGGTGACACAGGTGACACAGGTGACAGGGGGAGGTGACACAGGTGACAGAGGTGACAGAGGTGACACAGGTGACACAGGTGACACAGGAGGTGACAGTGCCACCCACCTTGCTGGTCAGGTACCTCTTGCTGGCCATGGCCGGGGTTTGGGGTGACACAGGGAGGTGACACACAGGTGACACAGGTGACACAGGTGACACAGGTGACAGTGCCACCCACCTTGCTGGTCAGGTACCTGTTGCTGGCCATGGCCGGGTTTGGGGTGACACAGGTAACACAGGAGGTGACACAGGTGACACAGGTGACAGAGGTGACAGGGGGAGGTGACACAGGTGACACAGGAGGTGACAGAGGTGACAGAGGTGACACAGGTGACACAGGAGGTGACAGGGGGAGGTGACACAGGTGACACAGGAGGTGACAAGTGCCACCCACCTTGCTGGTCAGGTACCTCTTGCTGGCCATGGATGGGTTTGGGGTGACACAGGTGACACAGGTGATACACAGGAGGTGACACAGGTGACACAGGTGACACAGATGACAGGGGGAGGTGACACACAGGTGACACAGATGACAGGGGGAGGTGACACAGGTGACAGAGGTGACAGTGGCACCCACCTTGCTGGTCAGGTACCTCTTGCTGGCCACCGCCGGCAGCCGCAGGAGCCGCTCCAGCGCCATCGGCACCGACAGCCCCGGGGGGAGGCTCAGGGGGCGGCGGGGCAGGGGAGCGAGGGACAGCGCGAACTCCTGGGGACACCAAAATGTCACCGGGGGGACACCGAAATGTCACCGGGAACCCAAAAATGTCACCAGGACAGCGCGAACTCCTGGGGACACCAAAATGTCACCCAGGGACCCCAAAATGTCACCGGGACAGCGCGAACTCCTGGGGACACCAAAATTCACCAAGGGGGGACACCAAAATTGTCACCGGGACCCCAAAATGTCACCGGGACAGCGCGAACTCCTGGGGACACCAAAAATGTCACCCGGGGACCCCAAAGTGTCACCGAGAACCCCAAAATGTCACCGGGACAGCGCGAACTCCTGGGGACACCAAAATGTCACCGGGGGGACACCAAAAGTGTCACCAGGACCCCAATGTCACCGGGGGACCCCAAAAATGTCATTGGGGCACCCCAAAATGTCATTGGGGCACCCCAAAATGTCACCGGGACAGCGCGAACTCCTGGGGACACCAAAATGTCACCCGGGGGGACACCGAAATGTCACCAAGATCCCAAAAGTGTCACCGGGACACTGAAATGTCACCAGGACACCAAAATGTCACCCAGGGACCCCAAAAATGTCACCCGGGGACACAAAAATGTCATTGGGGCACCCCAAAATGTCACCGGGACAGCGCGAACTCCTGGGGACACCAAAAATGTCACCGGGGGACCCCAAAATGTCATTGGGGCACCCCGAAATGTCATTGGGGCACCCCAAAATGTCACCAGGACAGCGCGAACTCCTGGGGACACCAAAAATGTCACCAGGGGGGACACCAAAATGTCACTGGGGGACCCCAAAATGTCAGAGGAGGTCCCCAAAATGTCACCAGGGGGACCCCGAAATGTCACCAGGGGACCCCAAAATGTCACCGGGACAGCGCGAACTCCTGGGGACACCAAAATGTCACCAGGGGACCCCAAAATGTCACCGGGACACCAAAAATGTCATCGGGACCCCAAAATGTCATTGGGGCACCCCAAAATGTCACCAGGACAGCGCGAACTCCTGGGGACACCAAAATGTCACCAAGGGGACACCAAAAGTGTCACTGAGATCCCAAAAGTGTCACTGGGACAGCGCGAACTCCTGGGGACACCAAAATGTCACCAAGGGACCCGAAAATGTCACCGAGATTCCAAAAGTGTCACCGGGGGGGACCCCAGAATGTCACTGGGACCCGAAATGTCACCGGGAAACCAAAATGTCACTGGGATCCCGAAGTGTCACCGGGACACCCCAAGATGTCACCAGCACCCCAAAATGTCAGAGGAGGTCTCCAAATGTCACTGGGGGGACCCCAAAAGTGTCACTGGGACCCCAAAATTGTCGCCGGCACCTCAAAATGTCACCGGGACCCCAAAATTTGTCACCAGGACCCCAAAGATGTCAGAGGGACCCCAAAATGTCACCGGGACCCCAAAATGTCAGAGGAGGTCTCCAAATGTCACTGGGAGGACCCCAAAAGTGTCACCAGAACCTCAAATTTGTCACAGGGACCCAAAAGTGTCACCGGGACCCCAAAATTGTCACAGGGACCCCAAAAGTGTCACCGGGAACCCAAAATTGTCACCAGGACCTCAAAAGTGTCACAGGGACCCTGAAAGTGTCACCAAGACCCCAAAAGTCTCACAGGGACCCCAAAATGTCACCCGGGGACCCCAAAATGTCATTGGGACCCCAAAATGTCATCGGGACAGCACGAACTCCTGGGGACACCAAAATGTCACACAGGGACCCCAAAATGTCATTGGGGCACCCCAAAATTGTCACCGAGATCCCAAAAGTGTCACCGGGACACCGAAATGTCATTGGGGAACCCCAAAATGTCACCGGGACAGCGCGAACTCCTGGGGACACCAAAAATGTCATTGGGGCACCCCAAAATGTCATTGGGGCACCCCAAAATGTCACCCGGGGACCCCAAAAATGTCATTGGGGCACCCCAAAATATCATTGGGACCCCAAAATGTCACCAGGACAGCGCGAACTCCTGGGGACACCAGAATGTCACACGGGACCCCAAATGTCACCCAGGGGACCCCAAATGTCACCGGGAACCCAAAATGTCATTGGGGCACCCCAAAATGTCACCAGGACAGCGCGAACTCCTGGGGACACCAAATGTCACCCGGGGACCCCAAAATGTCACCGGGGGGACCCCAAAATGTCATTGGGACCCCAAATGTCACCCAGGGGACCCCAAATGTCACCCAGGGGACCCCAAAATGTCATTGGGGCACCCCAAAATGTCACCAGGACAGCGCGAACTCCTGGGGACACCAAAATGTCACCCGGGGACCCCAAAAGTGTCACCAGAACCCCAAAATGTCATTGGGGAACCCCAAAATGTCACCGGGAACCCAAAATGTCACCAGGACAGCGCGAACTCCTGGGGACCCCAAAAATGTCACCGGGGGGGGACCCCAAAAATGTCATTGAGGCACCCCAAAATGTCACCGAGAACCCAAAATGTCACAGGGACACCCCAAAATGTCATTGGGGCACCTCAAAATGTCTTTGGGACACCCCAAAATGTCACCGGGACACTGAAATGTCACCGGGGACCCCAAAATGTCATTGGGGCACCCCAAAATGTCACCAGGGGACCCCAAAATGTCACTGGGGCACCCCGAAAGGTCACCAGGACCCTGAAAGGTCACCGTGACACCGAAATGTCACCGGGACAGCGCGAACTCCTGGGGACACCAAAATGTCACCCGGGGACCCCAAAATGTCATTGGGGCACCCCAAAATGTCACCAGGGGGACCCCAAAATGTCACCAGGGGGACCCCAAAATGTCATTGGGGCCATTTCGGGGCCATTTTTGGGGTCCCATTTTGGGACTTCCCCCCCCAAATTTCGGGGCCATTTTTGGGGTCACTTTTTGGGGTCTCCCCCCCGAATTTTGGGGCCATTTTTGGGGTCCCATTTTGGGACTTCCCCCCGAATTTTGGGGCCATTTTTGGGGTCCCTTTTTCGGGCTTCTCCCCCAAATTTCGGGTCAGATTTTGAGATCCCCACTCACCTTTTGGGGTCCCATTTTGGGGCTTTCCCCCCAAAATTTGGGGCCATTTTTGGGGTCACTTTTTGGGGTCTCCCCCCCGAATTTTGGGGCCATTTTTGGGGTCCCATTTTGGGACTTCCCCCCCAAATTTTGGGGCCATTTTTGGGGTCCCTTTTTCGGGCTTCTCCCCCAAATTTCTGGTCAGATTTTGAGATCCCCACTCACCTTTTGGGGTCCCATTTTAGATTCTTTCCCGCCAAAATTTGGGGCCATTTTTGGGGTCACTTTTTGGGGTCTCCCCCCCGAATTTTGGGGCCATTTTTGGGGTCCCATTTGGGGTCTCCCCCCCAAATTTCGGGGCCATTTTTGGGGTCCCTTTTTCGGGCTTCTCCCCCAAATTTCGGGTCAGATTTTGAGATCCCCACTCACCTTTTGGGGTCCCATTTTGGACTCTTTACCCCCCAAATTTTGGGGCCATTTTTGGGGTCCCTTTTTCGGGCTTCTCCCCCAAATTTCGGGTCAGATTTTGGGATCCCCACTCACCTTTTGGGGTCCCATTTTGGGGCTTCCCCCCCAAATTTTGGGGCCATTTTTGGGGTCCCATTTTGGGGCTTCCCCCCCAAATTTTGGGGCCATTTTTGGCGTCACTTTCTGGGGTCTCCCCCCCGAATTTTGGGGCCATTTTTGGGGTCCCATTTTGGGACTTCCCCCCCAAAATTTGGGGCCATTTTTGGGGTCCCTTTTTCGGGCTTCTCCCCCAAATTTCGGGTCAGATTTTGAGATCCGAACTCATCTTTTGGGGTCCCATTTTGGGGCTTTCCCCCCAAATTTTGGGGCCATTTTTGGGGTCACTTTTTGGGGTCTCCCCCCCGAATTTTGGGGCCATTTTTGGGGTCCCATTTTGGTACTTCCCCCCCAAATTTTGGGGCCATTTTTGGGGTCCCATTTTGGGACTTCCCACCCAAATTTTGGGGCCATTTTTGGGGTCCCATTTCAGGGCTTCTCCCCCAAATTTCGCGTTGGATTTTGGGGTCCCTTTTTAGGGTCCCTTTTTTGGGTGACTCCCCCAAATCTGAGATCCTTTTTTGGACTCTTTCCCCCCAAATTTTGGGGCCATTTTTGGGGTCACTTTTTGGGTCTCCCCCCCGAATTTTGGGGCCATTTTTGGGGTCACTTTTTGGGACTTCCCCCCCAAATTTTGGGGCCATTTTTGGGGTCCCTTTTTTGGGCTTCTCCCCCAAATTTCGGGTCAGATTTTGGGATCCCCACTCACCTTTTGGGGTCCCATTTTGGACTCTTTCCCGCCCAAATTTTGGGGCCACTTTTGGGGTCCCATTTCAGGGCTTCTCCCCCAAATTTCGCGTTGGATTTTGGGGTCCCCACTTACCTTTTGGGGTCCCTTTTTTGGGTGAGTCCCCCAAATCTGAGATCCCTTTTTGGACTCTTTCCCCCCAAATTTCGGGGCCGTTTTTGGGGTCCTTTTTCGTGGCTTCCCCCTCAAATTTCGGGGCCATTTTTGGGGTCCCTTTTTGGGGCATCCCCCCCAAATTTTGGGTGGGATTTTGGGGTCCCCGCTCACCTTTTGGGGCATCTTGCCCAGCACCCACTCCAGCTCCAGGTTGACGGGGGTGGGGAGCCCCTCGTGGGACCCCCCCTCGGGCACCGGCGCCTCCCGGTCATCGACCAGCACGATCTGGGGGGGCACCCCAAAAATCAACCCCAAATCAGCCCAAAAACACCCCCAAAATACCCCAAAAAACAGCCCCAGAAATCCCCAAAAATCACCCCAAAAATCAACCCCAAAACAGCCCAAAACCACCTCAAAAACAGCCCCAGAAATCCCCAAAAATCACCCCAAAAATCAACCCCAAAACACCCCAAAACCACCTCAAAAACAGCCCCAGAAATCCCCAAAAATCACCCCAAAAATCAACCCCAAAACAGCCCAAAAACACCTCAAAAACAGCCCCAGAAATCCCCCAAAATCACCCCAAAAATCAACCCCAAAACAGCCCAAAACCACCCCAAAACGACCTCAAAAACAGCCCCAGAAATCCCCAAAAATCACCCCAAAAATCAACCCCAAAACAGCCCAAAAACACCCCAAAAACACCTCAAAATCAACCCCAGAAATCCCCAAAATCACCCCAAAAATCAACCCCAAAACAGCCCAAAAACACCCCAAAACCACCTCAAAAACAACCCCAGAAATCCCCAAAATCACCCCAAAAATCAACCACAAAACAGCCCAAAAACACCTCAAAAACAGCCCAAGAAATCCCCAAAAATCACCCCAAAAATCAACCCCAAAATAGTCCAAAAACACCCCAAAACCACCTCAAAATCAACCCCAGAAATCCCCAAAATCACCCCAAAAATCAACCCCAAAACAGCCCAAAACCACCTCAAAAACAGCCCAAAAATCACCCCAAAAATCAACCCCAAAACAGCCCAAAAACAGCCCAAAACCACCTCAAAAACAGCCCCAGAAATCCCCAAAAATCAACCCCAAAACAGCCCAAAACCACCTCAAAACCAGCCCAAAAATCACCCCAAAAATCACCTCAAAAATCAACCCCAAACGCCCCAAAACCACCCCAAACCACCCCAAAAATCGGCCCCAAACGCCCCAAAACCACCCAAAAAATTACCCCAAAAATCGCTCCTGAACACCACAAACACCCCAAAAGCCCCCAAAAATTCCCCCAAAAATTGGCCGCAAAGACCCCAAAACCCCCCAAAAATTCCCACAAAAATCAACCCCAAAACACCCCAAAAATCCCCCCAAAAATCACCCCAAACACCCCAAAACCCCCCAAAATTTCCCCCAAAAATTGACCCCAAACACCCCAAAAATCACCCGAAACACCCCAAAACACCCCAAAAATTACCCCAAAAATCGCTCCTGAACACCACAAACACCCCAAAACCACCCCAAAATTCCCCCAAAAATCGACCCCAAACACCCCAAAAATCCCACCAAAAATCAGCCCCGAACACCCTAAAACACCCCAAAAACCCCCTAAAAATTACCCCAAAACTCAGCCCCAAACACCCCAAAGCCACCCCAAAAACCCCCACAAAAATCCCCCCAAAAATACCCCAAAAAATTCCCCCGAAATTCCTCAATCCCCCCAATCCCCCCGATGTCCCCAATGTCACCAACCCCACAATGTCCCCAATGTCCCAAATCCCCCAAAGTGCTCCAATATCCCCCCAATGTCCCCAATGTCCCCAAATGTCATCAAATCCCCCCAATGTCCCCTCTGTCCCCACTGCCCCCAATGCCCCCAATGTCCCCAATGTCCCCAATGTCCCCAATGTCCCCAAATGTCATCAAATCCCCCCAATGTCCCCAATGTCCCCAATGTCCCCAATGTCCCCAAATGTCATCAAATCCCCCCAATGTCCCCAATGTCCCCAATGTCCCCAATGTCCCCACTGCCCCCAATGTCTCCAATGTCCCCAATGTCCCCAATGTCCCCAAAATGCCCCAAAATCCCCCAAATGTCCCCAACCCCCCCCACTGCCCCAATGTCCCCACTTTCCCCTCTGTCCCCACTGTCCTCTCTGTCCCCTCAGTGTCCCCACTGTCTCCAATGCCCCCAATGTCCCCAATGTCCTCTCAGTGTCCCCTCTGTCCCCTCAGTGTCCCCAACCCCCCAATGTCCCCACTGTCCCCCCTGTCCCCTCTCTGCCCCCACTATCCCCAATGTCCCCAATGTCTCCACTGTCCCCAATGTCCCCTCTGTCCCCTCTGTCCCCTCTCTGTCCCCAATGTCCCCCCAATGTCCCCTCTCTGTCCCCTCTCTGTCCCTCACCCGTCCGTCCCCGGTGACCGTCCCCACCACGCTCAGGGGACACCGTTCCCGCTCCGCCATTCGCCGCAGCCGCGGCAGCGCCTCGGGCCGCACCAGCAGCGCGTTGGACTCCTGGTACTCGGCCCCCCACAGCTCCAGGATGCTCAGGGTGGGGTCACCCAGCTGCCACCGGGGCCACCAACGTGTCACCAGGGCCACCAAAGTGTCACCAGGGCCACCAAAGTGCCAAAAAGTCCATTGGGGTTAGGACGGGATTGAAAGGGTTAATGGGTTTCAGGACATTGGGGACACTCAGAGCCCCCCCACAGCTCCAGGATGCTCAGGGTGGGGTCACCCAGCTGCCATCGAGGCCACCAAAGTGTCACCAGGGCCACCAAAGTGCCACTGGGGCCACGAAAGTGTGACCAAGTCCATTGGGGTTAGCGCGGGATTGAAATGGTTAAAGGGACATTGGGGACACTGAGAGGCCTCCCACAGCTCCAGGATGCTCAGGGACGGGTCACCCAGCTGCCATCGAGGCCACCAAAGTGTCACCAGGGCCACCAAAGTGCCACCAGGGCCACCAAAGTGCCACCAGGGCCACCAAAGTGCCAAAAAGTCCATATGAGACATCATGGGATTGAAAGGGTTAAAGGGACATTGGGGACATTGGGGACACTCAGAGCCTCCCACAGCTCCAGGATGCTCAGGGATGGGTCACCCAGCTGCCACCGGGGCCACCAAAGTGCCACCAGGGCCACCAAAGTGTCACCAAGGCCACCAAAGTGTCACCAAGTCCATTGGGGTTAGCACGGGATTGAAAGGGTTAAATGGACATTGGGGACATTGGGGACATTGGGGACATTCTGAGCCTCCCACAGCTCCAGGATGCTCATGGTGGGGTCACCCAGCTGCCACCAAAGCCACCAAAGTGTCACCAGGGCCACCAAAGTGCCACCAGGGCCACCAAAGTGTCACCAGGGCCACCAAAGTGCCACCAGGGCCACCAAGGTGTGACCAAGTCCATTTGGGTTAGCATGGGATTGAAAGGGTTAAAGGGTTTCGGGACATTGGGGACACTGAGACCCCTCCCACAGCTCCAGGATGCTCAGGGTGATGTCACCCAGCTGCCATCGGGGCCACCAAAGTGTCACCAGGGCCACCAAAGTGTCACCAGGGCCACCAAAGTGCCACCAAGTCCATTGCGGACATCATGGGATTGAAAGGGTTAAAGGGTTTCGGGACATTGGGGACATTGGGGACATTGGGGACACTCAGACCCCTCCCACAGCTCCAGGATGCTCAGGGTGGGGTCACCCAGCTGCCATCGAGGCCACCAAAGTGTCACCAGGGCCACCAAAGTGCCAAAAAGTCCATTGGGGTTAGCATGGGATTGAAAGGGTTAACGGGACATTGGGGACATTGGGGACATTGGGGACACTCAGAGCCCTCCCACAGCTCCAGGATGCTCAGGGACGGGTCACCCAGCTGCCACCGGGGCCACCAAAGTGTCACCAGGGCCACCAAAGTGCCACCAGGGCCACCAAAGTGTCACCAGAGCCACCAAAGTGTGACCAAGTCCATTGGGGTTAGCGCGGGATTGAAAGGGTTAAATGGACATTGGGGACACTGAGACCCCTCCCACAGCTCCAGGATGCTCAGGGTGGGGTCACCCAGCTGCCATCGAGGCCACCAAAGTGTCACCAGGGCCACCAAAGTGCCACCAAGGCCACCAAAGTGTCACCAAGTCCATTGGGGTTAGCATGGGATTGAAAGGGTTAAAGGGACATTGGGGACATTGGGGACACTCAGACCCCCCCACAGCTCCAGGATGCTCAGGGTGGGGTCACCCAGCTGCCATCGGGGCCACCAAAGTGTCACCAGGGCCACCAAAGTGTCACCAAGGCCACCAAAGTGCCAAAAAGTCCATTGGGGTTAGCACGGGATTGAAAGGGTTAAAGGGACATTGGGGACATTGAGGACATTTGGGACATTGGGGACATTTGGGGACATTTGGGGACACTTGGGGACATTGGGGACATTTTGGGACACTTGGGGACATTTGGGGACACTTGGGGACACTTGGGGACGTTGGGGACACTGACCTGGAAGCGGCTGGCGTAGATGACGGCTCCGGCCGGCTCCGAGATCTCCTTGAGGACATTGCCTGGGGACAGTTGGGGACAGTGGGGACATCAGTGGGGACATCGGTGGGGACATCATTGGGGACATCAATGGGGACAACCTGGCACCATGGACTGGTCCCATTGTGTCCCCCCAATGTCCCCAATGTCCCCCCAATGTCCCCAATGTCCCCAATCCCCCCAATGTCCCCAAATGTCCCCAATGTCCCCAGTGTCCCCAATCCCCATCCCCCCAATCACCCCAATGTCCCCAATCACCCCAATGTCCCCAATGTCCCCAGTGTCCCCAAGGTGTCCCCACTGCCCCCAATGTCCCCACTGCCCCCAATGTCCCCAATGTCCCCAACGTCCCTGATGTCCCCAATGTCCCCAATGTCCCCAATCCCCCCAATGTCCCCGATGTCCCCAATGTCCCCGATGTCCCCTCAGTGTCCCCACTGTCCCCGATGTCCCCGATGTCCCCAATGTCCCCAATGTCCCCAATGTCCCCGATGTCCCCGATGTCCCCTCAGTGTCCCCACTGTCCCCGATGTCCCCGATGTCCCCGATGTCCCCAATGTCCCCAATTGTCACCGTTGCCCCCCGCCCCCTGGTCGTGGATGGAGCTGATGGTGTCCCCAATGTCCCCAATGTCCCCAATGCCCCCCCTGTCCCCAATGTCCCCACTGTCCCCAATGTCCCCAACGTCCCCAATGTCCCCAATGCTCCCAATGTCCGCAATGTCCCCAATCCCCCAGTGTCCCCAATCCCCCCAATCCCCCCGATGTCCCCGAATGTCACCGTTCCCTCCGGCCCCCTGGTCGTGGATGGAGCTGATGGGGTTCCCAATGTCCCCAATGTCCCCAATGTCCCCAACCCCCCAATGCCCCCAATGTCCCCAATGTCCCCAATGTCCCCAATGTCACCGTTGCCCCCCGCCCCCTGGTCGTGGATGGAGCTGACGGGGTTTTTGGCGCCGCTCTCGATGGAGCCCCTCAGGACCCGGTTCAGTTTCTGCTCCATCTCGGGGTCCCCGCGCTGCACCGCCCCCAGATCCCGCTCGGCCTCGTTGTCCCCCTGCACCTGGGGGGGAATTCCCGAAAATTCCAAAATTCCGTACGGAATTACCAAAAAACCCGAAATTCCATACGAAATTCCCCAAAAAAATACAGAAATCCCACCCAAAATAGCCAAAAAAATACAGAAATCCCACCCAGAATTCCCAAAATAATGCAGAATTCCACCTGAAATTCAAAAAAAAACCCCAGAAATTCCACCCGAAATTCCCCCCAAAAAATACAGAAATTCCACCCGGAATTCCCAAAAAAATACAGAAATTCCACCCAAAATTCCAAAAAAAATACAGAAATTTCATACGAAATTTCAAAAAAAATACAGAAATTCCAAACGAAATACCCATAAAAATACAGAAATTCCACCCGAAATTCCCAAAAAAACCCCAGGAATCCCACCTGAAATTCCCCCAAAAAATACCAAAATTCTACCCAAAATACCCAAAAATACAGAAATTCCACCCGAAATTCACAAAATAAAGCAGAAATTCCACCTGAAATTAAAAAAAAAACCCCAGAAATTCCACCCGAAATTCCCCCCAAAAAATACAGAAATTCCACCCGAAATTCCCAAAAATACAGAAATTCCACCCGGAATTCCCAAAAAAATACCAAAATTCCACTCAAAATTCCAAAAAAACCCACAAAATTCCACCCAAAATTCCCCTGAAAAATACATAAATTCCACCCGAAATTCCCAAAAAACCCTAAAAATTCCACCTGAAATTCCCCAAAAAATACCAAAATTCCAGCAGAAATTCCCAAAAAATAGAGAAATTCCACCCGAAATACACAAAAAAAACCCCAGAAATTCCACATGAAATTCCCCAAAGAAAACAGAAATTCCACCCGAAATTCCAAAAAAATACCAAAATTCCACACGAAATTCCCCAAAAACCCTAAATATTCCACCTGAAATTCCCCAAAAAATAGAGAAATTCAACCTGAAATTCCTCAAAAAAACCCAGAAATTCCACATGAAATTCCCAAAGAAATAAAGAAATCCCACCCAAAATTCCCAAAAACACCAAAATTCCACCCAAAATTCCCAAAAAATACAGAAATTCCACCCCGAAAATCCCCACAAATCCCAAACATTCACAAATTCCAAAAAAAATACAAGAATTCCCCCCAAAATCTCCACAAAATCCAAAAATTCCCAAATTCTCTAAAGAAATACAAAAATTCCCCACAAAATCCCCACAAAATCCAAAAATTCTCCCCAAATTTTCCCCCAAATTCCGAAAATCCTCCCCAAAATCCCCCTAAAATCCCCCAAATCCCCCAAAAATTCTGCCAAAATCCCCCAAAATTTCCCAAATCCTCCCCAAAATCCCAAAAATCTGCCCCAAAATCTCCACAAAATCCCCCAAAATTCCCCTAAAATCCCCCAAATCCTCCACAAAATCCCAAATTTTCCCCAAAATCTCCCCAAAATCCCCCCCAAAATCTCCCAAAATCCCCCAAATCCTCCTGAAAACCCCCCAAATTTTCCCCTAAAATCCCAAAATTCCCCCAAAATCCCCCAAATCCCACCTGGATGGAGGAGGCCGCCCCTCCCCCCACGCCGATCCTGTAGACGGGACCCCCCAACTTCACCACCAACATCCCTGCGGGGAAATTCGGGGTTTTGGGGGGATTTTGGGGAATTTTGGGGGATTTGGGGTAATTTTGGGGGAAATTTGGGGGGATTTGGGGGAATTTGGGGGATTTGGGGGATTTTGGCGGATTTTTGGGGAGGATTTGGGGATTTTGGGGAGGATTTTGAAGAATTTGGGGGGAATTTGGGGGATTTCAGGGTGATTTGGGGGAAAATTTGGGAATTTGGGGAGGTTTTTTGGGATTTTGGGGAGGATTTTGGGGAATTTGGAGGATTTTTAGGGGATTTTGGGGTGATTTCGGTGGAATTTTTGGACAATTTTGGGCATTTTTGGGTGATTTTTTGGGTCATGTTAAGATCGGGGTATTGTTTTGTCATTTTTGGGGGAAATTTAGAGTATTTTTTGGTCATTTTAGGGTCATTTTTGGGGTAATTTTTGGGTAATGTTTGGACATTTTTGGGTGAATTTTGGAGTATATATTGAACTTTTGGGGTGATTTTATTTTGTGTATTTTTGGAGTTATTTTTGGGGTAATTTTGGGGTAATTTTGGATGTTTTCGGGTCAATTTTGGGGTATATGTTGGACTTTTGGGGTGATTTTTGTTGTGTATTTTTTGGGTTATTTTTGGGTGATTTTGGGGTAATTTTTTGACATTTTTGGGTGAATTTTGGGGTATATATTGGACGTTTGGGGTGATTTTTTCTGTGTATTACTTGGGTTATTTTTGGGATATTTTTGGGGTAATTTTCGGGCTGATTTGGGGTAATTTTCAGGGTTATTTGGGGTAATTTTTGGGTAATTTTCGGGGTGATTTGGGGTAATTTTTGGGGTGATTTGGGTAATTTTTGGGGTGATTTGGGGTAGGTTTTGGGGTGATTTGGGTTAATTTTTTGGGTGATTTGGGGTTATTTTTGGGGTGATTTGGGGTAATTTTTGGGGTGATTTGGGGTAATTTTTGGGATATTTTTGGGATATTTTTGGGTTGATTTGGGGTAATTTTTGGATTGATTTGGGGTAATTTTTGGGTTGATTTTGGGTAATTTTCGGGGTGATTTGGGGTAAGTTTTGGACATTTTCAGGTGAATCCTGGGGTATATATTGGACTTTTTGGGTGATTTTTTTTGTGTATTTTTCGGGTTATTTTTGGGGTATTTTTGGGATATTTTTGGGATATTGTTGGGATATTTTTGGGTTGATTTGGGGTAATTTTTGGGATATTTTTGGGTTGATTTGGGGTAAGTTTTGGGGTGATTTTTGGGTTGATTTGGGGTAGGTTTTGGGTTAATTTTGGGGTAATTTTTGGGTTGATTTTGGGGTAATTTTTGGGATATTTTTTGGATGTTTTTGGGTTGATTTCAGGTAATTTTTGGGTTGATTTGGGGTAGGTTTTGGGGTAATTATGGGGTAATTTTTGGACTTTTTTGGGTCAATTTTGGGGCATATATTGGACTTCTTGGGTGTATTTTTCGGGTTATTTTTGGGGTATTTTTGGGATATTTTTGGGTTAATTTGGGGATATTTTTGGGATATTTTTGGGATATTTTTGGGATATTTTTGGGTTAATTTTGGGATATTTTTGGGTTGATTTTGGGGTAATTTCAGCATTTCTGGGCTCTGACCCGGCTCCGGGGGCTCTTTGCGCACGTGTTCGTCCTCGAGGGCTCCGATGCCGCCGCTGAACATGATGGGCTTGATCCACTCCCGGCGCTGCCCCCCGGGGAGCACCTGCCCGAAGGAGCGGGCGAAACCTGCGGAAAAATCCCCAAAAATTAACCCAAAATTACCCCAAAATTACCCCAAAATCACCCCAAAAATCCCGGTCAAAATCCACCCAAAATCACCCCAAAATCAGCCAAAAACCCCGGTCAAAATCACCGCAAAATCACCCCAAAATCACCCAAAAATCCTGGTCAAAATCCACCCAAAAATCCCAGCCCAAAATCACCCCAAAAAACCCCAAAATCCCGGCCCAAATACACCCACAATCACTCCAAAATCACCCCAAAATCAGGCAAAAATCCACCCAAAATCACCCCAAAGTCACCCCAAAATCATCCCAAAAATCCCGGTCCAAATCCACCCAAAATACACCCAAAATCACCCCAAAATCACCCAAAATTCCCAGTCCAAATCCACCCAAAATCACCCCAAAATCATCCTGAAATCCCCCCAAAATCACCCCACAATTCCCAGTCCAAATCCACCCAAAATCATCCGAAAATCACCCCAAAATCATCCGAAAATCACCCCAAAATCCACCCAAAATCACCCCAAAATCACCCCAAAAATTCCGGTCCAAATCCACCCAAAATCACCCCCAAATCATCCCCAAATTATCCCAAAACTGTACCCAAACCTCCCAAAACTGTCCCCAAATGTCCCAAAACTGTCCCCAAATTATTCCAAAATCGTCCCCAAATGTCCCAAAATCATCCCCAAATTATCCCAAAATTGTCCCCAAATGTCCTAAAATTTATCCCAAATGTCCCAAAACTGTCTCCAAAATCCCCCCAAACCTCCCAAAATTCTCCTCAAACCCACAAAAAAATGCCCCAAATTCCCCCAAAATTTCCCCAAAAATCACCCCAAAATCATCCCAAAACGCCCCAAAACACCCCAAAATATCCCAAAATGTCCCAAAATCGGGGGAATTCCCCCCAAAATCGCACCTGCCAGGAGGGGCTCCCCGAATTTGTTGCCGTAGTCGCTGGCGCCGTCGCTGGCGCCGATGGCCACCTCCAGGGGCCGGGCGAAGGCCGAGGGGTACGGGGCCTGCGGGTCCTCCCAGGGCTGCTCGTACCCTGAAACACAAATTGGGGTGAAAAACGCGAAATTTGGGAAAAAACAAAAAAAAAAAGGAGAAAAAACTCCCAAAAATGGCAAAAAAACGGCGAAAAACGGGGAAAAAACGCCGAAAAAAACGCAAAACAATGGCGGGGGAAATCCAAAATTTGAGATATTTTTGGGGATTTTTTTTGGATTTTTTTGCGGATTTTGGGGAAATTTACTGAAAATTGGGAAAATTCCCCAAAAAAATGGGGAAAAAATTCAAAAAATGAAGAAGAAACACAAAAAAAGGGGGAAAAACGTCAAAAAATGGGGAAAACCACCAAATTTGGGGGATTTTGGAGAGTTTTTGGGGCCAGGGAGTCCTCCCAGGGCTGCTCGTACCCTAAAAACACAAATTGGGGTGAAAAACGCCAAATTTGGGAAAAAACAAAGAAAAAATGGGGAAAAAACTCCAAAAATTGGCGAAAAAACCACGAAAAACGGCGGAAAAAACATAAAATAATGGGGAGGGGAAATCCAAAATTTGGGGGATTTTTTGGGGATTTTTGGGGATATTTGGGAATTTTGGGGAAATTTACCAAAATTGGGAAAAATCTCCCAAAAAAAAATGGGGAAAAAACTCAAAAAAATGGCGAAAAAAACTCCAAAAAACGGGGAAATAATGCAGAATTTGGGGGATTTTGGGGGGATTTTTGGGGATTTTTTTTTGAATTTTGGAATTTTTGGGGATTTTGGGAATTTTTTTGTATTTTGGGGGGATTTTGGGGATTTTGAGATTTTTAGGGGATTTTTTTGGGGATTTTTTTGGGTAATTTTTTTGGAATTTTTTGGAGAATTTTGGGGGGATTTTTGGGGGATTTTTGTGGGGGAATTTTGGGCAATTTTGGGGGATTTTGGAGTTTCTGGGTGGATTTTTGGGGCGCCGATCCCAAATTTTGGGAAATTTTAGGGGAATTTTGGGAAATTTGGGTATTTGTCGTGGATTTGGGGTGATTTTTTGGGATTTTGGAGGATTTTTGGGATTTCTGTGGTGATTTGGGGGTTTTTAGGGTTTACGGGGAAATTTTGGGGTTTTGGGGGTCTCAGGGTGGATTTGGGGGTTTTGGGGTGATTTTTGGGGGTTTTGGTGCATTCTGAGGGTTTTTTGGGGTTTTTTGGGCTTTTTCATTGGGATTTTTGGGTTTTCTGGGGTTTTTGGTGGTTTCTGGGTGGGATTTTGGGGATTTTGGGGGTTTTCAGGGTCGGTTTTTGGGGTTTTTTGGGGCGCTGATCCCAAATTTTGGGGAATTTTTGGGAATTTTCGTGTCTCTCACCCGGGATGAGCAGGTTTCCGAAGCAGTGCCGGGATTTGGGGGTTTTTGGGAATTTTTGGGGATTTTTCAGTGGGATTTTTGGGGTTTTTGGGAATTTTTCAGTGGGATTTTGGGGATATTTCAGTGGGATTTTTGGGGTTTTTGGGGATATTTGAGTGGGATTTTTGGGGTTTTTGGGAATTTTTCAGTGGGATTTTTGGGAATTTTTGGGAATTTTTGGGGATTCTCACCCGGGATGAGCAGGTTGCCGAAGCAGTGCCGGGATTTTGGGGTTTTTGGGGATATTTGAGTGGGATTTTTGGGGTTTTTGGGGATTTTTCAGTGGGATTTTTGGGGTTTTTGGGGATTTTTCAGTGGGATTTTTGGGGATTTTTCAGTGGGATTTTTGGTGGTTTCTGGGTGAACTTTTGGAATTTTTGGGGTTTTCAGGGGGATTTTTGGGGTTTTTGGTGGTTTCTGGGTGGGTTTGTGGGGTTTTGGGGGTTTTTTTGGGGTTTTTGGGGGTTTTTCAGTGGGATTTTGGGGTTTTTGGGGATTTTTCAGTGGGATTTTTGGGGTTTTTGGGATTTTTGGGATTTTGGGTATTTCTCAGTGGGATTTTTGGGAATTTTTGGGATCCTCACCCGGGATGAGCAGGTTGCCGAAGCAGTGCCGGGATTTTGGGGTTTTTGGGGTTTTTGGGGGGTTTTCAATGGGGTTTTTGGGGTTTTTGGGGATATTTGAGTGGGATTTTTGGGGTTTTTGGGATTTTTGGGGATCTCTCACCGGGGATGAGCAGGTTGCCGAAGCAGTGCCGGGTTTTTTGGATTTTGGGGATTTCTCAGTAGGATTTTTGGGAATTTTGGGGATTTTGGGAATTTTTCAATGGGATTTTTGGGGTTTTTGGGGCTATTTCAATGGAATTTTTGGGAATTTCGGGAATTCTCACCCGGGATGAGCAGGTTTCCGAAGCAGTGCCGGGATTTTTGGGAATTTTTGGGAATTTTGGGCTCTCTCACCGGGAATCAGCAGGTTTCCGAAGCAGTAGCCGGCGGTGCCGGCGATGACGTGCGCCCCCCGCCCGGTGCACTGCACGTCCCGGATCCGCCCCCCGGTGCCGGTGGTGGCGCCGCTGAACGGGGCCACGGCTGCGGGAAAGGGGCGGGGTCGGACACGGACACGCCCACACAGGTGGCCACGCCCATTTTCCTAGACACTCCCATCCTGGCCACGCCCACCAGACATGGCCACACCCACTATGTCTGGGTATAGATCTCTGGCCACGCCCATCTCCCATGGCCACACCCACCCTGCCTAGACAGGGCCATGCACAGCTGACCCCTGACCCCTGAGTGACCCCTGAGTGACCCCAGATGACCACAGATGACCCCGGGTGACCCCTGAGTGACCCCAGCTGACCCCAGCCACTGACTGATGGGGAAGTTTTGTGTCTGACCCCAGCTGACCCTTGACCCCTGAGTGACCCGAGTGACCCCTGAGTGACCCCTGAGTGACACCACTGACCCCAGCTGACCCCTGAGTGACCCCGGCTGAACCCAGATGACCCCACTGACCTGTGGGCAAGTTGAGGGTCTGACCCCTGACCCCTGAGTGACCCTAGATGACCCCACTGACCCATGGGGAAGTTCTGGGTCTGACCCCTCACCCCAGCTGACCCCGACCCCCGAGTGACCCCTGAGTGGCCTGTGGGGAAGTTGTGTGTCTGACCCCTGACCCCTGACCCCTGAGTGACCCCCGAGTGACCTGTGGGGAAGTTGTGTGTCTGACCCTGACCCTGGCTGACCCCTGAGTGACCTCTGAGTGACCCCATTTGACCCCTGACCCATAGGGAAGTTGTGTGTCTGACCTCTGAGTGACCCCAGCGGACCCCTGAGTGACCCCTGACCCCTGAGTGACCCCTGACCCCTGAGTGACCCCTGACCCCTGAGTGACCCCTGACCCCCGGATGACCCCACATGACCCCTGACCGGTGGGGAAGTTGTGTGTCTGACCCCAGATGACCCCAGCTGACCCTTGAGTGACCCCCGGATGACCCCTGAGTGACCCCGCTGACCCGTGGGGAAGTTGTGTGTCTGACCCTGGCTGACCCCAGCTGACCTCTGAGTGACCCCTGACCCCTGAGTGACCCCTGACCCCAGCTGACCCCAGCTGACCCCAGCTGACCTCTGAGTGACCCCTGAGTGACTCTGGCTGACCCCGGCTGACCCCACCCACTGATCGGTGGGGAAGTTGTGTGTCTGACCCCTGAGCCCTGAGTGACCCCTGAGTGACCCCTGACCCCAGCTGACCCCAGCTGACCCCAGCTGACCCTGGCTGACCCCAGCTGACCCCATTTGACCCCAGCTGACCGGTGGGGAAGTTGTGTGTCTGACCCCAGCTGACCCCAGCTGACCCCGGATGACCCCCGCTGACCCGTAGGGAAGTTGTGTGTCTCGGCGGTCAGCGCCACGTGCCGGACGCTCGTTCTCCTCTGGAAGGGGCTGGGCCGGGTCGGGTCCTGCGGCCACAGCGCCGACACCGACACGCCCCGGATGGCGCTGGGGGGACAAAACAGCCCAAATTCACCCCAAATTCACCCCAAAATTCAGCCTGAAATAGCCCAAATTCAGCCCAAAATTCAGCCCAAAATGCACCAAATTCACCCCAAAATTCAGCCAAAAATTCAGCCAAAAATTCACCCCAAAATTCACCACCGACAGCCCCCAGATGGCGCTGGGGGGACACAAAATAGCCAAAATTCAGTCCAAAATTCAGCCCAAATAGTCACCCCAAAATACCCCAAATTCAGCCCAAATAGTCACCCCAAAATAGCCCAAATTCACCCCAAATTCAGCCTGAAATAGCCCAAATTCACCCCAAATTCAGCCCTAAATACACAGAATTAACTCCAAAATTCAGCCAAAAATTCAGCCCAAAATTCACCACCGACAGCCCCCGGATGGCGCTGGGGGGAGACAAAACAGCCAAAATTCACCCCAAATTCAGCCCAAAATAGCCCAAAATCACCCCAAAATTCAGCCAAAAATATCCAAAAATTCAGCCCAAATATTCACCCCAAATTCCAGCCAGAAATTCCCAAAACCACCCAAAATTCACAACAAAAATTCCCAACATTCAACCCAAAAATACCCCGAATTCACCCCAAATATTCACCCCAAAGTCCCCTAAAATTCACCTCAAAATCTCCGCCAGAAATTCCCAAAAACACCCAAATTCACGTCAAAATTCAGCCCAAAATTCACCAAAAATTCCACCCAAAAATTCCCCAAAATTCAGCCCAAAACTTCCCAAAATTCACCCCAAAATTCACCCCAAAACGCACCAAAAATTCCACCCAAAATCCCTGAAATTCAGCCCAAAATTCACCCGAAACTTCCCAAAATTCAGCCCAAAATTCACCCAAATGCAGCTGTGCCCAGGTGTGCCCCCAGGTGTGCCCAGCTGTGCCCAGGTGTATCTCAGGTGTATCTCAGGTGTATCTCAGGTGTATCTCAGGTGTGCCCAGGTGTATCTCAGGTGTATCTCAGGTGTATCTCAGGTGTATCTCAGGTGTATCTCAGGTGTGCCCAGGTGTATCTCAGGTGTATCTCAGGTGTGCCCAGGTGTATCTCAGGTGTATCTCAGGTGTCTCAGGTGTATCTCAGGTGTATCTCAGGTGTCTCAGGTGTATCTCAGGTGTATCTCAGGTGTCCCCAGGTGTGCCCAGGTGTATCTCAGGTGTATCTCAGGTGCCCCCAGGTGTATCTCAGGTGTATCTCAGCTCTCTCAGGTGTATCTCAGGTGTATCTCAGGTGTATCTCAGGTGTCTCAGGTGTATCTCAGGTGTGCCCAGCTGTGCCCAGCTGTGCCCAGCTGTGCCCAGGTGCCCCCAGGTGCCCCCAGGTGTATCTCAGGTGTGCCCAGGTGCCCCCAGGTGTCTCTCAGGTGTATCTCAGGTGTATCTCAGGTGTGCCCAGGTGTATCTCAGGTGTCTCAGGTGTATCTCAGGTGTGCCCAGCTGTGCCAGGTGTATCTCAGGTGTATCTCAGGTGTATCTCAGGTGTGCCCAGGTGTGCCCAGGTGTATCTCAGGTGTCTCTCAGGTGTCCCAGGTGTATCTCAGGTGTATCTCAGGTGTGCCCAGGTGTGCCCAGGTGTATCTCAGGTGTATCTCAGGTGCCCCCAGGTGTATCTCAGGTGTATCTCAGGTGTATCTCAGGTGTATCTCAGGTGTATCTCAGGTGCTCAGGTGTATCTCAGGTGTATCTCAGGTGTGTCCCCACCTGCTGTTGTCGCAGAAGGCGATGAGGCCGTTGGGGTTGGAGCAGCTCTGGGTGTCCATCAGGGAGCGCAGGAGGGACCCGGGCACAGGTGTGCCGTCAATGGACAGGTGACCCCGGAAGAACCAATGGCGGCTGTGCTCGCTGTGACGTCACAGGGACAGCAATGATGTCATAGGGGTGACATCGCATGTGTGACATCACAGGTGTGACACAGACACCCGGGCACAGGTGTGACGTCACAGGTGTGACATCACAGGTGTGACATCACACAGGTGTGAGTGTGACATCACAGGTGTGACATCACAGGTGTGTGACATCACAGGTGTGACATCACAGGTGTGACACACACACCCGGGCACAGGTGTGCCGTCAATGGACAGGTGACCCCGGAAGAACCAATGGCGGCTGTGCTCACTGTGACGTCACAGAGACAGCAATGACGTCACAGGTGTGACATCACAGGTGTGATATCTCAGGTGTGACGTCACAGGTGTGACCTCATAGGTGTGAGTGTGACATCACAGGTGTGACACCACAGGTGTGACCTCAAAGGTGTGACAAAGACACCTGGGCACAGGTGTGACATCACAGGTGTGACATCACAGGTGTGACATCACACAGGTGTGACACACACACCCGGGCACAGGTGTGCCGTCAACGGTCAGGTGACCCCGGAAGAACCAATGGCGGCTGTGCTCACTGTGATGTCACAGAGACAGGTGTGACGTCATAGGGGTGACACAGACACCCGGGCACAGGTGTGACATCACAGGTGTGACATCACAGGTGTGACATCACAGGTGTGACCCCAGAAGAACCAATGGCGGCTGTGCTCGCTGTGACGTCACAGAGACAGGTGTGACATCATAGGGGTGACATCACACAGGTGTGACATCACAGGGGTGACATCACAGGTGTGACATCACAGGTGTGACATCACAGGTGTGACATCACAGGGGTGACATCACAGGTGTGACATCACAGGTGTGACATCAACACCCAGGCACAGGTGTGCCATCCATGGTCAGGTGACCCCGGAAGAACCAATGGCGGCTGTGCTCACTGTGACGTCACAGAGACAGGTGTGACATCACAGGTGTGACATCACACAGGTGTGACATCACAGGTGTGACACACACACGCGGGCACAGGTGTGCCATCAACGGTCAGGTGACCCCGGAATAACCAATGGCGGCTGTGCTCGCTGTGACGTCACAGGGACAGGTGTGACGTCACAGGTGTGACGTCATAGAGTTGACATCACACAGGTGTGACATCACGGGTGTGACACACATGTGTGACATGACAGGTGTGACGTCACAGGTGTGGCATCACACAGGTGTGACATCACACAGGTGTGACACAGACACCCCGGCACAGGTGTGACATCACAGGTGTGACATCACAGGTGTGACGTCACAGGTGTGACATCACAGGTGTGACGTCACAGGTGTGACATCACAGGTGTGACACAGACACCCGGGCACAGGTGTGCCATCCACGGTCAGGTGACCCCGGAAGAACCAATGGCGGCTGTGCTCGCTGTGACGTCACAGGGACAGGTGTGACGTCACAGGTGTGACATCACAGGCATGACCTCGCAGGTGTGAGGATTTGTGCAGCATTTGTGTGGGATTTTGTGGATTTCAGTGGGATTTTGCAGAACTTTTGGGATTTTGGAGGATTTTAGTGAGATTTTAGTGGGATTTTTGTAGGACTTTGGGGATTTCTGTGGGATTTCAGTGGGATTTTTGTAGGATTTTTGTAGGATTTTGGGGATTTCTGTGGGATTTCTGTGGGATTTTTGTAGGATTTTTGTAGGATTTTGGGGATTTCTCTGGGGATTTTTGTAGGATTTTGGGGATTTCTTTGGGATTTGGGGTGTTTTTGGGGTGTTTTTGGGGTGTTTTTGGGGTCACCTGTTGCTCTGGGCGAGGTCGAAGAGCTCCACCGAGGTCGGGTTCCTGCCGATCTTCTGGAACAGCCGCGTGTAAAACTCCAGATCCCACGAGTCAAAGGCCAGGCCTGGGCAGGGAAAAACCCTCTGTCCCCAAATGTCCCCAAATGTCCCCAAATGTCCCCAATGTCCCCAATCCCCCCAATGTCCCCAAATGTCCCCAAATGTCCCCAAATGTCCCCAATGTCCCCCAATGTCCCCAAATGTCCCCAATGTCCCCAAATGTCCCCAAATGTCCCCAATGTCCCCAGTGTCCCCAATCCCCCCAATGTCCCCAATGTCCCCAAATCCCCCCAACCCCTTCAACGTCCCCAATGTCCCCAAATGTCCCCACTGTCCCCAATGTCCCCTTTGTCCCCAACGTCCCCAATGTCCCCAACGTCCCCAATGTCCCCAACGCCCCCAATGTCCCCAATGTCCCCAATGTCCCCTCTGTCCCTCACCCATCTCCTGATCCGCCTCTCTCAGGGCGCTCTCCCCACGGCCCAGGACATCAATGGTGCGGACTGGAGCCGGACGGGGCTGCGGGTGGAGCTGCTCCGGGTGGAGCTGCTCCGCGGGCTGCGGGTGGAGGTGGAGCTTCTCCGCATGGAGCTGCTCCGCGTGGAGCTGCTCCGCGGGCTGCGGGTGGAGGTGGAGCAGCTCCGCGGGCGGCTCCAGGCTCTGCAGCGGCTGCGGGTAGAGCTGCTCCGTCACTGGGTCCCGCAGCGCACGGCCCAGCCGAGCTCCGGCCTCCGCGGGCAGCGGCTGCGCCAGCTGGGAAAGGGACAAGCAGAGATTTCTGTGGGAGTGCGGGCGGAGTTTTGGGGGGTTTTTTGGGGGATTTTTTGGGGATTTTTTGGGGATTTTTTGGGGATTTTTTGGGGATTTTTGGGGATTTTATTCTGATTTTTTGGGGGATTTTTTGGGGATTTTATTCTGATTTTCTTCCAATTTTTTCTGATTTTTTTCTGATTTTCTTCTAATTTTTTCTGATTTTTTTCTGATTTTTTGGAGATTTCTTCTAATTTTTTTCTGGTTTTGGGGGCATTTTTTTTTGATTTTTATCCTGATTTTTTGGGGAATTTTTTCTGATTTTTATCCTGATTTTTGGGGATTTTTTTCCTGATTTTTTTCTGATGTTTTCAAATTTTTTTCTGATTTTCTGGGGATTTTTTTCAGATTTTTTTCTGGGTATTGGGGATTTTTTTCGGATTTTTTTCTGACCTTTGGGGGATTTTTTTCTGATTTTTTTCCGATTTTTTTCTGATTTCTTCTGATTTTTTTCCAATTTTTAAATTATTTTTTTCGGATTTTTTTCCAGTTCTTGGGGAATTTATTCTGATTTTTTTTTCTGATTTTTTGGGGATTTTTTTCTGGTTTTTTTCAGATTTTTTCTGATTTTTGGGGGATTTTTCTCTGGTTTTTTTTGGATTTTTTTTGGATTTTTTTCCGATTTTTTTCTGGGTTTTTTCTGATTTTTTTTTCCGATATTTTTCCAATTTTTTCTGATTTTTTTCCAATTTTTAAATTACTTTTTCGAATTTTTTTCAGAATTTTTGGGGATTTTTTTTCTAATTTTTTGGGGATTTTTTTTCGGATTTTTTGGGGATTTTGTCGGATTTTTTCCAATTTTTAAATTTTTTTTTTCTGATTTTTTTCTGATTTTTTGGGGATTTTTTTTCAGAATTTTTTCTGTTTTTTGGGGATTCTTGCAGATTTTTTCGGGATTTTTGTCTGATTTTTTTCTGATTCTTTTCTGAATTTTTAGGGATTTTTTTCTGCTTTTTTTCCAATTTTTAAATTTTTTTTTCAGATTTTTTTCTGTTTTTTGGGGTTTTTTTTCTGATTTTTTAACGATTTTTTGTTTGGTTTTTTTTTTCTGTTTTTTTTTCCCGATTTTTTCTAATTTTTTCCCAAATTCCCCAAATTCCCCCCAAATTCCCACCTCCAGCAGGAGCCGTCGGGATCTCTCGAGGCGTCGGACGCGGCCGAGCCCGGCGGCGCGGCACAGGGACACGGCGTTGGTGCAGAAGGGCGTGCACACCCCCAGCCTGCCATTAATTAACACCAATTCAATAATTAGCATCATTAATTAGCATTAATTAGACAAAATTTCCAAAAAAACCCACAAAAAAATGCCAAAAAAACCAAAAAAAACCCCAAAACCCAAAGAAAAACCCCAACCGGTGGCACAGAGACGCAGCCCCACAGCCTGGCATTAATTAACACCAATTCATTAATTAGCATCATTAATTAGCATTAATTAGCCAAAATTCCCAAAAAAAACCCGAAAAAATGCAAAAAAACCCCAAAAAAACAACATAAAGAACCCCAAAAATCCCCAAAATTCCACCACAGAGACTCAGCCCCAAAGCCTGCCATTAATTAACACCAATTCATTAATTAGCCATCATTAATTAGCACTAATTAGCAAAAAAATTATTTAAAAAACCCAAAAAAACACCAAAAATCCCCCAAAAATCCCAAATATTACCAAAAACTCCCAAAAAATCTCCCAAAATCCCAAACATCCTCCCAAAATTCCCAAAAATCCCTCAAAAATTCCCAAAAATATGCCCAAAATTCCCAAAAAATCATGGAACAAAACCAAAAAAATCAACAGAAAAACCCAAAAAATCACCAAAAAATCCCCAAAAATGCCCCAAATTCCCCCAAATCTGCCCAAAATCCACCCAAAACACTCCCAGAATTCCCGGAATTCCCGCAATTCCCGGAATTCCGTCATTCCCACCTGGGGCCGATCTCCAGCAGCTGGTGGGGCCCGCAGGGACTTAGGAATCCCCAAAAAATCCCCAAAATCCCCAAAAAAATTCCCAAAATCCCACCAAAATTCCCAAAATTCCCAAAAATTCCAAAAAAATCCTAAAAATTCCAAAAAAATTCCCCAAAAATTCCCAAAAATCCTCCCAAATTCCCCTCAAATCCCCCCAGAATTCCCAAAAATCCCCCAAAAATCCCATATAAATCCCAAAAAATCCCCCAACATCTTCCCAAAATCCTCCAAAATTTCCAAAAATTCCCCAAAATTCCCAAAAAATCTCCCAAAATCCTAAAAATTCCCAAAAATCTCCCAAAATCCCAAACATCCTCCCAAAATTCTCAAAAATCCCAAAAATCCCTCAAAAATTCCCAAAAATTCCCATTCTTCCAAAATTCCCAAAAATTCCCCAAAGTTCCCAAAAATTCCCAAAAAATCCCAAAAATTCCCAAAAATCCTCCAAAATTCCTGAAATATCCCAAACAACCCCATAAAAATCAAAAAAAAATCCAATAAAATAACAAAAATTCCCGCAAAATTCCCCCAAATCCCCCCAAAACCTTCCCCAAACCCCTCCAAATCGGCCCAAAATCCCCCCCAGAATTCCCGAAATTCCGCAATTCCCGGAATTCCGTCATTCCCACCTGGGGCCGATCTCCAGCAGCAGGTGGGGCCCGCGGGGGCTCAGGAAGCTCCTCTGGGCCACGTCGGAGCCCTGAGCCAGGGGGGACCCCAAAATCCAGCGCAGCACCCGCAGCTCCTCCGCGCTCGGCTCCGCCTCCCCTGCACCCCAAAAACATCCCGGGATAGGCAGAGTCAGAATTCCCAAATTCCAGAGGATCCCAAAAAAAACCCCGTGAAAATCCCAAAAAATCCCGTGAAAATCCCATTAAAATGGCAAAAATCCCATTAAAAATCCCATTAAAAATCCCATTAAAATGGCAAAAAAAGGCAAAACATCCCATTAAAATGGCAAAAGAATCCCATTAAAATGGTAAAAATCCCATTAAAAATCCCATTAAAATCCCGTGAAAATCCCATTAAAATGGACAAAAAATGGCAAAAAATCCCATTAAAATGGCAAAAATCCCATTAAAAATCCCATTAAAATGGCAAAAAAAGGCAAAACATCCCATTAAAATGGCAAAAGAATCCCATTAAAATGGAAAAAATCCCATTAAAAATCCCATTAAAATCCCAGGAAAATCCCATTAAAATGGCAAAAATCCCATTAAAAACCCCCTTAAAACCTCATTAAAATCCCATGAAAATGGCAAAAAAAGGCAAAAATCCCATTAAAATGGCAAAAATCCCATGAAAATCCCATTAAAATCCCATTAAAATCACAGAAAGTTTCATTAAAATCCCATTAAAAATTCCATTAAAATCCTACCAAATTTCCATTCAAATCCTACCAAAATTCCATTCAAATGCCATTAAAATCCCATCAAAATCCCATTAAAACCCCCCAAAACTGCCCAAAATCCAGCGCAGCACCCGCAGCTCCTCCGCGCTCGGCGCCGCCTCCCCTGAACCCCGAAAACGGCAAAGGGTCAGAATTCCCAAATTCCAGAACATCCCAAAAAAAACCCCGTGAAAATCCCATGAAAATTCCATTAAAAATCACAAAAAAAAAATCACAAAAATTGCCCAAATTTTGCCCAAAATTGCCCAAAATCCCCGTTTTTCACCCCAAACTGACCGTCCCAGCCCAGGTAGTTGCAGAGCTCACAGGTCACCCCGAAACACCCAAAAACCCCAAAATTCATTTTAAAAAACGGAAAAATTCACCAAAAATACCCAAAATTCACTGAAAATTGCCCAAAAATCCCCCAAAATTGTCCAAAATCGCCATTTTTTGGCCCAATCTCACCGGCCCAGCTCTGACCTTGCAGGTCACCCCAAAAACCTCCAAAATGGACCAAAAAAACCCAAAAAAAAGCCCAAAAAACCCAAAAAATCACAAAAAATTGCCTAAAATTTGCTGAAAATTCATTGAAATTTTCCCAAAATTGCCCAAAATCTCGGTTTTTCACCCCAAACTGACCGTCCCATCCCAGGTAGTAGCAGAGCTCACAACTGACCCCAAAACCACCAAAAATAACCCCAAAATTCACCAAAAACCCCAAAAATTCACTAAAAATGCCCCAAAAAATCACAAAAATGACAAAAATTGGCCCAAAATTGCCCAAAATTGCCGTTTCTCTCCCCAAACTGACTGTCCCAGGCCAGGTGAGCTCAGAGCTCTCAGGTGACCCCAAAAGCACCCAAAATAGACCAAAAAAACCCAAAAAATTGACAAAAAAACCCCAAAAATTCACCAAAGAATGCCGAAAAAAATTCCAAAAATCGCCTAAATCCACCCAAAATTGCCCAAAATCCCGGTTTTTCACCCCAAACTCACCGTCCCAGCCCAGGTAGTAGCAGATCTCGCAGCTCAGCCCCGTCACCGCCGGCTCCTGGTCCTTGGCCGCCTCCAGCGGGTTCCGGAGCCCCGAGGGCACCCCCAGATCCGGGACCCCCCCCGGGCGCACGAAGAACCGCAGCAGCTGCATCTGGAATGGAAATTTGGGAATTTACCCAAAATTCACGGAATTTGGGGTTTTGGGGAAAAAATACAGAAAATTGGGGAGGGTTCCATGAAAAAATCTGGATTTTTGGGGGGATTTTCTGTGTAAAAATCTGAATTTTGGGGGGTTTTCTGTGTAAAAATCACAATTTTTAGAGATTTTTCCCATCAAATTCTGGAAATTTGGGAGATCCCAAAAATTTGGGAATTCTTTTCCATAAAAATCCCAAAATTTGTGGAATTTTGGGGGAAAAAATCTTGAAATTTCCAAAAATTAAAAAAAAAAAACCTCTATTTTGGGGATTTTTGGAGAAAAAAAATCCAAATTTTCAGGGATTTTTCCCATGGAAATCCTGAAATTTGGAGGATTCCCAAAAATCTGGGAATTTTTTCCCACAAAAGTCCCAAATTTTGGGTATTTTGGGAAAAAAATACTAAAATTTTGGGAGTTTAGAAAAAAATCCTGAATTTTGGGGGATTTTCTGCATAAAAATCCCAATTTTTCGGGGATTTTTCCCATCAAAATCCTGAAATTTGGGAGATGCCAAAAATTCGTGAATTTTTTCCCACAAAAATCCCAAAATTTGTGGAATTTTGGGAAAAAAATCTTGACATTTTGGGAATTTAGAAAAAAAATCCTGAATTTTGGGGATTTTTCCCATGGAAATCCGGAAATTTGGGAGATCCCAAAAATCTGGAAATTTTCCCATGAGAATCCCAAAATTTGGGTATTTTTGGGAAAAAAACGGTGAAAATTCGGGAATTTCCAAAAAAATCCCAAATTTCTGCAGAAAAATCCCAAATTTTGGGGATTTTTCCCATGGAAATCCTGAAATTTGGGGGATCCCAAAAATTCGGGAATTTTTTCCCACAAAAATCCCAAAATTTGGGGAATTTTCCCAGAAAAAAATCCAAAATTTCCCCAAATTTTGGCTCTCCCACCTCCGGGACCCCCAAAATTCTCCATAAACCCCAAAATTCCCCCAAAATTCCCCTAAAAATCCCAAATTTGGGCTCTCCCAACCCCGGGACCCCCAAAATTCCCCAAAATTCCCCCACATTTGGGCTCTTCTACCCCCGGGACCCCCAAAATTCCCCAAAACCCCAAAGTTACCCCAAAATTCCTCTAAAAATCCCAAATTTGGGGTCTCCCACCCCCGGGACCCCAAAAATCACCCAAAAAATCCCAAAATTTCCCCAAATTCCCCCAAATTTGAGGTCTCTGACTCCTGGAACCCCCAAAATTCCCCAAAACCCCCAAAATTCCCCCAAAATTCCTCTAAAAATCCCAAATTTTGTGGACTCCCAACCCCGGGACTCCCAAAATCCCAAAAATTGCCCCAAAATGCCTCTAAAAATCCCAAATTTTTGGGTCTCCAAACCCCAGGACCCCAAAAATTCGCCAAAAACCCAAAATTCTCCCAAAATTCCCCCTAAATCCCCCTAAAACCCCCAAAAACCCCCCAAAAAACCCCAAAACCCCAAAAATCCCCCCAAAAACCCCAAAAAAACCCCAAAAAACCTCAAATCCCCCAATTTTGGGCTCTCCCACTCCCTGAACCCCCCAAAACTCCCCAAAAACCCCCAAAACCCCAAAAAAAACCCCCCAAAAACCCCAAAAATCCCGTTAAAAAACAAAAAAAAACCCCAAAAAACCCCAAAAAACGCCGAATTCCCCCAAAATCCCCCAAAATCCCCAAATCCCGCCACGTGCTCCCCGCGCGCGCCCCTCCCCCTCCCCCCTCCCCCCTCGGGGGGTCCCCAAAAATTTTGGGGGTCCCCAAAATCTCCCCCCCCCCTCCCCCCCCCCCCGCGGCACCTTCGCGGATTTCGCCGATTCTGCCCCAAAACGGCCCCGGGGGGCCCAAAAGGGGGAGGGGCGGGGCCAAGGGAGGGGGCGGGGCTTGGGGTGGAGGGGGCGTGGTCACGGCTGGGAGGGGGCGTGGTTATGGATTGAGGGGCGTGGTTAGTGGGAAGAGGGGGCGTGGCCAGTGAGTGAGGGGCGGTGCTAAGGACAGGCCACGCCCATCGCTGAACATTTGGGGGAAATTCGGGCAAAAATTCGGCCAAAATTCACTCAAAATTCAGCCAAAATTTGTCCAAAAATTCGCTCAAAATTCGGCCAAAATTCACTCAAAATTCGGCCAAAATTCCCTCAAAATTCAGCCAAAATTTGTCCAAAATTCAGCCAAAATTCGGCCAAAATTCGGGCAAAATTGAGCCAAAATTAGTCCAAAATTCACTCAAAATTCGGCCAAAATTCACTCAAAATTCAGCCAAAATTTGCACAAAATTCACTCAAAATTCAGCCAAAGTTTGTCCAAAATTCACTCAAAATTCGGCCAAAATTCACTCAAAATTCGGCCAAAATTCCCTCCAAAAATTCAGCCAAAATTTGTCCAAAATTCACTCAAAATTCTGCCAAAATTCACTCAAAATTCAGCCAAAATTTGTCCAAAATTCACTCAAAATTCAGCCAAAATTCATTCAAAGTTCACTCAAAATTCGGCCAAAATTCACTCAAAATTCGGCCAAAATTCGCTCAAAATTCAGCCAAAATCTGTCCAAAATTCACTCAAAATTCAGCCAAAATTTGCCCAAAATTAAGGGAAATTTGGGGATTTTTTGGGGGAATATTGGATTTTTTAAGGGAATTTCTGAGGAATTTGCATCTTTTTTGGGGGAATTGTTGGGAATTTCGGGAATTTTCGTTTTCCGAGGGAAATTCGCGGAATTTTGGGGAATTTTTGGGAATTTTGGGGCGTTCCGGGGGTGGGAGGGGGTGGGGCGCCCCTCCCCCCGCCCCTCCCCCCGCCCCTCCCCCCCCAAGGCCGAACCGCCCACGTGACCCGCGGGGAGGGGGCGGGGCGGGGGCGGGAAGGTCGCGAGTGACGTCATGATGACGTCATGGCCTTGAAAATTCCCCTCCCCCCCCCAAAATTCAACTCGGGACCCCCAAAATTTCCTCAAAACCCCCAAAAATCCGCTCGGGACCCCCAAAATCCCACCCGGGACCCCCAAAATCCGCTCGGAGACCCCAAAATCCCACCCGGGACCCCCAAAATTTCCTCAAAATCCCCAAAATTCAACTCGGGACCCCCAAAATCCCCCCGGGACCCCCAAAATCCAACTCGGGACCCCAAAATGCGCTCGGGGACCCCAAAATTCAACTCGGGACCCCCAAATCCAAACAGGGACCCCCAAAATTTCCTCAAAACCCCCAAAATTCAACCCGGGACCCCCAAAATCCAACTCGGGACCCCCAAAATCTTCTCGGGGACCCCAAAATTCGCTCGGGACCCCCAAAATTCCCACCCGGGACCCCCAAAATCTGCTCGGGGAACCCCAAATTCGCTCGGGATCCCCAAAATCCGCTCGGGGACCCCAAATTCAAACCGGGACCCCCAAAATCCAACTCGGGACCCCAAAATCCAACCCGGGACCCCCAAAATCCGCTCGGAGACCCCAAAATTCAAACCGGGACCCCCAAAATTCAACTCGGGACACCCAAAATTTCCTCAAAACCCCCAAAATTCAACTCGGGACCCCCAAAAACCTCTCGGGACCCCCAAAATCCAACCCGGGACCCCAAAAATTTCCTCCGGGACCCCCAAAATCCGCTTGGGTCCCCCCCCGGACCCTCCCACAGACCCCGTGGGGGGATCCAAGACCCCCAAAATCCGCTCGAGACCCCCAAAATCCGCTCGGGACCCCCCCGGATCTCCTCGCAGACCCTTCAGGAGGATCCGGGACCCCCAAAATCCCCCCGGGACCCCCAAAATCCGCTCAGGACCCCAAAATCCGCCCCCCCCGCGCCACCTTTGGGGGGTTCCGGGAAGTTCCCGCGCGTGGCGTGGCCACGCCCCCGGCCACGCCCCCGGGCGGGGTTATGCAAATGAGGCGCGGCGCGCTCACAGCGCCCTCTGGCGGCGCCCGCCGGGATCGCGCATGCGCGGTGGCGACGGCGGCGAAACGGTCCCGAAATGGCCCCAAATTACCCCAAAAATGGCCCCAAAATTTGCCCAAATGGCTCCAAAATGAACTCAAAACCGACCACAAAATGTCCCGAAAATGTCCTCGAAAGTGACCCCACAAATACCCAAAAATGGCCCCAAAATTTGCCCGATTTGCCCCAAAATGTCGCCAAAAATGTCCCCAAAATGTCCCTAAAAAACACCAAAATGTCCCCAAAAATGACCTGAAAATGGCCCCAAAAATGGCCCCAAAATGTCCCAAAAAAACCCCAAAATGTCCAACCAAATGACCCCAAAATGTCCCCAAAACCGACCCCCAAATGGAGCCAAAAATGTCCCCAAGAAACTCCAAAATTTTCCCAAATGTTCCCAAAAATGACCCCAAAATGTCCCAAAAACGACCCAAAAATGAATCCAAAATTTCCTCAAAATGTCCCAAAGATGACCCAAAAATGTCCCCAAAACGACCCAAAAATGAATCCAAAATTTCCTCAAAATGTCCCAAAAAATCACCCCAAAACCAACCCAAAATGTCCCCAAAAATGACCCAAAAAATGTCCCCAAAATGTCCCCAAAAAACCCCAAAAATTGCCCAAATGGCCCCAAAATTTCCCCAAAATTCTCCCCAAAATTCTCCCCATAATTCACCCTAAAATGTCCCTAAAAAACCAAAAATATCCTCAAAAGTGACCCCAAAATGTCCCGAAAATGTCCCTAAAAGACCCCAAAATGTCCCCAAAAATGACCTGAAAATGGCCCCAAAAATGGCCCCAAAAGGGACCGAAAAGGCCCCAAAATGGTCCCAAAATTGCAGCGAATGGCCCCAAAATGTCCCAAAAAATGTCCCAAAAATGTCCCAAAAATGACCCTAAAAAATGTCTCCAAAAAATCATCCAAAATTTCCCAAAATGGCCCCAAAAATGTCCAAAAAATGCCCCCAAAAATGTCCCAAAAATGTCCATTAAAAAAAACTCCAAAATTGCCGAAATGGCCCCAAATTTTCCCCAAAATTTCCCCAAAAATTCCCCGAAATTGTCCCCAAAATTGTTCTCAAAATTCACCCCGAAATGACCCAAAAAAACAACGAAAATTTGGCCAAATGGCCCAAAAATGTCCCCAAAAATTACCCCAAAATGGAGCCAAAAATGTCCCAAAAAACCCCAAAATGTCCCCAAATATGACCCAAAAAATGTCCCCAAAATGTCCCCAAAAAAACCCAAAAATTGCCCAAATGGCCCCAAAATTTCTCCAAAATTCACCCCAAAAAGTCCCTAAAAAAACCAAAATATCCCCAAAAATGACCCCAAAATGGCCCCAAAAACCCCAAAATTTGCCCAAATGGCCCCAAAAATGTTTCCAAAATGCCCCTAAAAATCCCCAAAAATTGGGATTAAAATCAGAAAAAATTGGGATTGAAGGGGAAAAATTTGGGATAAAAATCGGTAAAATTGGGATTAAAATGGGAAATATTTGGGATAAAAATTGGAAAAAATTGGGATAAAAATGAAAAAATTTGGATTAAAATGAAAAAGTTGAAGTGGAAAATTTGGATTAAAATGGGATAAAATTGGGATAAAAATGGGAAAAAATTTGGATTAAAAATGGGAAAAAATTGGGATAAAAATCGGAAAAATGGGATAAAAATCAGAAAAAAAATTGGGATTAAAATCGGAAAAATTTGGTTTGAAGTGGAAAAATTTGGATTAAAATCGGGAAAATTGAGACAAAAAAGGGAAAATTTTGGATTAAAATCTGAAAGAATTTGGATTAAAACCGGAAAGAATTTGGATTAAAATCGGAAAAATTGGGATAAAAATGAAAAAATTAGGATGAAAATGGGAAAAATTGGGATTGAAGTGGAAAAATTGGGATTAAAATGGGGAAAAATTGGGATAAAAATGAAAAAATAGGGATGAAAATGGGAAAATTGGGACAAAAAGGAAAAATTTGGATTAAAATGGAAAAATTGGGATAAAAAGGAAAATTTGGGATGAAAATGGGAAAAAATTGGGATAAAAATAGAAAAATTGGGATAAAAATGGGAAAAATTGGGATGCAAATGAGGCAGCAGAGACGGGGCGGTTTCAATCCGATCGAATTTTTATTGATTGGATTTGTAATTAGCGCTAATGAGGCTCCGGTAATTAGCGCTAATCAATGGGGGTTCGGTCATTAGTGTTAATTAGTGAGGGGTCATTAATGAGGGATCGGTCATTATTGAGCCGCAATTCCCCGGGAGTTTTGGGATATTCCAAATTTGGGGGATTTTTCGGGAATTTTTTGGGATATTCCAAATATTTTGGGGATTTTTTGGGAATTTTTGGGAATTTTTGGGGATTATTCGGGGATTTTTTGGGATATTCCAAATATTTTGGAAATTTTTCAGGGATTTTTTTGGATATTCAAAATTTTGGGATTTTTTGGGAATTTTTTGGGATATTCCAAATATTTTTGGGGTTTTGGGGATTTTTTGGGATTTTTCGGGGATTTTTTGGGGATTTTTTGGGAATTTTGGGGGGATTTTTCGGGAATTTTGGGGGATTTTTTGGGAATTTTGGGGGGATTTTTCGGGAATTTTTTGGGGGATTTTTCTGGAATTTTTTGGGATATTCCAAATTTTGGGAATTTTCTGAAATTTTTTGGGATCTTCTCAAGAGTTGTTTTTTTTTTTTTTTTTGACGGCATTCCCGGGAAATTTTTGGGATATTCCAAATATTTGTTTGGGGGACACCTTGGGGACACCTTGGGGACACCTTGGGGACATCTTGGGGGTTTTGGGGACATCTCGAGGACATCTCGGGGGGGTTGGGGACACCTTGAGGACACCTTGGGGACACCTTGGGGACACCTTGGGGGGGTTGAGGACACTTGGGGACACCTTGGGGACACCTTGGGGACACCTTGGGGACATCTCAGGGGGTTTGGGGACATCTTGAGGACACTTTGGGGACACCTTGGTGACACCTTGGGGACACCTTGGGGACATCTCAGGGGGGTTGGGGACACCTTGGGGAGATCTTGGGGGGTTGGGGACACCTTAGGGACACCTTGGGGACAACTTGGGGACACCTTGGGGACACCCTGGGGGGGTTGGGGACACTTTGGGGACACCTTGGCGACACCTTGGGGACATCTCAGGGGTTTGAGGACACCTTGGGGACACCTCAGGGACATCGCGGGGGGTTGGGACACCTTGGGGACACTTTGGGGACACCTTGGGGGGGTTGGGGACACTTTGGGGACACCTTGGTGACACCTTGGGGACACCTTGGGGGGGTTGAGGACACCTTGGTGACACCTTGGGGACATCTTGGGGACACCTTGGGGACACCTTGGGGACACCTTGGGGGGGTTGGGGACAACTTGGGGACACCTTGGGGACACCTTGGGGACATCTCGAGGGGGTTGGGGACATCCCAGACAGGGTTGGGGACATCCTGGAGGGGCCCAGGTTGGTGGTGACACAGGTGACACAGGTGACAATGAGGTGACACAGGTGACACAGGTGACACAGGTGACACAGGAGGTGACACAGGTGACACAGGTGACACAGGTGACACAGGTGACACAGGAGGTGACACAGGTGTGACACAGGTGTGACACAGGAGGTGACACAGGTGACAATGAGGTGACACAGGTGACACAGGTGACACAGGTGACACAGGTGTGACACAGGTGTGACACAGGTGACACAGCTGACAATGAGGTGACACAGGTGACACAGGTGACACACAGGTGACACAGGTGTGACACAGGTGACACAGGTGACACAGGTGTGACACAGGAGGTGACACAGGTGTGACACAGGTGACACGGGTGTGACACGGGTGTGACACAGGTGACACAGGTGACACAGGTGACACAGGTGACACAGGAGGTGACACAGGTGACACAGGTGACAATGCCATCAGATGGAGATGCTCTCCTGCACCATGGAAGGTTCCAGGTAGGGGTAGGGCAGCTCCAGCGCCACAGGTGTGACACAGGTGACACAGGTGTGACACAGGTGTGACACAGGTATGACACAGGTGACACACAGGTGACAATGCCATCAGATGGAGATGCTCTCCTGCACCACGGATGGTTCCAGGTAGGGGTAGGGCAGCTCCAGCGCCGCAGGTGTGACACAGGTGACACAGGTGACACAGGTGACACAGGTGTGACACAGGTGACACAGGTGTGACACAGGTGTGACACAGGTGTGACACAGGTGTGACACAGGTGACACAGGTGACACAGGTGACACAGGTGTGACACAGGTGACACACAGGTGTGACACAGGTGTGACACACGTGTGACACAGGTGACACAGGTGTGACACAGTGACACAGGTGACACAGGTGTGACACAGGGAGGTGACACAGGGAGGTGACACAGGTGACACTGAGGTGACAATGCCATCAGATGGAGATGCTCTCCTGCACCACGGATGGTTCCAGGTAGGGGTAGGGCAGCTCCAGCGCCACAGGTGTGACACAGGTGTGACACAGGTGTGACACAGGTGTGACAGGTGACACAGGTGACACAGGAGGTGACACACAGGTGACATCAGATGGAGATGCTCTCCTGCACCACGGACGGTTCCAGGTAGGGGTAGGGCAGCTCCAGCGCCGCAGGTGTGACACAGGTGACACAGGTGACACAGGTGACACAGGTGTGACACAGGTGTGACACAGGAGGTGACACAGGTGACACAGGTGACAATGCCATCAGATGGAGATGCTCTCCTGCACCACGGACGGTTCCAGGTAGGGGTAGGGCAGCTCCAGCGCCGCAGGTGTGACACAGGTGACACAGGTGTGACACAGGTGTGACACAGGTGTGACACAGGTGTGACACAGGTGTGACACAGGTGTGACACAGGTGACACAGGTGACACAAGTGACACAGGTGACACAGGTGTGACACAGGTGACACAGGTGACACAGGTGTGACACAGGTGTGACACAGGTGACACAGGAGGTGACACAGGTGACACAGGTGTGACACAGGTGTGACACAGGTGACACAGGTGACACAAGTGACACAGGTGTGACACAGGTGTGACACAGGTGTGACACAGGTGACACAGGTGACACAAGTGACACAGGTGACACAGGTGTGACACAGGTGACACAGGTGACACAGGTGTGACACAGGTGTGACACAGGTGACACAGGAGGTGACACAGGTGACACAGGTGACAATGAGGTGACACAGGTGACACAGGTGACACAGGTGACACTGAGGTGACAATGCCATCAGATGGAGATGCTCTCCTGCACCACGGAAGGTTCCAGGTAGGGGTAGGGCAGCTCCAGCGCCGCAGGTGTGACACAGGAGGTGACACAGGTGACACAGGTGACACAGGTGACACAGGTGACACAGGTGACACAGGTGTGACACAGGTGTGACACAGGTGACACAGGTGTGACACAGGTGTGACACAGGTGACACAGGTGACACACAGGTGACACAGGTGTGACACAGGTGTGACACAGGTGTGACACAGGTGACACAGGTGACACAGGTGACACAGGTGACACAGGTGTGGCACAGGTGACAATGCCATCAGATGGAGATGCTCTCCTGGACCACGGATGGTTCCAGGTAGGGGTAGGGCAGCTCCAGCGCCACAGGTGTGACACAGGTGACACAGGTGTGACACAGGTGACACAGGTGACACAGGTGACATCAGATGGAGATGCTCTCCTGGACCATTCCAGGTTCCAGGTAGGGGTAGGGCAGCTCCAGCGCCACAGGTGTGACACAGGTGACAATGAGGTGACACAGGTGACACAGAGGTGACACAGGTGACACAGGTGACACAGGTGACACAGGTGTGACACAGGTGACACAGGTGACACAGGTGTGACACAGGTGTGACACAGGTGACACAGGTGACAATGAGGTGACACAGGTGACACAGGTGGGACACAGGTGACACACAGGTGACACACAGGTGACAATGCCATCAGATGGAGATGCTCTCCTGCACCACGGAAGGTTCCAGGTAGGGGTAGGGCAGCTCCAGCGCCACAGGTGTGACACAGGTGACACAGGTGACACATAGGTGACAATGAGGTGACACAGGTGTGACCCAGGTGACACAGGGAGGTGACACAGTGACACAGGTGACATCAGATGGAGATGCTCTCCTGGACCACGGATGGTTCCAGGTAGGGGTAGGGCAGCTCCAGCGCCGCGTTCCGGGCCCGGATCCGTTCGCTCGTGGCCCTCAGACGCCTCCGGAACGCGGCCAAGAGGGACCCAGGGGCCGACCCCACAAACAGGTCCTGGGAGCGGGAGCCCAGGGGACGCTGGGGACATGGGGACATGGGGACAGTGAGGGGACATTGGGGAGATTGGGGACATTGGGGACATTGGGGACATTGGGGACATTGGGGGGATTGGGGACATTGGGGGGATTGGGGGGATTGGGGACATTGGGGACAGTGGGGACATTGGGGACATTGGGGGGATTGGGGACATTGGGGACATTGGGGACAGTGGGGACAGTGAGGGGATTGGGGACATTGGGGGGATTGGGGACATTGGGGACGTTGGGGGGATTGGGGACATCAAAGAGGGCACCAAAATATGAGGTCACTATGGGTGTCACAAGTCCCCCAGTGACTCTGTCCCCAAATGTCCCCAATGTCCCCCCAACATCCCCAATGTCCCCAATGTCCCCCCAATCCCCCCAATGTCCCAAATGTCCCAAATGTCCCCAACATCCCCAGTGTCCCCAATCCCCCCAATGTCCCCAGTGTCCCCAATGTCCCCAATGTCCCCAATGTCCCCAATGTCCCCAATGTCCCCGCTGTCCCCAATGTCCCCAATGTCCCCAATGTCCCCAATGTCCCCAATGTCCCCAATGTCCCCAACGTCCCCAATCCCCCCAATCCCCCCAGTGTCCCCAATGTCCCCACTGTCCCCAATGTCCCCAATCCCCCCAATGTCCCCAATGACCCCAATGTCCCCAATGTCCCCAATGTCCCCACTGTCCCCAATCCCCCAATGTCCCCAATGTCCCCAACGCCCCCAATGTCCCCAGTGTCCCCAATGTCCCCAATGTCCCCAGTGTCCCCAATGTCCCCAATGTCCCCAACGCCCCCAATGTCCCCAGTGTCCCCAATGTCCCCAATGTCCCCAATGTCCCCAATGTCCTCAATCCCGCCAATCCCCTGAATGTCCCCCACTGTCCCAAATGTCCCCAATGTCCTCCCAACGCCCCCAACGCCCCCAATGTCCCCCATGTCCCCAATCCCCCTGCTGTCCCCACTGTCCCCACTGTCCCCAATGTCCCCAATGTCCCCAATGTCCCCAATGTCCCAATCCCCCCCAATATCCCCAATGTCCCCAATCCCCCCAATGTCCCCAATCCCCCCACTGTCCCCAATGTCCCCAATGTCCCCAATGTCCCCCAATGTCCCCAACGCCCCCAATGACCCCAAAGTCCCCAACGCCCCCAATGTCCCCAATTATGTCCCCAATATCCCCAATGTCCCCAATCCCCCCAAATGTCCCCAATGTCCCCAATGTCCCCAATGTCCCCAATGTCCCCGATGTCCCCTCGCTGTCCCCGTGTCTCACCGGCTCCCCCCCCTCGTAGCTGACCACGCTCAGCAGCCCCAGCAGGGCGCCGGTGGCCCTGGGGCTGGGCATGGTGGCCACCAGCAGCTCCTCGGTGGCCTCGGTGTCACCGGCCGGCGGCGGCCGCTGCATCGTCCCCGGCGTGTTCGGCATCCAGGCGGCGTAGTCGTACTGCGGGGGCACCACCCCGGGGTCACACGGGGTCACACACCCCAAAATGTGACCTCGGGGTCACACAGAGGTCAGCCACCCCAAAAAAATGTGATCTGGGGGTCATCCAAGGGTCATCAACCCAAAAAGTGATCTGAGGTCATCTGGGGGTCACTGACCTCAAAAATGTGACCTCGGGGTCATCTGGGGGTCATCAACCCAAAAAAAAGTGACCTGGGGTCATCTGGGGGTCACCGACCCCAAAATTTGACCTTGGGGTCACACAGGGGTCACCGATCCGAAAATGTGACCTCGGGGTCACCCAGAGGTCACCCATCCAAAAAAAATGACCCCGGGGTCATCTGCAGGTCACCTACTTTAAAGGTGACCTGGGGTCACCTGGAGGTCACCGGCTTCAAAAGTGACCCAAGGTCATAGGGGTCATTGACCTTGAAACTACCCCGGGGTCACCTGGGGGTCACCCACCCGAAAAAAGTGACCCCGGGGTCACACAGGGGTCACTGACCTCAAAAATGTGACCTCGGGGTCACACAGGGGTCACTGACCCGAAAATGTGACCCCGGGGTTACACAGGGGTCACTGACCTCAAAAATGTGACCTCGGGGTCACACAGGGGTCACACGGGGTCACCGACCCGAAAATGTGACCTCGGGGTCATCTGGAGGTCACTGACCTCAAAAATGTGACCTCGGGGTCATCTGGGGGTCACCGACCCGAAAATGTGACCTCGGGGTCAGCCGGGGGTCATCAACCCGAAAATATGACCTGGGGGTCACACAGGGTCACCGACCCAAAAATGTGACCTGAGGTCACCTGGGGGTCACTGACCCTGAAACTACCTCGGGGTCATCTGGAGGTCACCCACCCGAAAAAAAGTGACCCAGGGGTCACCTGGGGGTCAGACACCCCAAAAATGTGACCTCAGGGTCATCTGGGGGTCACCCACCCGAAAAAAGTGATCTGGGGTCACCTGGGGGTCACCCACCCAAAACTACTCTGGGGTCACCCGGGGGTCACTGACCCCAAAACAACCCAGGGGTCACTGGGGGTCACCCACCGAAAAAAGTGACCTCGGGGTCATCTGGGGGTCAGCCACCCCAAAAATGTGACCTCGGGGTCAGCTGGGGGTCACCAACCTGGAAAAAGTGACCCCGGGGTCACCTGGGGGTCAGCCACCCCAAAAGTGACCTCGGGGTCACACGGGGTCACCGACCCGAAATGTGACCTCGGGGTCACCCGGGGGTCACCCACCCGAAAAAAGTGACCTCGGGGTCACCCAGGGGTCACTGACCCAAAAATGTGACCTCGGGGTCATCTGGGGGTCAGCCACCCCAAAAAAGTGACCTGGGGTCATCTGGGGGTCACCCACCCCAAAAATGTGATCTGGGGTCACCCAGGGGTCAGCCACCCGAAAAATGTGACCTCAGGGTCATCTGGGGGTCACTGACCCGAAAAATGTGACCTCGGGGTCACCTGCACGTCACCTACTTCAAAATTGACCTCGGGGTCACACAGGGGTCACTGACCCAAAAATGTGACCTCGGGGTCACACAGGGGTCACTGACCCCAAAAAAATGACCCCGGGGTCACCTGCAGGTCACCTACTTTAAAGGTGATCTGGGGTCACTTGGAGGTCACCGGCTTCAAAAGTGACCCAAGGTCACAGGGGTCATTGACCTTGAAACTACCCCGGGGTCACCCAGAGGTCACCCACCCAAATATGTGACCTCGGGGTCAGCTGGGGGTCATCAACCCGAAAAAAGTGATCTGGGGTCACCCAGGGGTCACAAACCCTGAAAAAAGTGACCTCGGGGTCACACGGGGTCACCGACCCGAAAATGTGACCTCGGGGTCAGCTGGGGGTCATCAACCCCAAAATGTGACCTCGGGGTCATCTGGGGGTCACTGACTTCAAAAATGTGACCTCGGGGTCACCGAGGGGTCACTGACCTCAAAAATGTGACCTCGGGGTCAGCTGGGGGTCATCAACCCGAAAAAAGTGACCCGGGGTCATCTGGGGGTCATCAACCCCAAAAATGTGACCTTGGGGTCATCTGGGGGTCACTGACCCCAAAAATGTGACCTCGGGGTCAGCTGGGGGTCACTGACCCAAAAAAAGTGACCCCGGGGTCACCCAGGGGTCACCGACTTCAAAAGTGACCCGGGGTCACCTGGGGGTCACCCACCCCAAAAAAGTGACCTCGGGGTCATCTGGGGGTCATCGACCCAGAAAAAGTGATCTGGGGTCATCTGGAGGTCAGCCACCCCAAAAATGAGACCTCAGGTCATCTGGGGGTCACCCACCCCAAAAATGTGACCTTGGGGTCACCTGGGGGTCACTGACCTTGAAACTACCCTGGGGTCACCCAGGGGCCACCAAGGGGTCCCTCAGGTCCCACAGGGGTCACTGGAGGTTGTCACATCCCTTTGGTGGCCACCAAGGGGTCACCAGGGGTTCACCAGGGTCCCACAGGGGTCACTGGAGGTTGTCACATCCCCACGTCCCCTTTGGTGGCCACCAAGGGGTCACTCAGGTCCCACAGGGGTCACTGGAGGTTGTCACACCCCCTTTGGTGGCCACCAAGGTGGGGTTCATGACCACGGCTGAGCCTGATGGACACGTCTGGTTTATCCTTCCCCCCGGTGTCCCCAGGTGTCCCCAGGTGTCCCCAAGTGTCCCAGGTGTCCCCAGGTGTCCCCAGGTGTCCCTGGTGTCCCCAGGTGTCCCCAGTGTCCCCAGGTGTCCCCAGGTGTCCCTGGTGTCCCCAGGTGTCCCCAGGTGTCCCCAGTGTCCCCAGGTGTCCCCAGGTGTCCCCAAGTGTCCCCATTGTCCCCAGTGTCCCCAAGTGTCCCCAGTGTCCCCAGGTGTCCCCAGGTGTCCCCAGGTGTCCCCAGGTGTGTCCCCAGGTGTCCCCAGGTGTCCCCAGGTGTCCCCAGTGTCCCCAGGTGTCCCCGGTGTCCCCAAGTGTCCCCAGGTGTCCCCAGGTGTCCCCAGGTGTCCCCAAGTGTCCCCAGGTGTCCCCAAGTGTCCCCATTGTCCCCAGGTGTCCCCAGGTGTCCCCAGTGTCCCCAGATGTCCCCAGGTGTCCCCAGGTGTCCCCAAGTGTCCCCAGGTGTCCCCAGGTGCCACCTGGCCGCTGTTGACGGCCGCGTGTCGGGCGGAGCAGCAGAAGATGATCATGGTCAGGAACTTCACCAGCTCAGGGCGGCTGTGGAGCTGTGACGGGAACCCTGAGGGACAGAGGGGACATTGGGGACATTGGGGACATTGGGGACATTGGGGACATTGGGGGATTGGGGACATTGGGGACATTGGGGGCATCGGGGACATTGAGGACATTGAGGGGACATTGGGGACATTGGGGACATTGGGGACATTGGGGACATTGGGGACATGAGGGGACATGGGGGACATTTGGGGACATTGGGGACATTGGGGACATGAGGGGACATGGGGGACATTTGGGGACATTGGGGGGATTGGGGACATTGGGGACATTGGGGACAGTGGGGGACATTGGGGACATTGGGGACATTGGGGACATTGGGGACATTGGGGACAATGGGGACATTGGGGACATTGGGGACAATGGGGACATTGGGGACAGTGGGGACATTGGGGACATTGGGGACATTGGGGACATTGGGGACAATGGGGACATTGGGGACATTGGGGACATTGGGGACATTGGGGACGTTCGGGACATTGGGGACAGTGGGGACATTGGGGACATTGGGGACATTGGGGGGATTGGGGACATTGGGGACATTGGGGGGATTGGGGACATTGGGGGGTTGGGGACATTGAGGGGACATTGGGGACATTGGGGACATTGGGGACACTGGGGACATCAGCCAACGGAGGTGGTACCCGCCAGGTGATGTCACCCACTGTGGAGGTGTCACCAAACATGGCGATGTCACCCCACCACCATGTCACCATGACTTGACCATGACTATGACTTGACCATGCCCATGACCATGCCATGACTTAACCATGACTTGACCATGACTTGACCATGACCACAACTTGACCATGACCATGACTTGACCATGACCACGACCATGCCATGTCTTGACCATGCCATGACCACTCCATGACCATGACTTAACCATGACTTGACCATGACCATGGACATGCCATGACTTGACCATGCCATGACCACTTCATGACCATACCATGGCCATGCCATGACTTGACCATGACCATGACCATGGCCATGACCATTCCATGACCATGACTTAACCATGACCGTGACTTAACCATGACCATGACCATGTCATGACCATGACCATGACCATGACCACAACTTGACCATGACCATTCTATGACCATGACCATCAGTTGACCATGACCATGACCTGACCATGACTCAACCATGACCATGACCATGCCATGACCTGACCCTAACCATGACCATGACTTGACCATGACTTGACCATGACCACAACCTGACCATGACCATGGCCATGCCATGACCATGACCATGCCATGCCATGACCTGACCATAACCATGACCTGACCATGAACATGACTTGACCATGACTTGACCATGACCACAACTTGACCATGACCATTCCATGACCATGACTTAACCATGACCGTGACTTTACCATGACCATGACCATGACAATGACCATGCCATGACCATGACCATGACTTTTACCATGACCACAACTTGACCATGACCATGACTTGACCATGACTTGACCATGACTTGACCATGACCATGACCATGGCCATGCCATGTCTTGACCACACCATGACCACTCCATGACCATGACATGACCATGACCACGCCATGACCATGACCATTCCATGACCATTCCATGACCATGACTTAACCATGACCATGACCATGACAATGACCATGCCATGACCATGACCATGACTTGACCATGACCATGACCATGACAATGACCATGCCATGACCATGACCATGACTTTTACCATGACCACAACTTGACCATGACCATGACTTGACCATGACCATGACCATGACCATGCCATGACTTCACCATGACCATGACCATGCCATGACTGAACCATGACCATAACCATGACCACGCCATGACCATGACCATGCCATGACCATGACTTGACCATGACCATTACTTGACCATGACCATGCCATGACTTGACCATGACCATGCCATGACCATTCCATGCCCATGGCCATGACCCTTCCATGACCATGGCCATGACCATGCCATGACTTCACCATGACCATGACCATGCCATGACTGAACCATGACCATAACCATGACCACGCCATGACCATGACCATGACTTGACCATGACTTAACCATGACCATGACCATGACCATGACCATGACCATTCCATGACCATGACTTAACCATGACTATGACCATGACCTGACCCTAACCATGACCATGACCACAACCATGACCATGACCATGCCATGACCATCACTTGACCATGACCATGACCACAACCACGACCATGACCATTCCACGCCCATCACCCATCACCCATCACCGCCCCGTCCCCGCGTGTCCCCGATTGTCCCCGTCACCCTCCCCGGTGTCCCCTACCGCTCTTCTCGTTGCCGAGGACGCCGTAGGTGAAGATCTCGCCCACCCACTCCTGCAGCTCCTCGTCCTCGGCCACCTCACTGTCCTCGGCGTAGAAGAGCGCCACGATCCCCTCCACGTAGCTGGGACACCGCGGGGACACCGGTGACACACCCCGTGTCCCCATCACCGCCGACGTCCCATCTCGGTGTCACCTCCGTGGGGTCCTTGTCCCCCCATCCTCACTGTCCCCATTGTCCCCACCTGCATCGTTCCCGTCCCCGTGTCCCCATTGTTCCCATTGTCCCCACCTCCATGTCCCCACTTTCCCCATCTCCCTGTCCCCATTGTCCCCATCTCCATGTCCCCACTGTCCCCACCACTGCCACCTCTGTGTCCCCACTGCTGCCACCTCCGTGTCCCCACTGTCCCCACTGTCCCCACTGTCCCCATCCCATTGACCCCATCATTCCCATCCCATTGTCCCCACCACTGCCACCTCCATGTCCCCATTGTCCCCATTGTCCCCACCTCCCTGTCCCCATTGTCTTCATCTCCATGTCCCCACTGCTGCCACCTCCATGTCCTCACTGTCCCCATCCCATTGTCCCCATTGTCCCCATTGTCCCCACCTGTGGATGGCGCCCCAGATGTCCCCAATGTCCCCCAATGTCCCCGCTGTCCCCGTGTCCCCACCTGTGGATGGCGCCCCAGATGTCCCCAGTGTCCCCAACCCCCCAATGTCCCAATCCCCCCAATGTCCCCACTGTCCCCAATGTCCCCACTGTCCCTGCTGTCCCCAATGTCCCCAATGACCCCAATGTCCCCAATGTCCCCGTGTCCCCACCTGTGGATGGTGCCCCAGATGTCCCCAATGTCCCCAATGTCCCCAGTGTCCCCAGTGTCCCCACTGTCCCCACTGTCCCCAATGTCCCCGCTGTCCCCAATGTCCCCACTGTCCCCAATGTCCCCAATGTCCTCAATGTCCCCAACCCCCCCAATGTCCCCAATGTCCCCAATCCCCCAATGTCCCCAATGTCCCCAACCCCCCCAATGTCCCCAACCCCCCCAATGTGCCCAATGTCCCCACTGTCCCCACTGTCCCCGTGTCCCCGTGTCCCCACCTGTGGATGGCGTCCCAGATCTCCAGCGCGTCGTCCCTGTAGTGGTACCCGGGGATGTCCCCAACGTCGCGCTCGGCCACGTCCTCGGGGACACAGAGCTCGCGGAAGGTCAGCGCGGCCACCCCGCGGGCCACCAGCGCCAGTGTCCCCTCCCGGCCCACCGCCGTGGCCTGGGGACAGTGTCACCTCCGTGTCACCCTCAGTGTCACCTCAGTGTCACCTCAGTGTCCCCTCAGTGTCACCCCGCGGGCCACCAGCGCCAGTGTCCCCTCCCGGCCCACCGCGGTGGCCTGGGGACAGGGACAGCCCAGTGTCACCTCAGTGTCCCCTCTGTGTCCCCTCCCGGCCCACCGAGGTGGCCTGGGGACAGGGACAGCCCGGTGTCACCTTAATGTCACCCTCAGTGTCACCCCAGTGTCACCTCAGTGTCACCTCAGTGCCACCAGCGCCAGTGTCCCCTCCCGGCCCACCGCAGTGGCCTGGGGACAGGGACAGCCCGGTGTCACCTCAGTGTCACCTCAGTGTCACCTCTGTGTCCCCTCAGTGTCCCCTCAGTGTCACCTCAGTGTCCCCTCAGTGTCCCCTCAGTGTCCCCCCAGTGCCACCCTCAGTGTCCTCTCAGTGTCACCCTCAGTGTCACCTCAGTGTCCCCTCAATGTCCCCTCATTGTCCCCTCAGTGTCCCCTCAGTGCCACCCTCGATGTCACCTCAGTGTCGCCTCAGTGTTCCCCCAGTGCCACCTCCAGCCACACAGGTGACACAGGTGACCCAGGGAGATGACAGGGAGGTGACGCACAGGTGACAATGAGGTGACACAGGTGACACAGGTGACACAGGGAGGTGACACAGGTGACACAGGTGACACAGGAGGTGACAGACGTGACACAGGTGACACTGAGGTGACACACAGGTGACACAGGTGACAGAGGTGACACAGGTGACCCAGGTGACACAGGTGACACAGGTGACACAGGGAGGTGACACAGGAGGTGACACAGGAGGTGACAGAGGAGGTGACACAGGAGGTGACACAGGAGGTGACACAGGTGACACATAGGTGACACAGGTGACACAGGTGTCCCCAGGTGACCTGACCTGGTCGATGACCCCCCCGGGGCTCAGCAGCGTCTCCCGGGCGAGAACGTTGATGTGGAACGTGAAACGGAGATGGGGCAGCAGCAGCTGGGGACAGGGGGACAGAGAGGGGACATTGGGGACATTGGGGACATTGGGGACACTGGGGGGACATTGGGGACATTGGGGACATCATTGGGGACAGGCAGGGGACATCATTGGGGACAGTGGGGACATCATTGGGGACATCATTGGGGACAGTGAGGGGACATTGGGGACATTGGGACATTGGGGGGACATGGGGACAGAGAGGGGACAGAGAGGGGACAGTGGGGACATCATTGGGGACAGTGGGGACATTGGGGACATTGGGGACAGTGGGGGGACAGTGAGGGGACAGTGGGGACATCATTGGGGGACATAATCGGGGACATCATTGGGGACATTGGGGACATCAGTGGGGACAGGCAGGGGACATTGGGGACATTGGGGACATTGGGGACATTGGGGGGACATTGAGGGGATTGGGGACATTGGGGACATTGGGGACATTGGGGACAGTGGGGACAGTGGGGGTTGGGGACATTGGGGACATCATTGGGGACAGTGGGGACATTGGGGGTTGGGTTGGGATTTTTGGGGTTTTTGGGATGGGGATTTCAGGGAGCCGTTTTTGGGCTCAGGGATGAGTTTTTTGGGGTCAGGGATGGGATTTGGGGGTTTTTGGGATGGGGATTTTGAGGTGCAGATTTTGGGGTCCGGGTTGGGATTTTGGGGTCAGAGTGCAGTTTTTGGGTCAGGGATGGGATTTTGGGATGGGGATTTCGGGGTGCAGTTTTTTGGGGTCAATGTTGGGTTTTTGGGGTCAGGGCTGGGTTTTTGGGGTGGGGGTGCAGTTTTTGGGGTCAGGGATGAGTTTTTGGGGATTTGGGGATGGGGATTTCGGGGTGCAGTTTTTGGGGTCAGGGATGGGATTTTTGGGGTCAGGGATGGGGATTTCAGGACGGGGATTTCGAGGTGCAGGTTTTGGGGTCGGGGTGCAGCTTTTGGGGTCCGGGCACAGTTTTTGGGGTCGGGATGCAGTTTTTGGGGTCGGGGCTGGGTTTTTGGGGTCGGGGATGGGATTTTGGGGTCAGGGATGGGATTTCAGGATGGGGATTTCGGGATGCAGTTTTTGGGGTCGGGGCTGGGTTTTTGGGGTCAGCGTTGGGATTTTTGGGGTTTTTGGGATGGGGATTTCGGGGTGCAGTTTTTGGGGTCGGGGATGGGGTTTTTGGGGTCAGGGATGAGTTTTTGGGGATTTTGGGATGGGGATTTTGGGGTGCAGTTTTTGGGGTCAGGGCTGGGATTTTGGGGTCAGGGATGGGGTTTTTGGGATGGGGATTTCGGGGCTGGGTTTTTGGGGTCAGGGATGAGTTTTTGGGGTCAGGGATGGGGTTTCAGGACGGGGATTTCGGGGTGCAGCTTTTGGGGTTTGGGTGCCGTTTTTGGGATGGGGATTTCAGGGTGCAGTTTTTGGGGTCAGTGTTGGGATTTTCCGGGTGCAATTTTTGGGTTCAGGGATGGGGTTTTTGGGGATTTTGGGATGGGGATTTCGGGGTGCAGTTTTTGGGGTCAGGGATGGGGTTTTTGGGATGGGGATTTTGGGGCTGTGTTTTTGGGGTCAGGGCTGGGATTTTGGGGTCAGGGATGGGATTTTTTGGATGGGGATTTTGGGGTGCAGTTTTTGGGGTCAGGGATGGGATTTTTGGCGTCACCGTTGGGATTTTTGGGGATTTTGGGATGGGGATTTCGGGGTGCAGTTTTTTGGGTCGGGGCTGGGTTTTTGGGGTCAGGGATGGGGTTTTTGGGGTCTGGGCACAGTTTTTGGGGTCAGTGTTGGGATTTTGGGACAGGGATTTCGGGGTGCAGTTTTTGGGGTTTGGGTGCAGTTTTTGGGATGGGGATTTCAGGGTGCAGTTTTTGGGGTCGGGGATGGGTTTTTGGGGTCCGGGCACAGTTTTTGGGGTCAGGATTGGGATTTTTGGGGTCAGCATTTGGATTTTTGGGGATTTTGGGATGGGCATTTTGGGGTGCAGTTTTTGGGGTCAGGATTGGGTTTTGGGGATTTTGGGATGGGCATTTTGAGGTGCAGTTTTTGGGGCCTGGGTTGGGATTTCAGGACAGGGATTTTGGGGCGCAGTTTTTGGGGTCCGGGCGCCATTTATGGGGTCAGGGATGGGGTTTTTGGAATGGGGATTTCAGGGCGCAGTTTTTGGGGTCAGGGATGGGATTTTTGGGGTCAGGGACGGGGATTTCAGGACGGGGATTTCAGGACGGGGATTTCAGGACGGGGATTTCGGGGAGCAGTTTTTGGGGTCCAGGTGCAGTTTTTGGGGTCAGGTATGGGATTTTTGGGATGGGGATTTCAAGGTGCGGTTTTTGGGGCCAGTGTTGGGATTTTGGGCTCAGTATTGGGTTTTGGGACAGGGATTTCGGGGTGCAGTGTTTTGGGGTCAGTGTTGGGTTTTTGGGGTCGGGGCTGGGTTTTTGGGGTCGGGGATGGGTTTTTGGGGTCGGGGCTGTGTTTTTGGGGTCTGGGCTGGTTTTTGGGGTACCTGGTGCAGTTTTTGGGGTCGGGGCACAGTTTTTGGGGTCAGGATTGGGATTTTGGGACAGGGATTTTGGGGTGCAGTTTTTGGTGTTGGGATGCAGTTTTTGGGGTCCAGGTGCAATTTTTGGGGTCAGGGCTGGGTTTTTGGGGTCGGGGCTGGGTTTTTGGGGTCGGGGGATGGGTTTTTGGGGTCAGGGTGCAGTTTTTGGGGTCAGGGCTGGGTTTTTGGGGTCAGGAATGGTTTTTGGGGTCAGGATTGGGATTTCAGGATGGGGATTTTGGGATGCAGTTTTTGGGCTCAGGGACGGGATTTTTGGGGTCAGGGATGAGTTTTTGGGGTCAGGGATGGGGATTTTGGGGTCAGGATTGGGATTTTTGGGGATTTTGGGATGGGCATTTTGGGGTGCAGTTTTTGGGGTCAGGATTGGGTTTTGGGGATTTTGGGATGGGGATTTTGGGGTGCAGTTTTTGGGGTCAGGGCTGTGTTTTTGGGGTCAATGTTGGGATTTTGGGGTCCGTGCCGGGTTTTTGGGGTACCTGGTGCACGGGGTGCGCGGCGGGCAGGCGGTGCGTGGCCACGGCGAAGGCCTCGGCCAGGAAGTGGCCGTGCAGGAGATGCGTCACCATCTCGTGCAGCACGAAATGCGCGTTCCGCACCCACAGCTTGGCCAGCGCCCAACCGCCGCCCCCCGGCCCGAAAATCGGGGACCCCGGCCCAGGGCGCTGCGACAGCTGGGGGGACACGGGGTCACACGGGGTCACTTGGGGTCACCAGGGGTCATTGGGGGTCATTGGGGTCAGTGGGGTCACAGGGGACCCCGGCCCGGGGCGCTGGGACAGCTGGGGGGACACCAGGGGTCATCAGGGGTCATCAGGGGTCATTGGGGTCAGAGGGGTCATTGGGGATCAATGGAAGTCAATCGGAGTCATTGGGGGTCATTGGGGGTCATTGGGGTCACTGGGGTCACCAGGGGTCACCAGGGGTCACGAGGAGTCAATGGGGTCAGTGGGGTCACTGGGGGTCAATGGGGTCACTGGGGGTCACCAGGGGTCACCAGGGGTCACCAGGGGTCACCAGGGGTCAGTGGGAGTCACTAGGGGTCACCAGGGGTCACTGGGGGTCACTGGGGTCAGTGGGGTCACAGGGGATCCCGGCCCGGGGCGCTGGGACAGCTGGGGGGACACCAGGGGTCAGTGGGGGTCACTGGGGGTCACACGGGGTCATCAGGGGTCATTGGGGGTCATCAGGGGTCAGTGGGGTCACAGGGGACCCCGGCCCGGGGCGCTGGGACAGCTGGGGGGACACCAGGGGTCAGTGGGGGGTCATTGGGGTCACTGGGGGTCACACGGGGTCACTGGGGTCACCGGGGGTCACTGGGGTCAGTGGGGTCAGTAGGGTCACAGGGGACCCCGGCCCGGGGCACTGGGACAGCTGGGGGGACACGGGGTCACCAGGGGTCACCAGGGGTCACCGGGGTCACCAGGGGTCACCAGGGGTCAGCGGGGGTCATTGGGGGTCACTGGGGTCACCGGGGTCAGTGGGGTCAGTGGGGTCAGTGGGGCCAGTGGGGTCAGTGGGGTCACAGGGGACCCCGGCCCGGGGTGCTGGGACAGCTGGGGGGACACCGGGGGTCACACGGGGTCACACGGGGTCAGTGGGGGTCATTTTGGGGCCATTTGGGGACATTTTGGGGCCGTTTGGGGCCGTTTGGAGCCATCTGGCGCCATATTTGGGCCCATTTGGGGCCATTTTGGGGCCATTTCAGGATATTTTGGGGCTGTTTGGGGCCATTTGGGGTCATCTGGCGCCATTTTGGGGCCATTTTGGGGCCATCTGGCGCCATTTTGGGGCCATTTTGGGGCCATTTGGGGCCATTTTGGGGCCATTTGGGGCCATTTTGGGGCCATTTTGGTCCACTTGGCGCCATTTCAGGACATTTGGGGACATTTGGGCCCATCTGGCGCCATTTTGTGGCCTTTTGGGGCCATTTTGGGGCCATTATGGGATATTTTGGGGTAGTTAGGGGATATTTTGGGGCCATTTTGGGCCCTTTGGGGCCATTTTGGGACATCTGGGGCCATTTTGGGGCCATTTGGGGCCATTTTGGGGCCATTTTGGGGCCATTTGGAGCCATTTTGAGGCCATTTGGTGCCGTTTGCGGCCATTTTGGGGCCGTTTGCGGCCATTTTGGGGCCATCTGGCGCCATTTTGGGGCCATCTTGAGGCCGTTTGGGGCCATTTTGGGGCCATTTGTGGCCATTTTGGGGCTGTTTAGGGACATTTGGGGATATTTTGGGACATTTGGGGACATTTGGGGCCATTTGGAGCCCTTTGGGGCCATTTGGGGCCGTTTGGGATCATTTGGGGCCATTTGGGGCCATTTGGGGCCGTTTGGGTCATTTTGGGACCATTTGGGGGCATTTAGGGCCATTTGGCGCCATTTTGGGGCCATTTGGGGCCATTTTGGGGCCATTTTGAGGCCGTTTGGGGCCCATTGGTGCCATCTGGCGCCATTTTGGGCCATTTGGAGCCATTTTGAGGCCATTTGGGGCCATTTTGGGGCCATTTTGTGGCCATTTGGGGACATTTTGGGGCCATCTGGCGCCATTTTGGGGCCATTTTGGTCCACTTGGCGCCATTTCAGGACATTTGGGGAAATTTGGGCCCATCTGGCGCCATTTTGTGGCCTTTTGGGGCCATTTTGGGGCCATTATGGGATATTTTGGGGTAGTTAGGGGATATTTTGGGACATTTTGGGACATTTGGGGACATTTGGGGACATTTGGGGACATTCTGGGGACATCTGGGGACACGGGACCGTACCTGGATGGCCACGGGCAGCAGGCGGCCGCGGGGGTCGAGCCACAACAGGCAGAGGGGGGCGGCCACGAACTGGGGGTGCCCCCCGATGTCCCCCGTGGGGAGCCCCTCCAGCAGCGCGTAGTCGGCCAGGAACAGGCGCCCGTCCTGCGGGGACACCCCGAAATGGGACACCCCGAAAATGGGACACCCCGAAATGGGACACCCCCAAATTGGGACACCCAAAAATTGGGGACACCCCGAAATTGGGGACAGCAAAAATGGGGACACCCCGAAAATGGGGACACCCCGAAATTGGGGACCCCCCCCTCCAGCAGCGCGTAGTCGGCCAGGAACAGGCGCCCCTCCTGCGGGGACACCCCGAAATGGGACACCCCAAAATTGGGGATACCCCGAAATTGGGACACCCCGAAATGGGACACCCCGAAATTGGGGACACACCAAAATTGGGGCACACCGAAATTGGGACACCCCAAAATGGGGATACTCCGAAAATGGGATACCCCAAAAACTGGGACACCCTGAAATTGGGGACACCCAAAAATGGGGACACCAAAATGGGGACACCCCGAAATTGGGGTCATGAAATGGGGACATGAAATGGGGACACCAAAATGGGGACAGCAAATTGGGACCCCAAAAATGGAGACCCCAAATGGGGACACCCCAAAATTGGGGACACCCCGAAAATGGGGACACCCCGAAATTGGGACACCCCAAAATTGGGAGCCCCCCCTCCAGCAGCGCGTAGTCGGCCAGGAACAGGCGCCCCTCCTGCGGGGACACCCCGAAATGGGACACCCCGAAATTGGGGACACCCCGAAATTGGGACACCCCCAAATTGGGACACCCCAAAATGGGACACCCCAAAATTGGGACACACCGAAATTGGGACACCCCGAAATTGGGACATCCCGAAATTGGGACACCCCGAAATTGGGGACAGCAAAAATGGGGACACCCCGAAATTGGGGACACCCAAAAATGGGGACATCCCGAAAATGGGACACCCCGAAATTGGGACACCCCGAAATTGGGACATCCCAAAATTGGGGACATCCAAAAATGGGGACACTCCGAAATTGGGACATCCCGAAATGGGGACACCCCGAAATGTGGACACCCCGAAATTGGGGACACCCCGAAATGGGGATACTCCGAAATTGGGGACACCCCGAAAATGGGACACCCCGAAATTGGGGCATCCCGAAAATGGGGACACCAAAATGGGGACACCCCGAAATGGGGACACAAAATGGGGACACCCAAAATGGGGACACCCCGAAATTGGGACATCCCGAAATTGGGACACCTCGAAATTGGGGACATCCCAAAAATGGGGACACCCCGAAATGGGGACACCCCGAAATTGGGACACCCAAAATGGGGACACCCTGAAATTGGGACACCCAAAAAATGGGGATACCCCGAAATTGGGACACCCCGAAAATGTGGATACCCAGAAAAGGGGACACCTCGAAATGGGGACACCCTGAAATTGGGACATCCCGAAATGGGGACACCCCGAAATTGGGGACACCCCGAAATGGGGACACCCCGAAATTTGGGACACCCCGAAATTGGGACACCCCGAAATTGGGACACCGAAATGGAGACACCCCGAAACTGGGACACCCCGAAAATGGGACACACCGAAAATGGGACACCCTGAAAATGGGACACACCGAAATTGGGGACACCCCGAAATTGGGGACATCCCTAAATTGGGACATCCCGAAATTGGGGATACCCCGAAATTGGGACACCCAAAAATTGGGACACCCCGAAATTGGGGACACCCCGAAATTGGGACACCCCAAAATTGGGACACCCCGAAAATGGGGACATGAAATGGGACCCCAAAAATGGGGACACAAATGGGGACACCAATGGGACACCGAAAATGGGGACAACGAAATGGGGACACCAAAATGGTTTTTAGGGATTTTGGGGTTTCTCTTTGGGATTTTTGGTGGGTTTTGGATTTTTGGGGTTTTTATGGATTTTGGGGGTTCTCTTTGGGGTTTTTGGTGCTTTTGGGGGTTTTTGGGGGGATTTTTGGGGTTTTTATGGATTTTGGTGGTTCTCTTTGGGGTTTTTATGGATTTTGGGGGTTCTCTTTGAGGTTTTTATGGATTTTGGGGTTTTTCTTTGGGGTTTTTAGGATTTTTGGGGTTTCTCTTTGGGGTTTTTTGGGTTTTTGGGGTGCCCACCTCCATCTCGCGGCGCAGGGAGGTGCCCGGGCCCAGGCTGGGCGCCACCACGGCCTCGCTGACGGGGAAGTTGGGGGGCAGGCGGCGGCAGCGGCGCAGCAGGACGGGGTTCACCCCGCTCAGGAACTGCTCCCCGAAAAACGCGTCCTCCTGCCAGTGCCGCACCACGTACTCTGGGGACACGGGGACACCTGGTGAGACACTGGGGACACCTTGGGGACACTTCAGGACACCCTGGGGACACCTGGGGACACCTTGGGACACCTCAAGGACACCTTGGGGACACCTGGGGACACTTGGAGACATCTGGGGACATGTTTTGGACACCTGGGGAACATCTGGGGAACATCTGGGGACAACTGGGGATACCTTGGAGGTGTCTCAGGGACACTTGGGACACCTTGGAACACCTTGGGGACACCTTGGAACACCCTGTGGACACTTGGGGACACCTGGGGAACATCTGGGGACAACTGGGGATACCTTGGAGGCATCTCAGGGACACTTGAGGACACTTGGGGACAACCAGGGACACCCTGGGGACACTTGGGAACACCTCGGGGACATCTGGAGACACCCAGGGAACATTTGAGAACACATTGGAAGACCTTGGGGACACTTGGGTACAACCAGGGACACCCTGGGGACACCTTGGAACACCTTGGGGACACCTGGGGACACCTTGGGGACATCTCAGGACACCTGGGGACACCTGGGGACACCTTGGGGACATCTCAGGACACCTGGGGACACCTGGGGACACCTTGGGGACACTTGGGGACACCTGGAGACACTTAGAACACCTTGGGGACACCTTGGGGACACTTGGGGACACCTGGAGACACTTAGAACACCTTGGGGACACCTTGGGGACACTTGGGGACATCTGGGGTCACCTTGGGGACAGCTGGGGACACTTGGGGACATCTCATGGACACTTGGGGACGCTTCTTGCACACCTGGGGACACCTTGGGGACATTTTTTGGACACCTGGGGAACATCTGGGGACAACTGGGGATACCTTAGGGGACACCTTGAGGACACCTTGGAGCACCTTGGGGACACTCGAGGACACTTGGGGACACTTGGTGACATTGGGGACACGGCAGGGGAGGGGCACCCACCGCTGATGGGGGTCCCGGGCCCCTCGAGCGCCGCCCGAATGTCCCCAAAGCTGCGCCAGGAGGAGCCGGAGGTGAGACCCCGAAACCGGACACGGAGCTGCCTGGGGACAGGGACAGGGACATCGGGGGGGACATTGGGGGGACATCAGTGGGGACATTGGGGACATTGGGGACATTGGGGGGATTTGGGGGCATTGGGGACATTGGTGGATTGGGGACATTGGGGACATTTGGGGACACAAAGGGGACATTGGGGACAGGGTGGGTGGGGGTGGTCGGGACCATCAGGGACTCCCAATGACCCCCATTGATCCCCATTGATCCCCAATGACCCCCATTGATCCCCATTGATCCCCAATGACCCCCATTGATCCCCATTGATCCCCAATGACCCCCATTGATCCCCATTGATCCCCAATGACCCCCATTGATCCCCATTGATCCCCAATGACCCCCATTGATCCCCATTGATCCCCAATGACCTCCATTGACCTCCATTGATGTCCATTGACCCCCAACGACCCCAGTTGACCCCATTGACCCCCATTGGCTCCCGTTGACCTCCATTGACCTCCATTGACCCCAATTGACCCCCATTGATCCACATTGACCTCCACTGACCCTCAGTGACCCCCATTGACCCCCATTGGCTCCCGTTGATCCCCATTGATCCTTGTTGACCCCCATTGACCCCCATTGACATCCATTGACCCCAGTTCACCTCCATTGACCTCCATTGACTCCCATTGACCCCCATTGACCTCAAATGACCCCCAATGAAACCCATTGATCCCCAATGACCCCATTGACCTCCATTGACCTCCATTGACTCCCATTGACCTGCACTGACCTCCATTGACTCCCAATGACCCCCAATGACCCCCATTGATCCCCATTGATCCCCAATGACCCCCATTGATCCCCATTGATCCCCAATGACCCCCATTGATCCCCATTGATCCCCAATGACCCCCATTGATCCCCATTGATCCCCAATGACCTCCAATGACATCCATTGACCTCCATTGCCCCCCGTTGACTCCCAATGAACCCCATTGATCACCAATGACCCCCGATGACCGCCAATGACCCCCAATGACCCCCATTGACCCCATTGACAGCCAATGACTCCCAATGACCTCCATTGACCCCCAATGACCCCCATTGACCTCCATTGACCTCCATTGACCTCCATTGACCTCCATTGACCCCATTGTCCCCCATTGACCCCAGTTCACCTCCATTGACCCCATTGACCTCCAATGACCTCCATTGACCTCCATTAACCTCCATTGACATCCATTGACCCCCAATGACCCCCAATGATCTTGATGACCCTTGATGACCCCAATGCCCCCCAATGACCCCAAATGACCTCCATTGACCTCCATTGACATCCATTGACCCCAATTGAGCCCCATCAATCCCCATTGACCCCCAATAAGCCCAATGACCCCCATTGACCCCTGATGACCCCCATTGACCCACAATGACCTCCATTGACCTCCATTGACCCCCATTGACCACCATTAACCCCCATTAACCCCAATGACCCCGAATGACCCTCATTGACCACCATTGGCTCCTGTTGACCTCCATTGACCCCCATTGACCCCATTGACCTCCATTGACCCCAGTTCACCTCCATTGACCTCCATTGACCCCCAATGACCTCCATTGACCTCCATTGACCTCCATTGACCCCAGTTCACCTCCATTGACCTCCATTGACTCCCATTGACCCCAATGATCCCCATTGACCCCCAATGACCCCGATGACCCCCAATGACCCCCAATGACCCCCGATGACCCCCGATGACCCCCAATGACCCCCGATGACCCCTGATGACCCCCGATGACCCCGTTGACCCCCGATGACCCCCAATGACCCCCCATGACCCCCAATGACCCCCGATGACCCCCGATGACCCCGTTGACCCCCAATGACCCCCAATGACCCCAATGACCCCCAATGACCCCCAATGACCCCAATGACCCCCGATGACCCCCGATGACCCCCGATGACCCCCGATGACCCCTGTTGACCCCCGATGAGGTCACTGACGCGGCGGCGGCGCGCGCGGCCAGTTGGGCGCGGTGGGCCAGGGGGAAGCTCAGGGTGGGCGACAGCGGCAGGGGCGGCGCCGGTGACGTCATCGCTTCCTGTGACGTCATCGGTTCCCGTGACGTCATCGCCTCCGGTGACGTCATCGCCTCTGGTGACGTCGTCGCCTCCTGTGATGTCGTCGGCTCCGGTGACGTCACCGGAAGGGGCGTGTCCGGCGGGGGCGGGGCCGGCCAGGGGCACAGGGTCGGGGGCAGCGCCCGGAGGCACCACGGCCACCCCGGGGCGTAGGGAGCCCACCTGGACACACGGACACGGGTGACCATTAGTGACCATTAGTGACCATTAATGACCATTAATGACCAGCAGTGACCTGCAGTGACCATTAATGACCATTAGTGACCAGCAGTGACCATTAATGACCATTAGTGACCATTAATGACCATTAGTGACCATTAGTGACCATTAATGACCATTAATGATCAGCAGTGACCATTAATGACCAGCAGTGACCACTGGTGACCACCTGGACACACGGACACGAGTGACCACCGGTGACCAGCGGTGACCAGTGGTGACCATCAGTGACCATTAATGACCATTAATGACCATTAGTGACCATTAATGACCAGCAGTGACCAGCAGTGACCAGCAGTGACCATTAGTGACCATTAATGACCATGAGTGACCATTAGTGACCATTAATGACCAGCAGTGACCATTAGTGACCATTAATGACCATTAGTGACCATTAGTGACCATTAGTGACCATTAGTGACCATTAGTGACCATTAATGACCAGCAGTGACCATTAGTGACCATTAGTGACCATTAGTGACTATTAATGACCATTAGTGACCATTAGTGACCATTAATGACCAGAAGTGACCATTAGTGACCATTAATGTCCAGCAGTGACCACTGGTGACCACCTGGACAGAGGGACACGAGTGACCACTGGTGACCACCGGTGACCAGCGGTGACCATTAGTGACCATCAGTGACCATTAGTGACCATTAGTGACCATTAGTGACCAGCAGTGACCATTAGTGACCATTGATGACCATTAGTGACCATTAATGACCATTAATGACCAGCAGTGACCATTAGTGACCACCTGGACACATGGACAAAAGTGACCACCGGTGACCAGTGGTGACCATTAATGACCATTAATGACCATTAATGACCATTAGTGACCACTGGTGACCATTAGTGACCATTAATGACCATTAATGACCATTAGTGACCATTAGTGACCATTAATGACCATTAATGACCATTAATGACCAGCAGTGATCAGCAGTGACCATTAGTGACCATTAATGACCAGCAGTGACCATTAATGACCAGCAGTGACCATTAGTGACCATTAATGACCATTGGTGACCATTAATGACCATTAGTGACCATTAATGACCAGCAGTGACCATTAATGACCATTAGTGACCAGCACTGACCATTAGTGACCAGCAGTGACCATTAGTGACCATTAGTGACCAGCGGTGACCGTTAGTGACCATTAATGACCAGCAGTGACCATTAATGACCATTAGTGACCATTAGTGACCATTAATGACCAGCAGTGACCATTAATGACCATTAGTGACCAGCACTGACCATTAGTGACCAGCAGTGACCATTAGTGACCATTAGTGACCAGCGGTGACCATTAGTGACCATTAATGACCAGCAGTGACCATTAATGACCATTAGTGACCATTAGTGACCAGCAGTGACCACTGGTGACCAGCAGTGACCATTAGTGACCATTAGTGACCATTAGTGACCATTAATGACCAGCAGTGACCATTAATGACCATTAGTGACCATTAGTGACCAGCAGTGACCACTGGTGACCAGCAGTGACCATTAGTGACCATTAGTGACCATTAGTGACCATTAATGACCATTAGTGACCATTAATGACCAGCAGTGACCATTAGTGACCATTAATGACCATTAATGACCAGCAGTGACCATTAGTGACCATTAGTGACCATTAGTGACTATTAATGACCATTAATGACCACCAGTGACCACCAGTAGCCATCACCAGTGACTTCTCAGCGCTCCCCAGTCCCCCCCAGTTCCCTCCCAGTCCCTCCCAGTTCCTCCCAGTTCCTCCCAGTCCCTCCCAGTTCCTCCCAGTCCCTCCCAGTCCCTCCCAGTCCCTCCCAGTCCCTCCCAGTCCCTCCCAGTTCCCTCCCAGTCCCTCCCAGTCCCTCCCAGTTCCCTCCCAGTCCCTCCCAGTCCATCCCAGTCCCTCCCAGTATAAACCAGTTCCCTCCCAGTCCCTCCCAGTCCCTCCCAGTATAAACCAGTTCCCTCCCAGTCCCTCCCAGTCCCTCCCAGTTCCCTCCCAGTCCCTCCCAGTCCATCCCAGTCCCTCCCAGTATAAACCAGTTCCCTCCCAGTCCATCCCAGTCCCTCCCAGTATAAACCAGTTCCCTCCCAGTCCCTCCCAGTCCCTCCCAGTCCATCCCAGTTCTCACTGGAAGTTCTCCCGCCGCTCTCTCTGCTCCTCTCGGCGCTGCTGCAGCAGCTCCGGAACCCGCGCGGCGTCACGGGGGGTGCGGGCTGGGGACAGAGGGACATTGGGGACATTGGGGACATTGGGGACATTGGGGACATCATTGGGGACATCATTGGGGACATCATTGGGGACATTGGGGACATCATTGGGGACATCATTGGGGACATCATTGGGGACATTGGGGACACTGGGGACATCGGGGACATTGGGGACATTGGGGACATTGGGGACATTGGGGACATTGGGGACAGTGGGGACATTGGGGGATTGGGGACATTGGGGACATTGGGGACATTGGGGACATTGGGGACATTGGGGACATTGGGGACATTGGGGGATTGGGGACATTGGGGACATTGGGGACATCATTGGGGACATTGGGGACATTGGGGACATTGGGGACAGAGGGGACATTGGGGACATTGGGGACAGTGGGGACACTGGGGACATTGGGGACATTGGGGACATTGGGGACATTGGGGGTTTGGGGACATTGGGGACATTGGGGGGACATTGGGGATATTGGGTCCGCAATGTGTCCTTGATGTCCCCAATGTCCCCAATGTCCCCAATGTCCCCAATGTCCCCCCAATGTCCCCAATGTCCCCAAACCCCCAATGTCCCCAATGTGTCCCCAATGTCCCCAATGTGTCCCCAATGTCCCCAATGCCCCCAATGTCCCCAATGTCCCCAATGTCCCCAATGCCCCCAATGTCCCCAGTGTCCCCAATGTCCCCAATCCCCCCAATGTCCCCAATGTCCCCAATGTCCCCTCTGTCCCCAATGTCCCCAATGTCCCCAATGTCCCCAATGTCCCCAATGTCCCCAATCCCCCCAATGTCTCCAATGTCCCCAATGTCCCCAATGTGTCCCCAATGTCCCCAATGTCCCCAATGTCCCCAATGTCCCCAATGTCCCCTCTGTCCCCAATGTCCCCAATCCCCCAATGTCCCCAATGTCCCCAATGTCCCCAATGTCCCCAACCCCCCCAATGTCCCCAATGTCCCCAATGTCCCCACTGTCCCCAATGTCCCCAATGTCCCCAACCCCCCCAATGTCCCCACTGTCCCCAGCCGTACCTGTCCCCTCCCTCAGCTCCACCTCGCCGCTCTCCAGCCAGCGCTGGCACGGGAACACGGCCGTGGGGACGTCCCCGAGCTCGGGGGACACGTCCCCATGGGTGCCACCATTGGTGTCACCGTGGGTGTCCCCGGGGGGGGGTGGCAGTGGCCCGGTGACGGTGACACTGGCGCAGAACCAGCGGTCGGGGACGAGCGGCAGCAGCGGCTCCTTGTGCAGGCGGAGGGACAGGAGTGTCCCCAAAGGGCGCGGGGACGTCACCTCCTGCCACACGGTCTGGGGACAGGGACAGCGGGGTCACCTGGGGGTCACCTGTGTGTCACCTCCTGTGTCACCTGTGTCACCTCTGTCAGTCCCCAAAGGGCGCGGGGACGTCACCTCCTGCCACACGGTCTGGGGGGACATCACCTGTGTCACCTGGGGGTCACCTCCTGTGTCACCTGTGTCACACCTGTGTCACCTGTGTCACCTGTGTCACCTGTGTCAGCTCTGTGTCACCTGTGTCACCTGTGTCACCTGTGTCACCTGTGTCACCTCCTGTGTCACCGCCTGTGTCACCTGTGTCACCTGTGTCTCTCCCAGTTCCCTCCCAGTGCCATCCCAGTGCTCCCAGTACTCCCAGTTTGTCACTCCCAGACCCTCCCAGTATAAACCAGTAACCCCCAGTCCGCTCCAAGTCTCTCCCAGTTCCATCCCAGTCCCCTCCCAGTTTATCCCAGTTTACCCCAGTTCCTCCCAGTTCCTCCCAGTTCATCCCAGTCCATCCCACTTCCATCCCAGTTCCATCCCAGTTCCATCCCAGTTCCATCCCAGTTCCATCCCAGTTCCATTCCACTCCATCAAAGTCCCCCCCCAGTCCCTCCCAGTCCATCCCAGTACAAACCAGTAATCCCCCAATCCCCTCCCAGTTCCCTCCCAGTCCTTCCCAGTTCCCTCCCAGTTTGGTCCCAGTCCCTCCCAGTTCCCCTCAATCCTCTCCCAGTCCCCCCCAGTATAAACCAGTAACTCCCAATTGCCCCCCAATCCCTTCCCAGTCCCTCCCAGTCTCTCCCAGTACATCCCAGTCTATCCCAATCCCCCTCCCAGTATATCCCAGTCCCCCCCAATCCCTTCCCAGTCCCTCCCAATATATCCCAGTATATCCCAATCCCCTCCCAGTCCCCCCCAAACCCCCCCCCAGTTCCCTCCCAGTTCCATCCCAGTCCCCTCCCAGTATATCCCAGTTTATCCCAGTCCATCCCAGTCCCCTCCCAATCCCTCCCAGTTCATCCCAGTCCCTCCCAGTATAACCCAATCCCCTCCCAGTCCCCTCTCAGTCCGTCCCACTCCGTCCCAGTTTGGTCCCAGTCCCCCCCAGTCCCTCCCAGTATAACCCAATCCCCCCCAACCCCCCCCCCAGTATAAACCAGTATAAACCAGTATAACCAGTTTGCTCTCACCTCTCCGGGCCGCAGCCACCCCCAGTCCCTCCCAGTATAAACCAGTATAAACCAGTATAACCAATTTGCTCTCACCTCTCTGGGCCGCAGCCCCCCCCAGTCCCATTCCCAGTATAAACCAGTATAACCAGTTTGGCTCTCACCTCTCCCAGTCCCATTCCCAGTATAAACCAGTATAAACCAGTATAACCAGTTTGCTCTCACCTCTCCGGGCCGCAGCCCCCCCCAGTCCCATTCCCAGTATAAACCAGTATAAACCAGTATAACTAGTTTGCTCTCACCTCTCCCAGTCCCATTCCCAGTATAAACCAGTATAAACCAGTATAACCAGTTTGCTCTCACCTCTCCTGGCCGCAGCCCCCCCCAGTCCCATTCCCAGTATAAACCAGTATAAACCAGTATAACCAGTTTGCTCTCACCTCTCCGGGCCGCAGCCCCCCCCAGTCCCATTCCCAGTATAAACCAGTATAAACCAGTATAACCAGTTTGCTCTCACCTCTCCCAGTCCCATTCCCAGTATAAACCAGTATAAACCAGTATAACCAGTTTGCTCTCACCTCTCCGGGCCGCAGCCCCCCCCAGTCCCATTCCCAGTATAAACCAGTATAAACCAGTATAACCAGTTTGCTCTCACCTCTCCCAGTCCCATTCCCAGTATAAACCAGTATAACCAGTATAACCAGTTTGCTCTCACCTCTCCGGCCCGCAGCCCCCCCCAGTCCCATTCCCAGTATAAACCAGTATAAACCAGTATAACCAGTTTGCTCTCACCTCTCCCAGTCCCATTCCCAGTATAAACCAGTATAAACCAGTATAACCAGTTTGCTCTCACCTCTCCGGGCCGCAGCCCCCCCCGGGGCCCCCCCAGCTCCCAGCGCGGCCCCTCCCCCCCGGTGCCCCTCAGGGTCACCCCCACCCCCCCCAGGGTGCCCCTCCCCCACCCCGCGCCCGTGGCCACGCCCACCCGGTACCGCGCCCCTCCCCCACCCGCCAGGGTCACACCGGGGCAGGGGTCAACCAGGGGTCAGGGGTCACTCAGGGGTCACTCAGGGGTCAGTTGGTCACTCAGGGTCACTCAGGGGTCACTCAGGGTCACACAGGGGTCACTCAGGGGTCACACAGGGGTCAGTCAGGGGTCAGTCAGGGGTCAGAGGGGTTAACCAGGGGTCACTCAGGGGTCACTCAGGGGTCACACGGGGTCAGGGGTCACACTGGGGTCACTCAGGGGTCACTCAGGGTCACACAGGGTCACTCAGGGGTCACTCAGGGTCACCCAGGGGTCACTCAGGGGTCACTCAGGGGTCACTCAGGGGTCACTCAGGGGTCAGTTGGTCACTCAGGGTCACTCAGGGTCACACAGGGGTCACTCAGGGTCACTCAGGGTCACTCAGGGGTCACTCAGGGTCACCCAGGGGTCACTCAGGGGTCACTCAGGGGTCACTCAGGGGTCACTCAGGGGTCAGTTGGTCACTCAGGGTCACTCAGGGTCACACAGGGGTCACTCAGGGTCACTCAGGGTCACTCAGGGGTCACTCAGGGTCACTCAGGGTCACTCAAGGGTCACTCAGGGTCACTCAGGGGTCAGTCAGGGTCACTCAGGGGTCACTCAGGGTCACTCAGGGGTCACTCAGGGGTCAGGGGTCACTCAGGGGTCACTCAGGGTCACTCAGGGGTCACTCAGGGTCACTCGGGGTCACTCAGGGGTCACTCAGGGGTCACTCAGGGTCACTCAGGGGGTCCCTGAATATTTTGGGGGGAGTCTTGAAGGGATTTGGGGTCCCAGGGGATTTTTAGGGGTTTTTAGGGGATTTTTGGGGGTCCCTGGGCAGTTTTGGGGTCCCAGGGGGGTTTTGGGGGGTCCCTGAGAGGCCCTTGGGGATTTTTTGGGAGGTTTTTGGGGTCACGGGGGGGATTTTTGGGGTCCCAAGGGAGTTTTGGGGGGTCCCAGGGGGTTTTTAGGGGATTTTGGGGTCCCCGGGGGGGGTTTTAGGGGATTTTTGGGGGATGCCCGGGAAATTTTGGGGGTCCCGGGAGATTTTTGGGGGTCCCAGGGGGGTTTTGGGGGTCTCAGGGGTTTTTAGGGGATTTTTGGGGGGGTCCCTGGGCAGTTTTGGGGGTCCCTGGGGGATTTTGGGGTCCCAGGGGGATTTTGGGGTCCCCGAGCGGATTTTGGGGGTCCCGGGGGGAAATTTTGGGGGTCCCGGGGGGGATTTTGGGGGTCCCGGGGGATTTTGGGGGTCCCGGGGGGGATTTTGGGGTCCCGGGATCGATTTGGGGTCCCGGGGGGGATTTTGGGGGTCCCGGGGGGGATTTTGGGGTCCCGGGGGGATTTTGGGGTCCCGGGGGGGATTTTTGGGGGTCCCGGGGGGGATTTTGGGGGTCCCGGGGGGGATTTGGGGGGTCCCGGTCCTGGGGGGTCCTCGGGGGTCCCTCGGCGCTGCTGCTCCCAGTGCTCCCAGTAACGGCTCCCAGTGCTCCCAGTTTGGGCTGCCGGTGCTCCCAGTAAGTCCCAGTTTGTCCCAGTTTCTCCCAGTCCCTCCCAGTTCCGCCCACTCTGTCCCAGTTCCCTCCCAGTTCCTTCCCAGTTCGTCCCAGTTCCCTCCCAGTCCCCTCCCAGTCCCTCCCAGTTTGTCCCAGTCCCCTCCCAGTAACTCCCAGTTTGTCCCAGTTCCCTCCCAGTTCCCTCCCAGTTCCCTCCCAGTCTGTCCCAGTTTCTCCCAGTCCGGCCAGTCGGGGCACTCCCGGCCCAGGAATGTCGGGGCTCTCCCAGTTCCCTCCCAGTTTGTCCCAGTTACACCCAGTAACACCCAGTTCCCTCCCAGTTGCGACACTGGGGCTGAACCCTGCCCCAGTTCATCCCAGTTCATCCCAGTTCGTCCCAGTTCCATCCCAGTCCATCCCAGTTAACCCCAGTTCCTTCCCAGTTCCCTCCCAGTTCCCTCCCAGTTCATCCCAGTTCATCCCAGTTATACCCAGTTCCCTCCCAGTTGTGACACTGGGGCTGAACCCTGCCCCAGTTTATCCCAGTTCATCGCAGTTCATCCCAGTCCATCCCAGTTCATCCCAGTTCATCCCAGTCCATCCCAGTTCCTCCCAGTTCCTCCCAGTTCCTCCCAGTTCATCCCAGTCCATCCCAGTTCCTCCCAGTTCCTCCCAGTTCATCCCAGTTCATCCCAGTCCCTCCCAGTTCATCCCAGTCCCTCCCAGTTCATCCCAGTCCATCCCAGTCCATCCCAGTCCATCCCAGTTCATCCCAGTTAACCCCAGTCCATCCCAGTTCAATCCCAGTTCCTCCCAGTCCATCCCAGTTCAATCCCAGTTCCATCCCAGTCCATCCCAGTCCATCCCAGTTCATCCCACACAGACACGGCTGCACCGACACCTTTATTGACACCAGTATGGACCAGTACAGACCAGTATGGACCAGTACAGACCAGTACAGACCAGTAACAGCTCCCAGTATAAACCAGTAACAGCTCCCAGTACAGACCAGTAACAGCTCCCAGTACAGACCAGTAACAGCTCCCAGTATAGACCAGTAACAGCTCCCAGTATGGCCCAGTAACAGCTCCCAGTACAGACCAGTAACAGCTCCCAGTATGGCCCAGTAACAGCTCCCAGTAGAAACCAGTAACAGCTCCCAGTATGGCCCAGTAACAGCTCCCA